TCATAAAATTGTTCTTTTAGGCAAAGATTCCAGGAAAAAGAGGGCTCTTAAAATTAGTTTTTGAGCTCTCAATGGAGCCGAGAGCCATAAGGTTCGAACCCACCTTGCGACTATTTTGAAAAAGCACATTTTCAGAGAAAATTAAACTAGTTCTTCAAAAGTACTGTAGCCAACTCATAAAATCTTTTCATCTGCAGGAAAATAATATATTTTCTCCTATCCAAAAAGTATACTGTAGCTGTAGATCATAAAATTTGTGGCTCATGAATAAATAAATATAATAACATATGTAAGCAATAAAAAACCCGAGGAAGCAAAAAAAAAATTGAAAAATAGGAGAAAATGTTGGCCGGAAAAAAAGGCAGAAGGAGGCCTTCAATTTAGGCTTTTCTGGCGAGGTAATTCAATTTTTGAGAGAGAAAAAGGATGAAAAAAGGGGCACAAGATGTACACATTTTGCCCCGAAACAGACAAAAAAAACTTTCAGGAGATGTGTACTTTTTTTGTGTCTTGTCGTGGATTTTTTTGGAAATTAGATCAAGAGAAAATAATTTTTATATCGCAAAGATCTTCAAACATTGAGATTTTATTTGAAATTATGTTCTACAGTACTGTAGTTCTGAAATTCAGAAAAATTTGAAAATATATTTCGATTAGAAACAAAAAAGTTGAAAATATTTGGAAAGGGCTCAAACTACAGTACTATTAAATAAATTTTTTCCGAAATAAATAAAATTTCATGAAACCAAGAATTCCAGAGAAAATTTCTTCAAAAAATTAAGAATTTTTTGAGCTAGAAACACTTCCAGATTCCTTAAATTTCAGAAAAATTCAAAATAAAAAAAAAATTGCGTGCCAATTTCTGAACTATATACATCCAAACACAAAAACATACAACACACTCTCAAAAATATGCCTAATGTCTATACAAACATGAGTCATCTTTTCGATTTTTGGCGCGAAAAAAACTGATGACTAACACAACACCCGGCCAGAAATGAACCATTTTGTGAGAAGCATTTTTTTAATTAAGCTGAAAGCAAACATTTTTTTTTCAACTGAATGTGAGAAAAATACGGTAGTTTATTTAGGCACCAAAAAAAAGTTTAATTGAATTTAATTTCGCAGCCATTTTGAGTGCGGAAAATGGCGAAATGAAAAAAAATGTGATTTTTTCGTCATCATTACTAGTTTAATTGGATTTTTTTTTGGCTCATGAGGAGCAAGTTTGATTTTTTGATTCATTTTTAGAAGGAAAGAGGGATCAAAAATGTGTATAGAGTACTGTATTGTTTTTGAAAAATATTATTGAAATGGTCAAAATTGTTGTTTTTGTAGAGAAGAGAAATTGAAGCTAATCTGGAAGAGAAAGATATTTTTCTTCTTGGAAATAATTTATGAACTGTTTTTTTTTCTAATGTTCAGACTAGAAAATTTCAAATATGACAAACTCTAAAAGAAAATATGAATGAAGAAGATCAAAAACTAAAAATTAACAACAATTTTTGATTTTCTAAAGTAATATGTTGGAAACTTCGGCTAAATTCTATAAAATATGAAGCCTCAAAATGATTTGAAATAAAATTTTCACAAATTTTAATAAAAAGTGATAAGTTTGAAAAAAAATTCAATAATAATTTTCAAAAATCGCAAGCTAGATAAATTTTTTTATCATTATCTTCTGAAAACTTTGGTGTAGGGCTATTTTTTAGTTGAATGAGATAAAGAACGTTCTCAAATTTTCAGATGAAACCTAAATCAAACCTAAATGTAAGAATGAACTTCTCCAACTCAAGCTTGAGGTTCCGAAATTTTAGGATCACAAAACCCTCAAGCTCACAAACAATCAGAAAAACCCCGCCCACCACAACAATCAAAAAAGCTACAGTATACCCCCGAATTTCACCCTGTGTTAGCTGTCACAAAAATGTGTCAATTATTGGCTCTCGGGAATATGTTTTTCTGCGCAAAAACCAAACGGAAAAAAAGTGTATTTTTTGGTGCGATTCTGAAGATGACACATGTTACATTTTTGATGGACATACACCCCAACATACTTTATCATATTCATAGATGGCCGCATTTGACATTTTTATATACACATATATGTTTTTGAATGAAAAAAATAGAGGGGGGAGTTTGGAATTGTTTTGGTGGATTTGAAAATAGCAAAATGTGAAAAAACACATAAATAAATTTATTTTTAAGAGAATCTCACGTTTCTAAAATTTCAAAGCTTTGTTTTTGGATTTACTAACAAACAAGACAACTAAAAGTCCCGAATTTTAAAAAACAATGTTAAAAAACTCACATTTCCTCCAGTTTTCCTCGTGATTGAAAACCATTCTCGCTTCATAAATTGTTTTGATACTTCCATCATTTCGCTGACGTTTTTCCTATAAAGTAGAAATTCGTAAAATTTAAATAAGTGCTTTAAAAGAAGAACAACTTCAAGAAAGTACATTTTTTCATAAAATTACTTTTTGGGCACCAGTTTTACTATAACACTATCAAAAATCAACAGAAAAATAGATAAAAATAAATTTCACAACAAGTTTCATTCAAAACAACAAAAAAAACAACAAAAATAGGTGAATGAAACATTTCCAAAAAACAAAAAAAAAAGAAAATAAAAGTAAACATGGAAGTGCGCCCCATTGATAAACGTTGCATGTCGCACTCTCCCAAAAATGTGTGTGTGTTTTGTTGTTTCTGTTTTATTATTACACTAAGAGAGTGTGAGAACAGTCATTGAAATCTCTTCACAAAAAATTTCAGAAGCCTTCATTTTTCAAAATTCATAAAAAATATGAGCTTACAGTTGAGAATATAAAGCAACGCAGCACATTTAAAAGTTTATTTTCAGCTTCAAAAACGTTTTTTTTTCAATATTTTAAAACCTTCTAAAATATGATTGATACGAATTTCAGAAATAGAAACTTAAAAAGCAATTTTGGACTTCCATAACTCTAAAAATACTTTAATTTCAGAAAATTAAAGAAATAGACAACTTTTAAAACTGAGGTTCAGGCTGGCCCAATATCTTGATTTTGCTTACTTTTCTACATACTTTCCAACCAGAAATCATTCAAAATATGTGCGTTGATAGAAATGGCGCAAGGTTGAAAAAAAATAATTCGAATTTGAACGCCCGCCGAGTTCTAGATAATCTAGTGCATTTTTGGGCGGCGGTGTGCGGTGTTTGCAGACATTTTTTTTACTTTTCTTTTTTTCGTTTTTTTTTTTGCAAAAAAAACGGATTTTTGTGATGAAAATCGGTTTTTGACTATCGCAGCACATCAGGAATCATGATTGTCGATATTTAGGTGAGTTTTCATGAACATTTCATGGTTTTCATGTTCATTTTCAGGAAAAATTGGCGATTTACACGTTTCGAAGGATTTTCGATGGAATTCTCAATTCAAGTCGTTTTATGACGTTTGGTGAGTTTTTTGTCAAAGTTTTATGCTAGATGATAGTGACTCTAGGCAGAATCGAACAAATAACATCTTTAATTGTTAGTTTTGTAACGATTTTGGCTGTGAGTCCATCAAAATTCAAAGTTTTATTGAAAAATGAATCTGAAACTGATTTAATTGTTGTTAATTTCAGAGAACAACTTCAATGTGCTGTGTTAATGGATTTGGAGGCTAAACAAAGTGATGATTCGCCAAAAACATCCCGGAATTCTGCGATTTTCAGAAATTCGCCAATTTTTTAAGATTCGAAGCCTATCCAAAAATTTCTTTGCTCAAATGTTCACTCAAATGCTATGTAAAGTGTTTCTTTCAATAAATTTGCTGAATTTTTCCAATTTTTTAGTCGGTTTCTTTAGGTTTCTTGCTTTCCACAAACCAAAAAAATAAAAGTAAAACAACGAGACTCCGCGTGACACTGCGCTCACACAATCGCGGCAATTTTTTTATTTTCAAACGAGGGTTTTTTAATTTTTTTCTTTTGCTTCAAAAAAAGAGTTAGAGTGAGTTTTGAGAGTTCTCTCTTTGCAGATGTGTTAAAAATAGTACGAAAAAAGTAATTTTGGTATGTTTTGAACCGTAGCTTAAAAGTTGTCTATTTCTTTAAAAGAAAAAAGCAACCAAAACTTCAGAGACCTTGAAAAATTCAGACCTTTCAGTTTTTCAAGATTTTTTTTTTTAGATTTTAGGCGCTGAATTCATAAAAGTGGTACACGAAAATTTAATGAAGGAAAATCAGAATTTTGTTCTAAAGCTTCAGAAGGTTCTCGGATAAAAGATAACAGTAGCTCTTCTCAAAACCAAACCCTATCCCAAAATTCCAATTTTTCAACAAACAAAAACAATCAAAACAAAAAAAATCTGGAACAAAAAATCATCCACCAACAAAAAAACTACACTCACATACACACAATTTCTCACATATCCTCGAGTGAAATCTGAGATTTTTTCGCTTTTTTTTCACTACGAAGGGAAAAGCTCTTATCTGCCTGATCTTTTATGTCAAATATGAATGTTTTTTTGGGTGGAGAGACATGAAATGTTCATTTTTGAACGAAGATGTAAAAAAACTTGGAAAAAGTGGAGAAAGATAGATTTTTATTAGAGATTTTTTTTGCAAGTTTGAGAAAAACTAGGAGAATTAAATCTCTGATAAAAGGCTTTCTGAAATTTTCAGATTTCTAAACTCTCAACTTTTTTTACACTGATTTTCCATGATTTCTCAATTCTGAACGCACAATTCTGAATGTTCCAAAAGATCAGATTTCACAGAGAAAAAAGTGAGAAAACTGAGATTCCTTCAACAATCTAATATTTCTTGTGTTGCAATTTTGTTGTGTAATTTTCAGCACAAAAATATTGTCAAAAAATTTCATGAGACAAAGAGATCAAAAGTAAAATCCGGGAGAATGTCAAAAAATGTAAGAAGAATACATGTAGAATTATAATATTCAAATTCGAAATTTCATAAAAATATAGCCAGCAAAAAATATATGTCAAAAGATATGCAGAGGTTTTCAGAATTTATAAATATTGATTTATCAAATAAGTGATTCGACCTTCCAATAAAGTTTCAAAATTGCTTAATGGATAATGCTGAACATCGGAAAGGAGAAGGAGAAGTTTGCCAAATCTGGAAAATAGTACTGTAGGGTACTGTAGCTTATGGAGAATAGGAAGAATACCTTGCAGGCTGATATGAGTCTCCTTTTGTGCAAGATTGTTGAAGCGTGCAAATTGCGTCATCAAGTTGATTTTCGAATTGTGTCAAAGTGTCGTCAGAGGCTGGAAAACATTTTTTAGTTTTTTTTGTTGTCTTACGGTAGATTACTGTAGATAATTTTCAAAACATCTCATACATTGCTCCAGAAAAACATGGAAAGTAAAACAGCTTGACATTTTGAATTTCAATTTTTGCTTGTCGAAAAATTTCAATTTATTTTTACAAGATTTTCAATTTTAAAATTGCTTTCCGAAATCAAATGTCATCAAAAATCAGAAACAGAAAGGAAATTAGAAATCAAGATTTTCGAAAAATCGGAAAATCCCCAAATGTTTTTCACAAAAAATCATACCTCACTTCATACTTTTTCATTTCAAAAATATCAAATTTCGCTCATCCCCCCTATAACTTTCTTCCCAATTCTTCCCCAAATAAAAACCTATCCGGAAACAAAGTAAATAATGTCAATTTTCCTCCCTTTTTCGGGCTTACACACACTAAAAAAGGAGAAGAAGAATCCCGAGAGAAAGAGTTAATGGAAAAAAGTTGGGGCCGAGAGAGTAACAAACAAAACAGCGTGGTGTGCCAAAAAGGATAACTCAATTGCGCGTCAGAAATGGGTTTTCACTCACTCACTCACTGCCAACCTATGTTGGCTTACTGTAGATTGATGCTATTTGTTGTTCATTTTCGATGACCCTCTGGGAATTGTGTGTGTGTGTTGGAAGAAAACTCACATTTCATGAAGGTTGCGATGGTTTTCAGAATTTGGAATTCACTTTTGTCCACTTTTAGATGACGGAATTTTTGACTCATTTGCAGGATTTGCTCGTCGAAGAGCACTTCATCGCAATCTTGTTCGCAAATTGAGATACAGAGAAGGAGTGGCCATTGGGTTAGCAAGATTTGACGCTGGAAACATCAAGGGATTGCGATTTTTTGTTGACAAATTTTTTATAAAGTTTTGAGATTTCAGGTGATTCGACTTGATTTTCTGATTTTTAAATGTAAATCTAATGTTGAGCTTTTCAGAAACTAGTTCGATTTTCTGCACCTAAATCAGTATTACTGATTTTCTCGAAGGTCAAGCTGAAACCAAGATTCACCCCATTCTTCTCACCTTCTCCGATTCCACCAAACATTTATATTGATCTTGCGATTTCATCCATAAAAACACATTTTCCAAAAGTTTACAAACCGCTTCTTGATAACTATCCTTTTTCTCATCCTCTGTTTTTCCATCACTTGCACTACTCGGCGAATCTTCTCTTTTTACAATTGGATGGCCCATTATTGCAGATACAGCTCCCGCGTATTCACGGAAAAAGTTTTGAGGATCCATGTCGATGGTAGGGCGGATTGTTGCAGTGTTTCGAGGTTGACGCTCGTTTTGAACGGCTGGAAGAAATCGTGGAACTATAATTTTTTTGAATTTAAAAAATCTCGAAAAAACAAATAACTTCTAAACTTTTTTTCTTTTGAACTAGATTAATTTGATGCTAAAAATTATGTTTCATCAGCCTAAAGATTAGCTTTCATTCCAAAATCACTCACCATCTTTATTCATTCCTTTACTCAAACACTTCTTCAATCTACAAGCTTGACATTGATTCCGATGTGCCTTATCAACAACACAATTTCCAGTTCCAGCCTGACATCGATAAATCAATCTCCTTCTCACAGACCTCTTGAAAAATCCTGAACACCCATTACAAGCCAAAATTCCATAATGTTTACCGCTACTTATATCACCACAAACTGCACAGCAAAGTGTTGGCGAAGAAGATAAGGGTGGAGATTCGGATTTGAGGACACCGGAGATGGTTGGAAAGTTGTTGACGGAAATTGTTGTGTGATCGGTGATGACTGGTGGCGAGATGTTGGCCGCTTGACGTTGGTGATGTTGATTCATTGACATTGCGATGGCTGCTGCGATATGTGGATTCATCATTCCTGGAATTTTATTTAGAGATTTGGATTGGGATCTTTTAATCTAACATGAGAACCTTTAAATGGTCAACCCGAAAGCAAAAATAATTTTTATTGATCCTGAACTACCGTAAGAAAAAATTTGAATGTTGTTTTCAAATTGCAAAATTTTTCTTATTGAAAATATTTGTTAACCACCTGTTATTTGACCTTGAAAAACTTTTCATTCGAAAAACAAGGTACTGTAGGTGTTTTCTAATTTTTTCATAACATTTTCAAATTTTAATTTCCTCATTATAATCCGTGGCCTTTAATCTCGAAATTTTGAACTCAAAATCCAAGGACGAGAATGCTTTTTTTTATCAAAAAGGAAAAAGCTTTGACATTGAAAAAAGACCAACAAAAAATGAAGGTCAAAAGTCCCTTTTTCCCCAAAAACAAAATTGTAAACTTATCCTAATTTTTGATTACTCATTTTTCAATCCAACCCTTTTTCCTACGCAAATTCAAAAAAAAATTGTATTTTCAAAGCTGAATATAAAAAACACCTTCTAGAAAAAAAATGTGGAATGTAGACAAGGAAAAAAATGTAAACTAGATTAAATTTTGGTTTATAATATAAACACACAGCATAGCACAATCTAGAATCTAAATTCCAAATTCGTGTGAAATTTTGAAAAAAAAAGGCTTCCTCCTCATTTTTAACATAATATACTATCACTATTGTTTTGCTTTGTTTTTCCGGGAATTTCTGATTTTTTTTTGTTTGAGGGTGGAGATCAAAAGAGCTCATGTGATGGATGAATTCTATGAAATAGGAATTTTTGTACGTGATTTTTTGAATAATTTGTGAAAATATGAAATTTTGAATAATCGATTTTTTCTCTGAAAAGTTTTCTGTGGTCTGTTGAAGACTTCAAGAAATCTTTGATACTAGAGAAAATAATATTGATTTTCAAATTCAAAATTATGAGCCTCATGTGAAAACCTTTTTACTTCGAAATTAATTTTTCCTGTCAATTTTTGAAAATTTTTAAAAACCTTAGATTTTCCAAGATCAAGAGATCAACTTTTCTTTTTCAAAAAGCTCACGAATTCTGAAAAACAACCAAAATTGATGATTTTGTCACATGAGTAAAAAAATCAGCATTTCATGTTTTTTCAAAAAAAAAAAAGAAGGATGATCCACGTAAATGGAAAATAAATCATCAAATTTGGTTGTTTGTGAGAAAAAGAGTTCATCAAAACTAAAACCTGTGTACTAACATGAAGCATAATTTAATGTTAGAATCTTTTCACAAGTCTCCCAAATATTTCCCCTATTTTTCTATGAACAAAATTTTCTCAAACTAACCAGGATTGAAAAGTGGCGTGGGAAAAATCATAGGCGAATTGAATATCGATCGCATCGCCATCATATTCTCCTTCACATTCATTTGCGACGAATTTGAATCTTCTGAAAAATTAGTAGCCATAATAATCGAACAGCGAAAATTATTTTTCACCGCACCGCACCTCTCGAAAAAAAAGGTGTCATATGCAATGCATTCTGATTCAACGACACATAATTTCCTGTCATTTCCAGGTAGAAAGATTTTTGGCTTGTGATGAGGCAAAAAATTGCTGGCGCAGTAGCTTTTTTTAATTTCCGCCGCGCCCGCTAACCCACGTATTCGCTAAAAACCTATGGAAATCTAAACACTCACCATTTATTCTTGAAGTTGAAAAATTCAGCGGCTCATCTTCATCGCTCATTTTTGTTTTCTCGAAAATTATGTATGTGAATGTGAATTCAAAAATGAGGCGAGTAGAAGTGAAAAAATCATAGACTCCGCCCACATGCGCCTTTTGAGGTCGGTCATTGCGCGGACCCGCCAATCGAGAAGAAGCACCAGACTCCGCCCACATTTTGTGTGGACATCATACTGCCAAGAGGCACACTCTTTTGGTTTGGGTTGAGGAGGAAAGAGAAGGGGGGGGGGGTTCTGAATTTTTTCTGATTTTTGAAGTGAGAATGTGAAATTTGAGTTTCAGAGAGCTGAAGAATTTGGCGGGTCTTGAAGAACTCAGGAAATTGAATTTTTCAGAAGTCTTGTGGAAATAAGTGCTAATATGAGCAATATTTATTTTTGAAAACATTTTGGGGCATTTTTGTGGATCTCGCATAATTCAGAGAATATTTTTGGTGCCAAATATCATTTTTGAATTTCGAAAAAAAAAGTTCAATGTTTTTTTTCAAAATTATTTGATATAACTGTGGAATCCCAGAGAGTTATAAAATTGTTTTTAACAGAATTTTGCTTTGTTCTGATTTTTCAAAACTTTCCCTCACTCATCCTAGACATTTGTGACATTTTCCAACCCGAAAATTGTCGGCAACACTTTCACACAGCTAATTGTTTTCCCTTTCTCATCATCATCATTATTATTAATAAAAATAATAATAATAATAACAAAATCAAAAAGAAGCAGCGATGCTCGACACTTGAAAAATCCACACTCATTTTCCCTTTCCACTGAAAAATCTTTCTTTTTCTTGGCTCATTAATCAATGCTCCTTCATGCCACTTGATTGCCTTCATAAGTAGGAATGACAAAAATCTTTTGACTTGACTTTTTGCAACACATTTTTTTTTCAATAAAATAAAATAACATGAGTAATCTATGAAAATTTCCGTGTCTGTTCATCTGAACCTTTCTTATGTATTCATTTTTTATTACATTCCCAAATATAATAGACAAAAAAGTTAATTTATTTGATGTTTCCGACACTTTTTTTGGGGGTATATGTATCTGTGTGTATAGATGAAAAAGGAGAAGGGAAAAATAATAAGGAGGTGCGAGAAAAAAACTGATGCAAAATACAATTTCAAAGTTTTTTTGGTTGTTATTGTTGTTGTATAGTTGGACTTTTGAAAAATGAAAGAGGATAGGGAGAGATTTGTGATGGAAGAATATTTCTGGAAGATGACCGACATTCAAACGGTATTGGCCAGGCGCTGTGTTCTGTAGGTCAAGAGACAACTGTTTTCAGAGATTTGATAAGTGCATTTTTAAAAACTTGAAAATTCCTAACCCATTTTTTTTTTCAAAAAAAACGTTTTATTTACACCAGAACCAGCTGATTTGTCACAAGACTTTTCAGAAAACAAAAAAATTTTTTGTATTTGTTGTTCCGGCGAACTTTTTTTTCGAAAAGGTTATTTTGACTGTAACTGTAATTTTCAGAGGGTACTTTTCTCTATATTTGTGATTTTTGAGAGCATTATTATACCAGTCTAAAGTGATTCAGAAAGCAAAAAAGCACTTTCAAATATGACATCACATCTAATTTTACATACTCACTCATGATCCCCATTAAAAATGAAGTAACTGCTTTTTTTGTTTTTCAAAAAAAATTCTCCTTGGGAAGAAAATTTCAATTATTCTGCAAAAAGAGCCAGATTTTTCAATCAACCAACCACCATTTGCTCTCTCTCTCGAGTTATAAAAAGTCATAAACCATGAATACCGACATATGCGCCACTCATTATACACATTTACTATTCAATATCTCAATTCATCTATTTATTTATCCATGTTTTCATTCATTTTTTGCCCCATCTTCTCAAATTTCCGACTAATCCAATACAGTAATAATAGGTTTGCTTGCAATTGAGAAAGGAGAAGGAACTCAAAACTCTCATGGCTGCAGGAAAGGAACAAATTGAATTAAGGGCGGGAAATTGAGCAGGATCACCACTTTACTCTGCGTCTCTGACCACTCTGAAAACATTCTGGATGTCTGATTGCAGTTTGGAAGTGGTCAAAAAAAGTTGTTCTATACTAACTACAAAATAATTCTTGACCACTTGTCAAAAAACGAAATGAAAAAAAACTGTGATCGTATAGTAGGATGGCACTGGAAATGTCACGAAAAATTGAGAATGTGGAACATTTTTCAGGAAAAAAAGAGGGATTGAAAGAAAAACTACAGTAACCTCAGTGGCTCAGGTAAGACTACAGTAATCAATGGTGTTGTAATGAATTTTTCTGTACACTAATTGTAGATCAAATTACAGTAACCAAAAAAACACAATTAAGATTTCTGTATTTCATTTATTTATATATCATTTATATATTTTCTATGAAAAGACCTACAGTTTACAATTTTTTCTAGAGGTCAGACTACAGTAACCCGTACCGATTTTATTTTTTTTAATTCGCATAACTACCGTAGTTTTTACAGTAACCCTCGGTCAAAAAACAGTACCCGTCTCTCTGATTTGATAATGAGAAGCAGAAACTACAGTAATCCTACAATAGAAAAAAATTACAGTACTCTCCTACCCAAATATTGAAGAAATATTTCGATAAAGAAAATCTAGAATTACAGTAATCCTACAGTATACAGCCTAACCAAAACCTGAATAGTTGAGATACTGTGAATTTCGAATTACAGTACCTTGATAGTTTTTTGAAAATCATATTCTACAGTACTTCTAAATAACATCAAAAATAAAACATGATCCTTGACTCCCTATAGGTCAAACTACAGTAATCCTAATGTCTACTAATCTCATAATTTTCCAATTTCCGCAAACAACATCAAATCGGCAACAACAATGACTCGAATTAATTCAATTTCTCCCGCATAAACTACCGTACCCCTCGTCTTCCTTCTTTATTTCATGAAATGAAAGAGTGTGCTCTATCTCTTTTTGACACATGCGCGCAAGCTCGCCAGTGAGCCGGGGACACATCTGGCTCCGATCAAATTATGGCCAAAAATATATTTGCCGCCCAACACCAAAACGATATTAGTTTATATACATATATTTTTATTTGTGTTATAAAAAAGGAATAACATTTTTTTTTGTTACCGGGGATAGGATAAGAAGATAATTTTTTGATCCAATCAAATTTCGTCATTTCTCGTTCCTCAAAAGGTTACAGATGTTCAAAAAGAAAATTATTTTTGGTAAAAGAACAAGATCAAAGACATTTTACCGACATGTCATAGAAATGTTACGTTTTCTGTTTTTTTGTTAATTTGTATCAACATAGTGGCTGAAAAGGGGATGCATAGAAATTGGGTAAACTACTAATTGAGAGCAAGGTTGTTCAAGGTTTTTGAGTAGAAGGTTTTTGATGGGAACTTGTTGTGGAATTTTTTTTATAAATTAGAATGAATAATTTTTTATTGTGTTATTTATTCTTACAAAATACAAGATTTTTAGCTTTTTCTCGAATATCTACATTCATAACAAACAAAATGAAAAAGTTGATCAAACATGGAAGACAGTTTGCAAAGGGTAACAACAATAATGAATCAGGCTTCACCTTGATATATTTTTCCAATGTCAAAATATAAACTAAACAAATCACAGCTATAATTATACAATTACATATCGATTTTTTCAAACGAAAATATTTTGAGCATTGGGATTTTTTCAATCTTCGTGTAAGTTGTTTCAACTTACGATAGACAATTAAAATTTGTAGTATATTAATTAGTAGGGTTGAAAACAAGGTACCTATAATTAATAAAAAGGAAAGATTGCTGAACATATATTGTTTGTTTTCATAGATCCAACCGCTCCATACAATCTAAATGTAAGAATTGATTTTCTATCAACCAGTTTTTGTTATAAATAACAAACTTACTGATAGAAAGAGCAATAGCACATGAATGTGATTTTCGTATGAATAGAAAGTGTGTCTGAATATAAAGAAAAATCTGAATACCGCCATCGTATGAAGAATGATGAGTCGAACGCCAAACATCATGTTAGATAATAATATCAAATCTTTTACCATAATACGAGGATAACCTTAAAAATTTTTTTTCTCGAAAAAGGCACTACATGGAAAAATTGAAGATTCGAGGTTTTTTTTTCTGAAAAGCTTAGAAAATATTCTATTGAAAAAAATACTTCAAAATTTTCCTCAACATGTGTACTACATTTATTTTATTCAATTTTTTTTTTGAAATTGCACAGTGAAGTTTCAAGATTAAATTGTAATTTTCACTATTTTCAAGGAGTCTCAACCGTAAATTGATAGATGCCTGAATACCTTCTAAGAAGCTATGGTATTCAGTGTAGAATGTGATTACCATTCCAGGTACATCAATAACAAATATTTGCGATATTGACAATATCAGTTCACAGACAATGGAATAGATAATGAAAACTCGTAATCCAGAAACTGAAAAGAATATTTTAAAAATCACAAAATATGAAAAAATAGTCCAACCTTGTTTCTTCCACAGAAGAATTATCATTATGACATTCGTTATAATTGATATACAATGAATAATCACAATCAAAAATAGCAGTAAAACATCTGCATGATCGTTCCACATTTTATAGAAAATATTAAAAACGTTGAAAATAAGTTGGATATAGCAATCAATCAGTTTTGGGCACATTCCAACATCTGGAAATTTTTCAGGGACCAAACAGATTTCTCAAGTTTCTGAATCTAAGGAAACAAGCCACAAAGAACAAGAACACATGTTAAAAAATGAAACAAAAACTCAAATTAAAAAAAAAAGAATAAGAATTATTTTATTGATGATTGAAAAAAATGAAGGTCACATCCATGAATTCAATAACTGTCCAAAATAAACATCCGTAGCGTTTCCGATTTTATTATTTTTCTTCTTATTTGTGTGATTTTTCTTGAAAAACTTTGAAACTTTGAAATTTTTTGCCCACGAGTCAACAGAAAATAAAAAAACAGGATAAAGCACCAGAGGATTTCTGAAAAAAAATTTTTTTGGCTTTCAAAATTCAAAAATGACTCACAAAAATAGCAATGTTTCTATAATAAATATGAGCAGTCTTGTCAACGCACTATTTTGAGTGTCCAAAAATACCAGAGTGATCAAAATTGATGAGCCGGAAACTATCAAAAATGTTCCAACTATAATAACCCGTCTTATGAGCTAGAATTCTCTGTGTTAATTTTGGAAAACATTTTTTAAATAAAAAATACAAACCTTAATGGCGTGTAGATTTTCTTCCGCTTGAAATCTCCAGGCCAAGGTGTAGGCACTTTTTTGTTGTTTTGTGAATTTTCGTTTGGTTTTTTTGAGATTGTAGCTCCAGTTGAATGCGAAGATCTGGAATTTGAAAAATTCTTATGACTTTCAAGTGTGAGAAAAAATTGTTTTTTTTTCACAAAAATTTTCCTGTTTCTGATTGTGAAACATCAACATTACTTTTATTTTCAAAAAATTTCTGACTAACTTCCTACAGCTGAAAATTTACAAACTAGACTACAGGGTGGGGAATAATTATTGATACATGTTCAAAAAGTCCCCGTGTTCAACGAAGGAGGTAGATGATGATTTTATCCGTCTCAACTATTTTCTAGAACCTATATCAATAATTTTGTGAAGTAAAAAGTTTACTAGTTGTCTTCATTTGGTATAGCCATGCGCCAGGACTCAAAGCGTTTTGTCAGTCTGATTACGCACCTATTTTTGACTTTGAGCTCCAGTAGTTTCAGTCATGTCTCAAATTTTATTTATGTATTGTGTGGGTTTGAAAGCCCACATGTTCCTCTACTAAATCCATAGTACGTATATCTTCTCAGTCTATTCTGGTGTTAGAGTGGGACACCTTTCTAACATGCACTTTTCAGAAGTTTCATTTTTGAAAATTGAAAAATAGGTTTTCAGCTTCCGAAGTTTTAATTTCTGATCCATAATGAAGTTATAGGTTATAGTTGTGATTTTTAGGACTATATACATTAGTTCCAACTCATATATCACGATTCAGAAAGTTTCACACAAGCTTGTGCTCAAAAAAGTGCGAAAAACTGAATTTCTTGATTGAAAACATTGCCCCCATTCTAGATGTGTCTCCCAAAACTTTAAAAATCATATCGAGCTGAAATTTTCTACTCAAAGACATCTTGAATCATTTCCAAAACAAATATTACCATATTATAATGAATAAAAAAACATAATTTGAACTGAAGAAAATTTCAAGATGTAAAAAAAAGGTGCATACCGTGACAGAAAAACGCGCTGAGTCCCGGCGCATGAGTATTCTAAACGAAGACAACTAGTAAACTTTTTACTTCACAAAATTATTGATATAGGTTCTAGAAAATAGTTGAGACGGATAAAATCATCATCTACCTCCTTCGTTGAACACGGGGACTTTTTGAACGTGTATCAATAATTATTCCCCACCCTGTATTTTATAAACATGATTTCTTGGAAAACAATCGCTTATTTACTCACAGATGAAACATCTGAAAATCCCAATTAATTAATTGAGTTTTCAGATTTTGCTTTTTCAGATGTCAGAGCTCTCCTGAAAACTCACTACTTTCAAACAGCTGAAAAATTTTAAAAACTCACCCCAAGCGCTGCAAAAGAGCAAAAAATGCACAAAAATATCACAATATCAAATCTCAACAAATTAAAAGTCAGCAAATACACACAACCAAATCCACACAAATGTTGCCCACTAAAAATCAGAATCAAAATCCATAACCTTGGTTGATTCTCATAATTATTCAAAAATATACTCGCAAAAGTTCTTTCCGCAATAATTGCACACAATGAAGAAATAATTATATAAATATAGTGCCATTGAAAAACTCCGCCAATAATGAGAGGGAGAATTGATTGATAATCGGAGATTTTTGGAATATCCGATGATTTATCAGTCCACCAAAGATCAAGTCTGATGTCATTGTTGATTGTGGAGAATGAAGAATCTGAAAGTTGAGAGTATAAGGAAATCACCTGGAAGTTCAGAGATCGAATCATATTTGTTGTAGATCTCTGAAAATCAAAAATCACACCAAAACCAATAATTTTACCAGTATTTTCTCAATGAAAATATCAATTTTCTCAATCTTCAAAAAACCAAAAGACCAAATTTACCCATCAATTTCAATTTTTTTCCAAAAATCCCTCTACAAACCAACAAACCATTAATTTTCCAATAACCAATAGTATACGGAACAGTGATAAATTTCCCAATAAAATTCTCAATCCACGCATAAATCGCAACAATAATCAAAACATTCATATTCCTATGAAAAGCTGTTGATCGAGCAGCAATAAAAATCAAACAAAAAGTCCATATAAGTATTACAAAAGCTAGAAAATATTCAAAAATTAGCAGCCAAAAAAGCCACCCACGAAGATAGCTTGAATCATTGATTGTGTATATTGGAAGCCATATTGTACAACAATTTTCTATGTTGAACATCATTCTGGAAATTTTTGAGATTTGAAGTTTATTATCAGCGTATATATGGTTCTGAGTTTTGAATTGAAGAAAATAATGAAGTCATGCAAAAATTATAATGAGGAAATATATATGTCTAATGAGTTCTGAGGGGGTTAATTCAAATTAACATCAGACTTCATTCAATTTTTTTTTGATATGAGGTTTTTTGTTTTTGAAAAAAAAAATTTGTTTTCTGAAATTGAGAACAAAATTATGAAAGAATTCTGGCTCCGCCTAACTTCAGCGAACAAAATGAAATGAGCTAACAAGGTTTTCTAGAGATCAGGTATCATTCAGATTTTTGAGAGCAAAAAAACAAAAATTGAGAAATGATATGGAAAGGATAAGTTTTTTACTACTGAAAATGCGGCCTACAGTAATCAGAACCTGTCCTATTCTCAATTTAACTATTCTCAATCTCAATCTAAATATTCTCAACCAAAAGCTATCTTGAGATCCAAGTCAGCTAAAAATTTTGACCAAAATCAACACATATTTTCAAAATTTTTCAAAAAACAATATGATCGTACCAAACCTAACCTAGAAAACAAAAAAGAAAATTATAAGAGTCATAGTCCTAAAAATTCCACCTGCTTTTATTTTTCTAGGAGTTTGATCCTCTTTTTTTGCATATTCAGAAGTCTCTCTCTATGTATAAAATATGATTTTCTATCAAAGATTACGTTTCTTTCCGAAAATCATTGAACAAAGTAATAATCTCATAAATTATCGAACTTTTCGTCAAATGGAATTAGTGTTCAAATTCGTCACATATTTTTTTGGAATCAAAAAAAGTAGAAAGTAAATGGCAGATGTTTTTTGAAAAATATTGGTTTTGACACGTTTTTTTTGGAATCAGAGAACTGGAAAGAGAAATATGTCACAAAAAAGGTTTGCAAACAATAAAGCTGATAGAGTACACGAATCTATAAGAGCTACAGGAATAATTTTTTGATTTACTCAAAATATTTTGAAAAAATGTTCAAAGTATTTTATTGTTCGAATCCAATTTGCCATCGAAAAAAATAGCAAGACTTGTTTTGAATCCTGAAATTTTCAATAATTTTTTGGTCATTTCCCGGTCTGCTCGATTGTCCTTTTCATTTACATTTCCAAGACGCCAAGAAACACAAAACCTTTATGAACTGAAACCCGCAATTATACATTTTCTCAAATTTTATTTTTTGTTTTTTTTCATTAAAATCAATACCATGGAAAACATCACTTCATCTGAAAGTCTTCTAATTTTCCATACAATAAACATTGTATTCGCTCCAATTATCCAACTCAGATCATTTCTAAAACTCCGTGAAAATTTCGATACACTGATATTCCAAAAAACACAAATTATTCTAATTGTATTTTTGATTCTAGCAGTTTTTTATTATTTATCATCATTCAGTATATTTTTTCTTGTAATTGCTCGGCGAGTTCGACTAAGTTCGGATATTTTACCAGCACCGTTTTATTATTCAATCCTCAATCAAATGAAATATATTCCAGTTTCCTTGGAGTTATCAATATTTTCCTATGTAACATGGTGTAACTTGAATATAAAATGCTCAAAGATTCATCTGAAAATCATATTTTCTTTGATTTTTATAGTTCTACCAATAACTACATTGTATTTTTTGATCTACACTAATCCGTATGATTCTTCTTCTGAAGAAGGTTCCATAATATTTATAATTATTCCTATTTTAATTTATATATTTCTACTTCTCTATATCATTCTATCCATAAAATTTTTTAGATTTAGCCCAACTTTTAACTATTTTTTGTTTCCAATTTTTATCTTTGGATTTTTTCGAGGATTTTTCATGTTTTATTTCAATTTTCTTATGTATTTTTATATTATTCCTATTTCGTTTTTATATTTTGAACAAGTTTTGAAAAATATTATATTAAAAAACAGTGTTGTTAGATCAACTCAATAATAAAGTTTTTATGAAACCAATTTCAACATTTTGGGAATCTCTAAAATATTGCTATTTGGAATTATTTTCTAGATTTTCCGAGCACATGTTCCGGAGCACATGTTTCCGCACTGAACTACAACGTATGCAGAAACAATGTTTTTGTTCAGTTCATTTTTTCCTCCCGCGGAATTCGATTCTTTATCATACAAAAAGATACAGGCTTTTTGTGATTGCTTTATGACCAAACTTATCTTCATTTTGTTTCTCGACCATGTTTTCTACCGCCGTGATTGCAGTTTTGATATTGTTTGGAACATTTTGTGATTGTTGCATTCCGACTCAGACTGCCGAAGGTTTGTTTTTTTTTCTTGGAAATTTGGAAGATGTATTCTAGGTATTTTTGAACATAAATTTAAAATTTGATGTGACTCATGCAAATATTTGTTTTTATCGATAAAATTATGAAATCAAAAGATTCAGATGTCACAACAACAACCTCAACCACCTCTACAACCACAACGACAACCTCCACAACCACCACAACATTAGTTCCATCTTGCGTTGATTCAACCTGGACACTTTTCAATAGAGACACTTATTTTTGGTGTATGAAAGCTTACATCGGATCATCACCAAATGCACTTTTAGCAACACAATATTGTCAAACATTGAATTCAGCCGCAGTTGCCACAGGTTTTCAAAATGCTGCAGAAATCACAACTATCGTCGCAACAGCGCCTGCTGGTTTGAAACTTTGGATTGGAGCTCAACGAAATTCTGATTGTGCTCTTGTTCGACTCACTGCAGCTTGCAATCAGTTAACAAGTTTTCATTGGACTGATGGTTTTACAACTGGAACAGATGGATTTGTATGGAAAACAAGTCAGCCTGATAATAGTCTTCTGACACAATCTTTTGTGGTAGTGTATACGAGTACTGGATTACTGGATGATGAACATAGATGGTTGACAATGCAAGGAGTTGTGTGTGGAATGGAAGCCACTTATTCATAATTAAGAAAATCTGGAGAACAATTTGATAATAATAATAATAAACTTTAATAAGAGAATTCTAGTTTTTGACAAAAATACAAAATTCATTTTTTTCAGAAAATAGTTACTAAATTACTTGTGAATGGATGAAAGACAAATTTAATTTTTAAGATCAAGCTAATGCTGAAATTTGTGATTCGTACTACCTTAAAGCCATCAAATTTCTTCCAAAAAATAAAACATCACTAGTCTGCGTTATATTGAAACATCACAATCATTTCCGAGAAGTACAAAAATGTCCAAACATTCTTCAAAAATATCATCTTTTTGTTTGTTTGAATGAACATAAATTTGATTTGGCAATTTTTATCACGGGATTGTATCTTTAGTCCAATCCTGTATGTTCTGCAAAAAGATAAAGAAAACAATCTCCACTGTAGTTCTGCGGGCGGAAAAATTTATTTCCGCGTTTTTTTGGGGCAACATTTTGTCCTAATATGTTAGACAACACAAGGGGGTTACATGAACGTGATAACGGCTTTTGTGAAGTGATATATAGTGTCTTATATTGACGTTTAAAAACAACCAAAAAGATTAGGCGGGTGACGTATACATCTTCCTTTTGACGGCTTCGGGTTCGAGTCCGCAGCGCGACAAATTTTTCAATTTTTTTTTCAAAATTCAAAACTGAAAAAAAAAATTTTTCAAATTATTTCTATTCACGAAAATACATTAATTCCCAAAAAGAAAATAAGAAATTCCAAATTTATCCCCCAAAAATCAACAAATAATTTATTCTCCTCAAACTCGGCAACAATTTTTATCACATTTGCTATATCCAGAAGGACAAGTGCAAGAATCAGCACTGCATCTTGTATAAGTGCTGCTGCCTTGGGTTACTGTAATTTTGATCAAACATTTGCACGGAATCGTATCTGGAACTACAGTAGTCTGTGGAGCTGGTGGAGTTGTGATAACTTCTGGTGGTGGAGTTGGAAGCTCTTCATCTCGTTAAACTGTGGGTGTTAGACATTGTTGTTGGCAACTTGGCATACATTGTGGGATACAGGTTACGGTAGCTGGTTGATAGTACTGAAGTTGTTGTTGTTGAACTTGCTGTAACTGCTGGGGATAGTAGTACGGTAGTTGCTGATAGGCTGGAGCAGTTGCTTGGAGATACATTGGAGCTTGCTGGAAACAAACTGTTTTTATTTTCTCTGATTAAAAAATCTATAAATATCGAAAAACCCACCGCTGAAACCAAGTTTACAAAAACACCAACTGAAAAAATAATTGAGAACATTTTTCCAAAATGTTATGAAAATGAGCAAAATTTGTCTTTATATAGGAAATACGGTTTGAGGATTAGAAAATGTTGTGTTTGTTTTTCCAGTTATTATGACGGAGCAAACTGGATGGTTTAGTTGAAATAAAGCATCAGAAAACAACGGAACTCATTTGGATGGAAGAAAAAAATCGATAAATTTTATAGTTGAAAAAGAAAAAAAAAAATTAAAATCTTGCAAAATTCATAAAAGTATAAATATTTAGTTAGAAAGAAGTGAAGCAACTTATAAATTATTTAGAAAACTCAGAGACGAACTTTATGTAACTAATATTTTTCATGTTCATATGTTTTTTTGAACTAACCAGAACTTTAGAGCACTTTTATTTTGGTTTATCACATAAATATATCTGAAAAAACTAGTTTTGATTTTTTGTATGCAATGATTTGGAAGTATTGCTCATCTTAATTTTTAAATGTGAAAAACAGACTGAAACAATATCATTTTAATATTTTTTCATCACTAAATAGTTAAAGAATCTTGTGTAAAGCTTCTGCGTTCAAAATCCATTTTTTTTCCTCGGATTTCGACTGAAAAAATGAGAAAAAACGTAGAAAATTCAAACGTTCCACCTGTTCGCTAGAGCGCGTTTGCCCACTACATTCGAATAGATGAAAAATAGCTCTAAAATAGTGGGAAATACAGAAAAAAAAGGAAATTATTTGTTTGTTTGTCTAATGTTTTTTTGTTTATTTACTTGTTTTTACCACTTTGTTTTGAGGAAAGTTCAATATTATTTTTTTCTAATTTTTTAAATATGTTTTTTTTCAAAAAAGAATGGTTTAGTTTCAAAACTAATTAGCGAATCTGAAATTGTTGTCGATTTTTGGTTATATTTTTTTAACACAAAATTTATAGAAATTTTGTGAATTCCTGTGAAAGTTTTTTTTAACTTGAAACTTTTCAAAAAAAACCTTTGAAAAAAATATTTTAACCAATTTTACTTTAAAATCCCAAAATTTGAAATTCTGTTGAAAATTTGAAAAAGAACTTGTGACAATTTGAAAATTTTCCTTAATTTATAATCGAATAAAGATTTCACGTTTTCAAAAATGAATATGCTCTGGTTTAGCCGGAAGTAAGAAACTTTAAATTTTTTTTTTGAAAGATTTTGTATATTATCTTTTTTTTCAGTGAAAAAATAACTTATTTACATATTTTTCAGATATTCATAAAATTAAACTCCAGAGACACTTTGAAGTACATTACGTACTAAATTTCAGAGATTCTATTTTTTTTTCCAATCAAAATTATTTTATTATTTTCAAATCTTCTGGAAATTAACTAAATTAATCTCCAGAGACCCTTACCTGCAAAATTTTCTAACAAAAAAATAAAGCTCTCCGATTTTTTTTTAAATTCTAATCAAACCTACAAAAATTGACGAAATACAGTAGTCATTATTATTTTCCAAAACTATTTTTAGCCTCATTTCTCCTTCTTTTTTCTTCTCATCAGAACGATTTGCCTCAAGCAACAAAAAAAACAAAACAATGCCCTTTTTCCATCTTTTTTTTTATTTTACATTCAGTTTTGTTCTAATTATATCCCTCGTTTTTGAGATCGAAAAAGTTGGTTTTTTTTTATTCGACATTTTTATCACACATTTTGCGGTTTATCAATAAATCTCGATATATGTTTTTTATTATTTTTTATCCAATCATCTAGTTTTTTCTCGACGCTTTTTTTGCTTTGGTGAGAACCGCAATGTTTTGTTTTGTTATAATTGGATTTCTTTTTATATTTTCGAAAAAGCCGCGCTTTTTTTGCTAAGATTGATAAGGATTGGAACATGTACTTTGAGCTCTTTTGCAAGGATTTTTCTGAAATTGAGATTTTCATTTTTTTTTGGAGCGTGCTTTAAAGCGTTTTATTGTATTTTCCTAATTATTTTTCCAATTTTCAACATTGATCTTTTTTGTGCTTTCTCAAACATCATTGTAAAAAATTAATTGTCCAATTATTTTCTCACCATTATTTATTACAACAAACAGTATGTTGTTCCTTTTTGCACTCACAAGACAATGATTCATCGTAGGAAACTTTTCGAAAAATGTGTGCTTTGATTTATTACATAGACATTCTTGATGATTTTCGCACAAGGAATAATTAGACGAAAACATCTGCTCTTTTGAACTTATAAAAGTATGAGAAGCTTTGAGTGAGGATACTGCTTTGATAGGTATTGTATTATGTAGATCATATTCATTTCGGACTATGAGAAAAATGTTTTTTTATTTTTCTGATTCAATTTTCAATGGAAAAATATGACAAAATTGTTGATCAATTATTTTTAATGGTAAATTTATTGATCTCATAAAAAATATTTTGAAAATTCTAAAAAAATGAGTCATGCTTTTTTTCTAACATCTCGAATTTTGAAATCCTACATTTTTATTCCAAAATTCCTATCAAACTTTTATTCTACATAATTAGCCCTAAAAGCTTCTGGAAGTGTCTGAGGCCCATAGAAAAAATTCAAGTGCTAAATTTTATACAAGTCCCCTGTGAAAGCTCGATATTATTCCCACTATTTCCATGTTTCTCTTTCAGTTTCTTTATTATCCAAAAATGTCTCCTATTCTTTTGTCTATTTTTCCCTCCCGTTCCCACAGACAGCTATGTGTATATTCACCAAAATCACATTTCTTTTTTTCTATTTTTGTCTTTTTTTTTCGTTTCCCGCCAAAAAAAGAATGATCAACACTTTTGAGGTGTCGCCGACAAACACGTGTTCGTTTTTTTTGCCCATATTTTCGCCTCGTGCAGATGTACCAGAAAAATGGGCGGAGCCATCAGCAATGTCTCACCATTTCCCCGCTCATTTCATTTCATTTCATATCGTTCTTTTTTGATTTTGCTCCTCTCTCCTCTATTTTTTTCGAAAATATTGTTTAGATCCAAAAACACTTTATTGATTTTTCTCCCAGAATGACTGACACTTTGGTTTTCGACAACACTTTGGCGGATGGTGAAACTGTTCATGAGATGATGGCTCATAAGGGTGGAATCACCTACAACGATTTCAACATTCTTCCTGGACTCATCAACTTTTCGGTGAATGATGTCGACTTGACAACAAAGATCACCAAGGATATTGAGATCAAATGCCCATTGGTGTCTTCGCCAATGGATACGGTTACCGAGTCGTCGATGGCGACTGTTATGGCGGTTAGTTTAGCAGAAGCCTTAGAAGATGCCGGGCTCGAGATCGCAGCCAGGCCCTCTGTAATTTTAGGCCTCATTTTCCAGTTTGATTTACTCTCTTGTTTCTCACACATAATCTAAAAAGGCAAATGTTCTTTGACTCGGAAAAAAATTAATAAATCTTATACTATTTGCCCCAAGGTTTTTGAAATTTCTCCTAAGCCTACCCTGTTCCTCTGACTCTACTCACAATCAGCTTACTCATCTAACCCCCTTTCCAGCTTTTCGGTGGCGTTGGAATCATCCACGGCAACTTCCCAACTGCCGAACTTCAAGCTGCTGAAGTTCTCAAAGTCAAACGTTTCAAGCAAGGCTACGTGATGCAACCATATTGCTTGAAACCCGATTCAACTGTCGCCGACATGATCGAAATCAAAAAACGCTATGGTTACACCGGAGCCCCGGTCACCGAAACCGGATTCGTTGGATCCAAGCTTTTGGGAATGGTTACAGCTCGTGATTTTGATTTCATCACTATGAACAGCAATTCAACGGTGAGCTTGATAGGTTTCATAGGTTTCATACGTGAATATGTATTGTTTTTTAGGCTGACGTCACTATGGAAACACCAATTGCTCAGATTATGGTGCCAGTTGAGAAATTGACATTGGGAAATGCTGCCGATGCTCCGGAGGTTTCAATCAAGACTTTGAAGAAGTGTCGATTGGGTAAATTTCTTTTGGAATATTTTCAATAAAAAATCAATAAATTGATAATTTTCACATAATTTGCATAAAAAATTGAATTTTTTTCAAAACAATTGGAAAAAAAATCAATTTTTTAGGCAAACTCGCAATCGTCAACAAAAAAGGCGACTTGTGTGCGTTGCTTTGCCGCTCGGATCTTCTGAAGACTCGTGATTACCCATTGGCTTCTCACGATTCCAAAAATCAACTTCTCGTTGGTGCCGCAGTCAACACCCGCGAATCTTCCAAGAAAAATGTGGAACTTCTTGTTGCTGCTGGCGTCGATATCATCGTCATTGTAAGTTTTCTGATTTTAAAAATCAATATCAATATCTTGATTTTTTTCAGGATTCTTCCAATGGAACATCAACCTATCAGGTTGAGATGTTGAGATGGATCAAGGCGACTTATCCAAAGATCCAAGTCATTGCTGGAAACGTGGTGACCCGTCAACAAGCCAAATTGTTGATTGATGCTGGAGCTGATGCACTCCGTGTTGGAATGGGAAGTGGATCGATTTGTATTACTCAAGAAAGTGAGTTTGAACATTCTACAGTACTCTCTTGATACAGTATATTTTTAATTAAAAATTTAGAAACCTTCTGTCAGAACTTCAATTATTGATTGAGGATAGCTTAAATTACAGCTTACATTTTTTCAGTCATGGCCGTCGGACGCGCTCAAGGAACCGCAGTCTACGATGTTTCTCGCTACGCAAAACAATTTGGCATCCCAGTGATTGCTGACGGTGGAATTCGTGACGTTGGTTACATAACCAAAGCGGTTTCATTGGGCGCATCTGTTGCGATGATGGGTGGACTTCTTGCTGGAACTACTGAAGCTCCAGGAGACTACATCTGGGGACCAAATGGGGTTCGAGTCAAGAAATATCGTGGAATGGGATCGTTGGATGCCATGGAAGCGCATGCTTCAAGCCAGGATCGCTATTTTACTGCGTAAGCTTTTCTAGTGCTTCACAGAATGTTTGCAAGATAATTTTTCAGCGACTCTGACCAAATCAAGGTTGCTCAAGGTGTCACCGCCACCATGAAAGATCGTGGATCTTGCCACAAGTTCATTCCATACTTGATTCGCGGAATCCAACACGGTCTTCAAGATATCGGCGCGAAATCTATCGCTGAATTGCGCCAAAACGTCGATGACGGTTTGATCCGTTTCGAGCGTCGCTCAACCAATGCTCAACTCGAAGGCGGAGTTCACTCCCTTCACTCGTAAGTTATTCTAACTCTTGGCTTTTGAATTGATAAAAATTTGAAAAATGGGTTTTTGCAGATTCGAGAAACGTCTCTATTAAACGATTTGCGATTCGACAGACAATGTTAATTTTTTCTGTGTTTTTTTATTTATTTCATTTTTTCGATTTTTTCCGGTTCTTTTTTTTGCCCGATGTTTTTTTTTATTTTCTTCTTATAATGAATGATGTAATTCACCTGAAACTTTTTCGTCGAAGTTTTCTGTCAAATTCATAGAAAATTTCAAGTTTTTTGTTCAAAAAATGCTCGGGAAAAATACGGCAAAGATAGAAAGAAAGAAAGAAAGAAAGAAAGAAAGAAAGATAGAAAGATAGAAAGATAGAAAGATAGAAAGATAGAAAGATAGAAAGATAGAAAGATAGAAAGATAGAAAGATAGAAAGAAAAAAGATAGAAAGAAAAAAAGAAAAAAAGATCTATCTTTCTTTCTATCTTTCTATCTTTCTATCTTTCTATCTTTCTTTCTTTCTTTCTTTCTTTCTATCTTTCTATCTTTCTTTCTTTCTTTCTTTCTTTCTTTCTTTCTTTCTTTCTATCTTTCTATCTTTCTATCTTTCTATCTTTCTATCTTTCTATCTTTCTATCTTTCTATCTTTCTATCTTTCTATCTTTCTTTCTTTCTTTCTTTCTTTCTATCTTTCTATCTTTCTATCTTTCTATCTTTCTATCTTTCTATCTTTCTTTCTTTCTATCTTTCTATCTTTCTTTCTATCTTTCTTTCTATCTTTCTATCTTTCTATCTTTCTATCTTTCTATCTTTCTATCTTTCTATCTTTCTATCTTTCTATCTTTCTATCTTTCTATCTTTCTATCTTTCTATCTTTCTATCTTTCTTTCTTTCTATCTTTCTATCTTTCTTTCTATCTTTCTTTCTATCTTTCTATCTTTCTATCTTTCTATCTTTCTTTCTTTCTATCTTTCTATCTTTCTTTCTTTCTTTCTTTCTTTCTATCTTTCTATCTTTCTTTCTTTCTTTCTTTCTTTCTATCTTTCTTTCTTTCTATCTTTCTATCTTTCTATCTATCTTTCTATCTTTCTATCTTTCTATCTTTCTATCTTTCTTTCTTTCTTTCTTTCTTTCTTTCTATCTTTCTATCTTTCTTTCTTTCTTTCTTTCTTTCTATCTTTCTATCTTTCTATCTTTCTATCTTTCTATCTTTCTATCTTTCTTTCTTTCTATCTTTCTATCTTTCTTTCTATCTTTCTTTCTATCTTTCTATCTTTCTATCTTTCTATCTTTCTATCTTTCTATCTTTCTATCTTTCTATCTTTCTATCTTTCTATCTTTCTATCTTTCTATCTTTCTATCTTTCTATCTTTCTATCTTTCTTTCTTTCTATCTTTCTATCTTTCTTTCTATCTTTCTTTCTATCTTTCTATCTTTCTATCTTTCTTTCTTTCTATCTTTCTATCTTTCTTTCTTTCTTTCTATCTTTCTATCTTTCTTTCTTTCTTTCTTTCTATCTATCTTTCTATCTTTCTATCTTTCTATCTTTCTATCTATCTTTCTATCTTTCTATCTTTCTATCTTTCTATCTTTCTTTCTTTCTTTCTTTCTTTCTTTCTTTCTATCTTTCTATCTTTCTATCTTTCTATCTTTCTATCTTTCTTTCTTTCTTTCTTTCTTTCTTTCTTTCTATCTTTCTATCTTTCTATCTTTCTATCTTTCTATCTTTCTATCTTTCTATCTTTCTATCTTTCTATCTTTCTATCTTTCTATCTTTCTATCTTTCTATCTTTCTATCTTTCTATCTTTCTATCTTTCTATCTTTCTATCTTTCTATCTTTCTATCTTTCTTTCTTTCTATCTGTCTATCTTTCTATCTTTCTATCTTTCTTTCTTTCTATCTTTCTATCTTTCAAGTTAGAACTCTCTTTTTTCATTTTTTTTTAATTTTTTCAACGAAAATCAAAATTTCTTTTTTTTAACACTGTTAAAAAAAAGAAGAAAAATTTTTTTTTCGAAAAATTGATCGATGACGTCATCCATGGCAAAGTTAGAAACCGTTCCTGATTTTGCCACGAGTCATTTTTTGAACGAAAAACTTGAATTTTCATTTTTTTTTTTAATTTTTTCAACAAAAATCAAAATTTCTTTTTTTTAACACTGTTAAAAAAAAAAACAAGAAAATTTTTTTTTGAAAAATTGTTCGATGACGTCATGGCAAAATTAGAAACCGTTCCTGATTTTGCCACGAGTCATTTTTTGAACGAAAAACTTGAATTTTCATTTTTTTTTAATTTTTTCAAGGAAAATCAAAATTTCTTTTTTTTTTACACTGTTAAAAATTTTTTTTTGAAATTTTTTTTGAAATTTTTCGTCGAAATTTTTCGTCCAACTTTTTCGTCGAACAATCAAATTCATTGAAAAAAATTCAAGTTTTTTGTTCAAAAAATGACTCGTGGCGAAATCAGGAATGGTTCGTAATTTTGCCATAGAAAAAAAACGGGAAATTGACAACTGATGCCATATTTGCTGCAAAACAAATTTTGGAAAAACACCGTGAATAACTGGCGCCACTTCATCTCGCATTCCTATATAGATCTAGAGAAAGGTTTTGACAGTACTCCACACGACACAATATGGATAAGTCTGCGAAATCACGACGTCCCGGAACATCTAGTGAACATCATACAAACGATGTATAGAATTACAAAAAGTTATGTAAGAACACCAGCGGGAACCACGGAAAAAGATAAATGCATTAACTGTTTTTGATAGATAAAGTTCCCAAAACAGCCAGAAAATTTCGACTTTACAGAAAAAGTTAATTCATTTTTTATTGATGAATTTATTGATTAAAAAAACGGGAACAAAAAATAGACAAGTAAGGTATTTTTTAAAATATATTTTTAATGTAAATAAATATTCAAGAATTTCGTTGTATTCCAATTCCTTATGTTAGTATACCAGCGAAAATCCTAAAGAATAAAAATATATTTTAAAATAGTGAACAGAACAAAAACTCACTTATTTTCGGTCTGAATTCAAAAAAACGTTGTGCGACAATTCCTTTGGGTATATATGTACTTGAAATGAAAGGAAGTTTCTCCTGCGTCATTGATGATGTTGCTTCGAACCGAATGTTGATTGGTTCGAAGAATTTCGTGAAATGCTGGGATATTGAGAAAGCGCCCATCCGATTCATTTGCACTTTCTTGACAATCTATCGATATTTCCTCAAGTTCCATCAGTTCAACTTCATCCCTTTTTTCCACCATCCTCGATGTTTTCATAATCGAACAAATCGTTTTCATCATAACCATTTCGTCTTGTTCCATTTGAAAAATCCATACTGAAAAATAATTGATTTGGTTTTCGGTACCTTCGATTGACAAAAAAAACGGCAATAAAATACAGTTTTCTGGTTGTAGGTTCTGAATAAACATTCCTCATGTTTCGATTGGTTCAAGTTCAGACTAATTGAAATCAGAGGCTTTGTGGATGAATTGTTTCCCCGAATATGTATAACAATTCATGTAAAATTAAGAAGAATATGTCAGAGTTTTTTTTTGAGAACTGCATTTCTTCCACTACTTGGATTAAGGACTGCCCAAAAACACTCACTGAAAATCCCATCGATTATAACGTCGGGTTGATGGCCCGAATGATAAACTGCATTGACTGTTGGATATTCTTGTCCAAGTGAAGACATTGTTCTGAAAAATATTGGTTTCAATGTTTAAAATTAAATGATCTCAAAGAACATACAAAAATATTTTTACTTCACTTTTCAAAAGAGAAAATGAAAAAAACTCTCTGCTGAATAATAAACAACAGAGTTTTTTTTTGAGAACTGGATTTCTTTCACTACTAGGATTAAGGACTGCCCTAAAACACTCACTTCATTGTTTCAGATCGAAGATCCCATCGATTATAACACATCGGGTTGATGGCCCGAATAATATGTATACTGCATTCATTGTTGAATAATCTTGTTCGAGCAAAGACATTGTTCTGAAAAATATTGGTTTCAATGTTTAAAATTAAATGATATCAAAGAACATACAAAAATATTTTTACTTCAAATTTCAAAAAAAGAAAATAAAAAATACTCTCTGCTGAATAATAAACAACGTTCTCGCATACATTATCATTAGAGCGCACATTCTCTACTCCTCGCTGTTTTCTGCGGGAGGGGAGGGAAAAATAACAAAAAGGTTTTATTTTTCTTGCCGTGGCAACAACTATGTTGTCTCAATACAATACTCGACGTCCTTTTCAAACATGCTAAATTAATAAAAACAGATGAGATCAAAAAATATTTGGAGGATAGGATTGAAGAAAATTATTTTTTTCTATTTTTTTCCAAAATTATTTTATCTTTTTTTATTGATTTCAAACTTTTTGCTGCTTCAAATCTGTTTCTCTTTTTTCTCAACACATTCCCAACTGAATAAAGTGAAGCTAAAACGCATATTAGTGTACAGAAATTATATTTCAAGACTGTCTAATCAGCCTAAAAGAGGAATCAAGCCTCAGATCTCCCAAAAAATGAAATAGGTGATTTTCGAAAAATTTTGAAAATCAACAATTTGATTTTGAAGTCTTGATTTGTCTCTAGAGGTCTCATTAAAAGAACTTGGGATGACATTTCTAAACACTAGAATACGTTTTAGCTTGACTTTATTCAGTTGGGAGTTCGCTACGATCAAACTTGAAATCAAAAAATTTCAAAGACATTTCATATATTTTCCTAGATTTTCAAATAAAATAAACTAACCTTGGCTTCCTTTGGTGGAGAGGCTGTGGTGTTGATTTTCACAATCGGAGGAGGCAAAACGGAAGAGCTGCAAAACAATTTTTAAATTACAAGTTGACAAATGAAACAAGGGAAAGCAAAATAAAAAGCAAAACAAAACAAGAAATGAGAGAAAATGAGAGAAAACGGGGAAAATGAAAAAGAGAAGTGATTTTAGGAGAGAGAAAAATAAATTGTAGGCAGGTGGGCGTGGCTTGTGTCTCGAGTGGAAGCGGCGGCAGGCGGCGATTCAAATGGGAAGAGTGCGGCGGCGGTTTGAATTTGTTTTTTTTTGTTTTTTTCTTTTTTTTCGTATTTATTATGAAGAAAGGGAATAACAAAAGAAATAAGGGATGGGGCAGTCAGACTACATTCCAGAACAATCTCAAAAGATTAGATTTTAAGCTAAAATATATTTTGGAAACGGGAATTTTCAGGGAATCTGAGATGGAATTCGAATTAGATAATAATCAGAAAAACGGTGTAAAATTGGCAACTTACCAACACCATCTTGAGATTGATATTTTTCAATGAAGTTTTTCGTCGAAGAAAAATTGTTCGATGACGTCATGGCAAAATTAGAAACCGTTCCTGATTTTGCCACGAGTCATTTTTTGAACGAAAAACTTGAATTTTCATTTTTTTTTAATTTTTTCAACGAAAATCAAAATTTCGGTTTTTGTTGAATTTAATCAAAATTTCTTTTTTTTTTTTAACACTGTTAAAAATTTTTTTAACACTGTTAAAAAAAACAAGAAAAATTTTTTTTGTGAAAAATTGTTCGATGACGTCATGGCAAAATTAGAAACCGTTCCTGATTTTGCCACGAGTCATTTTTTGAACGAAAAACTTGAATTTTCATTTTTTTTAAATTTTTTCAACGAAAATTAAAATTTCTTTTTTTTAACTCTGTTAAAAAATTTTTTTGAAATTTTTCGTCAAACTTTTTCGTCGAAGTTTTTCGTCCAACTTTTTCGTTGAAGTTTTTCGTCTAACAATCAAATTCATAAATAAAAATTTCAAGTTTTTAGTTCAAAAAATGACTTGTGGCGAAATCAGGAATGGTTCCTAATTTAGCCATGGAAAAAACGGGAAATCAACAACTGATGCCATATTTGCTGGAAACTGGAAAAACACCGTAAAAAACTGGCCCTTTTTCATCTCGCATTCCTAGATCTAGAGAAAGCTTTCGACAGTACTCCACACGACACAATATGGATAAGCCTGCGAAATCACGACGTCCCGGAACATCTAGTGAACATTATACAAACGATGTATAGAATTACAACAAGTTATGTAAGAACACCAACGGGAACCACGGAAAAAGATAAATGCACTAACTGTTTTTGATAGATAAAGTTCCCAAAACAGCCAGAAAATTTCGATTTTACAGAAAAAGTTAATTCATTTTTTATTGATGAATTTATTGATTAAAAAAAACGGGAACAAAAAATAGACAAATAAGGTATTTAAAAAAAAATATTTTTTTAATGTAAATAAATATTTAAGAATTTCGTTGTATTCCAATTCCTTATGTTAGTATACCAGCGAAAATCCTAAAGAATAAAAACATATTTTAAAATAGTGAACAAAACACAAACTCACTTATTTTCGGTCTGAATTCAAAACAACGTTGTATGACAATTCTTTTGTGTATACTCCTAAGTCATTGATGATGTTGCTTCGAACTGAATATAGATGATTCTTTGAACTCGGTTCGAAGAATTTCATGAAATGCTGGGATATTGAGAAAGAGTCCAATAGAGTTGTTGAGTACCGGGAAGTTCTCAGAATCAATTGGGTCCGATTATTTTTTTCTAAAAATGTCCGATTCATTTCCACTTTCCATCCGATTCATTTCCATTTTCTTCACAATCTATCGATGTTTCCTCAAGTTCCATCAGTTCAACTTCATCACTTCTTTTCCACCTTCCTCGATGTTTTCATAATCGAACAAATCGTTTTCATCATAACCATTTCGTCTTGTTCCATTTGAAAAATCCATACTGAAAAATAATTGATTTGGTTTTCGGTTCCTTCAGTTGACAAAAAAACGGCAATAAAATACAGTTTTCTGGTTGTAGGTTCTGAATAAACATTCCTCATGTTTCGAAAGTTCAGACTAATTGAAATCAGAGGTTTTGTGGATGAATTGTTTCCCCGAATATGTATAACAATTCATGTAAAATTAAGAAGAATATGTCAGAGTTTTTTTTTGAGAACTGCATTTCTTCCACTACTTGGATTAAGGACTGCCCAAAAACACTCACTGAAAATCCCATCGATTATAACGTCGGGTTGATGGCCCGAATGATAATCTGCAGTGATTGTTGAATAATCTTGCTCAAGCGAAGACATTGTTCTGAAAAATATTGGTTTCAATGTTTAAAATTAAATGATCTCAAAGAACATACAAAAATAGTTTTACTTCACATTTCAAAAAAAGAAAATAAAAAAAACTCTCTGCTGAATAATAAACAACAGAGTTTTTTTGAGAATTGGATTTTTTCCACTACTTGGATTAAGGACTGCCCTAAAACACTCACTTCATTGTTTCAGATCGAAGATCCCATCGATTATAACGTCGGGTTGATGGCCCGAATGATAAACTGCATTGACTGTTGAATATTCTTGTCCAAGTGAAGACATTGTTCTGAAAAATATTGGTTTCAATGTTTGAAATTAAATGATCTCAAAGAACATACAAAAATATTTTCACTTCACCTTTCGAAAGAGAAAATTAAAAAAAACTCTCTGAGAAACTAGAAGAAGAAGAAACCGGTGTTGCAAAACGCAGAGAGTGAGAAAATCGGGGAAAAGAAAAAGAGTACAGGCGAAAAAATGACTGCGGAAAATAGAAAATCCTAGAAATTTCTTCTCGCATACATTATCATTAGAGCGCACATTCTCTACTCCTCGCTATTTTCTGTGGGAGGGGGAAGAATAACAAAAAGTTTTATATATAAGAAAAAGTAATTTTTTTCTATTTTTTTCCTAAATTCTTTTTATCTTTTTTTGATTGATTTCAAAATTTTTGCTGAATTTCAAGTCACTAATTCTTTCAAATCTGTTTCTCTTTTTTCTCAACACATTCTCAACTGAATAAAGTGAAGCTAAAACGCATATTAGTGTCCAGAAATTATATTTCAAGACTTTCTAATCAGCCTAAAAGACAAATCAGGCCTCAGATCTCCCAAAAAATGAAATTGGTGTTTTTTGAAGAGCTTGGGATGACATTTCTAAACACTAGACTGCGTTTTAGCTTCACTTTATTCAGGTGGGAGTTCGCTACGATCAAACTTGAAATCAAAAAATTTCAAAGACATTTCATATATTTTCCTAGATTTTCAAATAAAATAAACTAACCTTGGCTTCCTTTGGTGGAGAGGCTGTGGTGTTGATTTTCACAATCGGAGGAGGCAAAACGGAAGAGCTGCAAAACAATTTTTAAATTACAAGTTGACAAATGAAACAAGGGAAAGCAAAATAAAAAGCAAAACAAAACAAGAAATGAGAGAAAATGAGAGAAAACGGGGAAAATGAAAAAGAGAAGTGATTTTAGGAGAGAGAAAAATAAATTGTAGGCAGGTGGGCGTGGCTTGTGTCTCGAGTGGAAGCGGCGGCAGGCGGCGATTCAAATGGGAAGAGTGCGGCGGCGGTTTGAATTTGTTTTTTTTTGTTTTTTTCTTTTTTTTTCGTATTTATTATGAAGAAAGGGAATAACAAAAGAAATAAGGGATGGGGCAGTCAGACTACATTCCAGAACAATCTCAAAAGATTTTAGATTTTAAGCTAAATTATAATTGGGAAACGGGAATTTTCAGTCAATCTGAGATGAAATTCGAATTAGATAATAATCAGAAAAACAGTGTAAAATTGGCAACTTACCAACACCATCTTGAGATTGATATTTTTTAATAATTGTTTGAACTCTTTGAATGTGCAAATAAACTTGACGATGAAAAACTTTATAACACATATTTCAATGTTATGCTAAGATTTCGAAAGTATTCCTAAAGTTATAAAATGAAGACAATTGTCAATTTCACAGGAAAAACCAATTTCTCACCCAGTTTTGTAAAATAACATTTTTCCTTTCCATTAAATTTTTTGTGAAGATTTGAGCAAATTCTTGATAATGAATACCTGAAACTTTCCAATACAATAAATGTTGTAATTTTTATTGGGTTAAAAATAAAAAAGAATCACAAATCTGTTGAGTATAGCATGAGCAACGATATAAATTTTTTCAATGGGAGGGGAATTGCAACCGGGTATTTGAAGAAAAAAGAAAATATAATTTTGAGAATAATATATCCGTAGGTATTTAAAACATGTAAAAATCTAAACAAAACTAGTGGTTTCAATATTATTATTATGAATATTGAGAAGCTCGGTTCGCTCACTTTCACTGACACTTCTAGGCTTTGCATCCGATTTTTTGCCATTCCGTTTTGGTGATTTGAGCTGCAAAAAAATCGATTAATTTTAGAAGAAATTTCTAGCATTTTGAATAGAAAAAATATAATAATAATAATAATATAAAAAAACCAACAAAATTTCTATAACAACAATAACATATTTGGGGGGATAACACTACAACACACAAAAGCTTGGCGAAAAAAGTTCCAGAAAAAAATATGTACACTCGATTTTTCAAACTTTACCATTTTCAGACAAATGTGCCTCTACGCATACGTCGACCAAAATCCGATTTGTTTTTACTCTTAAATTTTTTGTGGATACTGTAGGGATACTGTAGGGAGGAAAAAAAGAGTTTTCAGTCAGTCAGTCAGTCAGGCAGATGGAAATGAAAAGAATATGCGTGAAATGCGAATAAAAAAAACAACCAAGTGATAGTGGAAATGCATTCACTTTTTGAAGGGCGGGGTGGGGTACTGTAGATTTTGGCGGGAATATTTGAATTTAAAAATGAAACTAATAGTTAGTGGGTGGGATTCGGAATCTTTACTATTTTATTTTTCAATAAAAAGGTAGGGAGTACTGTAGATTTTGGCGCCAAAACTTGATGATTTTTTTAGAGTACTGTATTTTTGGATTTCAAGAGGTTTTGTTAAAGTTAAAGTGTTTTTTTTTTTGCAAAAAAAGCTTCACAGTTTTGAGTTTTCTTGAAATTCACTAATAAAAATGTTAAAATTCACACTGTCACATCAGATTTATCCGAATTCCGAAAAGGTGCTTTTCTCAAAAATCAACTAACCGCTGATGGTAAATCCTCGACTAAACTCGAATGCGAATTCACCCTCACAATCGAATCTTCAGGTCCTTTCTGTGCTGTCAAAAGTGTAGCTCTGCGAGCCTTAAGCCAAGTGGCCGCCGAAATCGAAATAAATGTACATTCGTGTCGAACAGCTGCCGAATAATCCGGAATAAACCCAACTTCTTTCATAGCAACTAATGAAGATGTTGAATCATGCGCCGCTTTCGAATCCAAATATCTCTTGATTGAATCCAACACTTCAGTTCCCAATGAATGCCAAGCGCCAGCTTCAAGATTCATATTTTCTTCGCCGATTGTTACGATTGCCGAGCCTTGAAGAACTAAAGTGAACTTGTCTGAGAATTGTCCTTTGGTGTAAAGAGTGGCTGGTTTTGGTGGAGCTGATCCCAATTCTCGTAAACATGTCAAATGAGCAGTTTCGATCTGAAGATGAAAATTTTCCATGAATTTTAAATGAGTTTGGGTGGGATGGAGGATTACTGGGTTTTTGATCATGACTTGTGATCTTGTGAAAAAGTATGGAAGAAAGTTATTTTGAAACTAAAAGTTCATGAAAATGTCCTTTTTTGCACCTGGAATCAAAATTTGATTTAAATTTGGAAATATGAATATAATTTGATGTGCGACTCTAGAAATTGGCGAGTTACAGAATATCTGACTGAAGTTTCAGATGAGCTCTGGGTTTTGAATATTATCAGAAACCTTATAAAATTAAAAATCAAGAGAATTTCTTTGTGCAAATATAAATTACTGTAATTTTTCTGAATATTGTTTTTGCTAGGTTAATATATGTAGATCCAAAAATAATGTATATGGGCTGATTTTTTCAGGTTACTAAAAAAGTTTTTTTTTTTGAAATTTCGAATCACCGTGTTTTTTTCCAATTTCCCTCAAATCCCTAGTTCTAACTATTCAATTTCAGCTTTAATATAATTAAAAAATAATAATTTTTCAAAACCCTCTAATTTATTTTTATTTGTGTATTTTCCAAATTTGAAACAAAACAACAGCTCTAGTGTCCAATACACACATTATTTATTTTTCTGTGTTTTGGACTCATTTTGAAAATTGAAAAAACAACAAGGGGAGAAAAATTAGATCTATGTAAAAAATTGAACTAACAAACCTTGACACAATTTTGTCGAATCAATTTTTCCAAAATATATGGATCAATATAATCAGAAGTGAATAGTGGATGATGTGAAGTGAGCCATTGAATTGCGACAACTTGCATTTGAAAACTGATTGGCGATTTGATTTGTGGCTCTTTTACCAGTTCAGATAACCCGTGATGCTGGAAAAATTAATTTTTTTTTGTTGAAAAAAGTGCACAAATAATCCCCCTCGTCATAAAAAATACTTATTACATTTTCCCCTTGGCTTCATTTCTAATCTACTTGTGACTCATTTTTACTTGTAGCTTTCAAAACGATCTTTGAGCTTATGGATGTTCGAGAGTGAAAAAACTTTGTGATCTTTCAAAGTTAGGATAAATTGAATTTATTTTGATTGGCTGACTCGAGAGAAAAATAGACACATTTAGTGTTTTTCACATCGTGTTTTTCTTTGCATTCTTATTTTATTTTTCATTTCACACATATGAATATATATGTATTTATAAAAATTGTTGGTGGGGGAGATGAAGATGATGCATATGTATTTATGGAAAAAACGATGGGAGAGAATATCAAATTTCGGCTTGTTGTTGGCTCCTCTGAGTTTGGAAGAGCAGCAAAGTGAGATGTTGAAACTTTTGCTGGGGGGAAATTGAGAAAGGTGGAGAGAGAGTTTGGAAAATGCACTTTCTATTTTTTTTTTGTTTTCAAAAAATTGTTGAGAAATATGATATTTTTGACCTGAAATAAAAAAGAAAACGGAAAAATGTTATCTGGAAAAATATTCAACATCTGGGAACGTTTCGAAACTTTCAATGTTTCAGAGAATTTTAAGAAATCTCTGGATTTCTAAGCAAAAAAAATCTTTGAAAACTTTCTTGGAGTTTGAATAACTTCGCAAATTTTTCCGAATTTCAAAAACAGATTTCAGATAATTTTTTTAAAATTTATTCAGGATCTGGAAATTCTGTTTTCAAGTCCTCAAAATAGTGTTCCAGATCTTTTTCATCTTCCCTATTCAAATTTTTTTTTTCAGACAAAATCTCAAAAATCATCCCTCTACCCCTTAATTACCAAAAAACCCAAATAATTACAGTATAATTAATCAATAATCTCTTAAAAATTTACCTTCAGACATACATTATATACAGAAATATTATAAGAATTTCACGAAATTCACTCTGTTCCAATACTTTTAATAAAAATCGATAAATACATAGCAGCTGACGTGACAAAAATCAGAAAAATAAGCGCAAAAAAATATCGACACCATGTCGAATCGAATTTGGCGCCAAAATTATTACGCGATAAACTTCCGGCCATCGAAACATCTCGAATTGAATAACAAGATGCTTCACGTAAACTGTGCCTTACGGTAAGTGAACTTGCTCCCGGTGGTCGGAGCATTTTCAAAAGGGGTAGAATAAAAGAGCAGCAGTCAAGAAAAAAAATATATCTTTTTCTTTCTTTCTTGCTTTCTCCTCCCTTTTTCTTGACTCCACCCCTTTTTTCGTGTGTGTGTTTTTTTTTCGTTCCACAGGACAGGAATAAGAAAAATAGATAGATAGATAATTCCCAGGTCGGTAGCCGCAAAAAAAGCCAGAAGAAAACTTGAAGGAGCACACACGAAAAAAAAGATGGATAAGCAGAAAATATGGAAAAAGAATGGGATTTCTCCCCAAGTATACTTGAAAATAGCCCAAGGCAAAAGGAATTGCAATTTTCGGGGGCATTTTTGTTTTGTTGTTTTTTTTTGTTATGAGTTTATGAATTTTTGTTCTGGAAATGAAAATGAAGATTTTTGCGATAATTTTGAGTAAGTTTTAGATGCGAAATTCGAATTTCAGAAGTATTTCTGATCAAAATCTGATAAGCTGATTTTGAAAATTTCAGAGTTATCAAGTGAATTTTCAACGTATGTAACCCAGATTTTTTTACTGGGGGGTAATTTTTAATTTTCAAGACTTACGAAATTACCCCCCAGTAAAAAAATACTCCCCAAATGCCACACAAACCTTTGTTCTTGCACGCTTCTTTCGATGAACATTATCGCAAACCGCATCAGTTTCATCAAGAATTTCAGCCTGAATAATTTCTTCAATAATATCTTCCAATGTGATCAAACCAGTCAATTCGTAGTATGGATCAGCATCATCGACAGAAACAACGCGATGAACCATCGCCAAGTGATATTCTCCCTGGAACATTTTCAATTGTTTGAGATGTTAGAACTCTGATTCATTGATCATTATTTTTTAAATATCAAACCAATTATTCAGTGTTCCGCAAATTATGAGTTTTATTTTAATTTGAAATTTGACACACATCAAAGATTAGGTTCAAAAAAATGATTTCGACTAACGTGTACATCACCCTAGGGATTTTTTGTTTGTTCCGAAAAAAAACAACCAAGTTACTTTTTCTCGTCATTTTAAGAAAAATATGATTTTGAAGTGAAAAATTGGATTTCCTTTAGATTCATTTTAATTTGTGTCTGAATTTTTTTTGGAAAGCTAAATCTTTGAATTTGAAAAAAAAAATGTTGAAAAAAATCTAGGATTCGGAATTTTTTTAGTTTTCCGAACTGTGATCTACATTTAACCAACTTTCATTTTGCGAATTAGATTTTGAATGTGAGAAGTTGAAGCGAGAAATTTTTAAAAAGCGAGAAATTTTTTTTGAAGCGAGAAATTTTTAAAATTAAAATTGCTGATAAAATATGAAAAAAAAATTGAGAATTAAAAATGTTGAAAAAAATTCAGAAAAACTTTATAACATTGTTTTGTTGAACAAATTGAACCTGTTAAAATTCAGAATATTATCAAATATTCTATCAAGAATTTCCAGACTTCGGAATATTCAATAAATTATTCACTAATTCCCCTCAAAGTGTCCAAAACCTAGACATTGCACGTCATTTTGTTATTTGGAAACTATCACAATTTTCAAATTTTTGTTTTGAAAATTGATTTTTGAAAAGTTCAAACATGTATTCATAGCTGATCAAACTCAAAATCTTCCAAATCCATATTTTTTCTAGACCTTCAATGAATTATTCACTCAAAGTTTCCAAAACCTATACGTCATTATTTCTCCAAAAACTTTCCAAAAAATAATCAAACTGTCTGTCTGGGTCTCTCACCATTCCCATACTCTCTCACCCTCCCTCATTTTCTCAAATTTCCATCTCCTCATCATTTATTCATCGCAGCTAATTGTCTTTTTTGGTCTTCTCCTAGATCCTAAATAGGTCATTTTTGGTTTTAAATTCGTCAGTTTGCAATTAGTGTGTGTGCGGGGCTTTTTCAGTTCTACGAATTTTCTTTTTCTGTTGATTTTTGGGATTATTTGAGTTGATAAATAGAAAATATAAATATTTTTTTCTGAAGCTACAGAGTACCTTTTTAAATTCATCAAGCAATAATCGAAGGGGTGTATCTTCATCGATAACTCGAACATGATGTTTATAAACTGAGCAAACTTTCATCACATCCATATTATCGTCTGGATCCAGAAGAGCCAAATCTTTGACAAAGAGAAGAGCAACTACATTATTCCGATTATCTGAAAAGTTTTTTTACTTTTTTTGGATATTTGAATCTAAAAAAAATCATTTTCAATCTTTTCAAGTGCACACTTATTTACTATAAATTTTCAGAAAATCCAGGAAGTACAAACAAATTGCAAAATCTTCTCAACCTATTTTATTTTTGAAGAAAAAAACAAAAGGGGAAATGAAAAGTGCAAAACTGTGGGTTGAGTTTGTTTTTTATGAGATGAATTTTTCAGGGAAGTCAATTTTTTTGGGAAAATAGGTTTTGATTATTTTCATGTCGGAGTTACCGTAACTGAATTTGTTTTTTTTTAATTTTGAAATTGTTTTTGTGAAAAAATGTCAGTGAAAAATGTTTTATGACTCAAGTTACTTTTAGAAAATGAAAAAAAAAAATTCAACATCAGTTTTCAAAACATTTTATGTTTTACTTTAGAAAATGAAAAAAGTTGAATTTTTCTTTGAAGGCTCCAAAATAAAATTGTTGTTTTTCTAAACTCACTTTCAAAAATCGGAATTCTTGTATAACCCATTTCCAAAATCTCATTCACAGTTTCAGGTCCAAGTTTCAGCGTTGTTGGAAGCATGAAAACATCATCAATCTTTGTCATCGCTTGGCGAACTGTTTTATCCGTGATTTCCAATGCTCCAAGGGCAATTTTGAAGTCGTCATCTTCATTGCAGTCACTTGCTCCCACCTGGAAAATTGATAATTTTTGTTCTTGAATGAAAATTTGCATAAAATTTAGTGTTCAGGGGAAAATGAAATGAGAGAAGAGGCGTCGTTTATTGCATACAAATTCTTGTTTTTGTTATGGATATGTGGTGTTGGATCTTCAGGGACTAGAAAATATTTTGTAAATACATAAATAAAGTATCCCAAGCTTCTTGAGCCTGATTTTCTTATCTCATTTTTATTCCATGTATTCAACCCCTCCTGTTTAATCAAGATTCAAGAAATCAAAACGACTATTTTTGCATTCTCCTGAATAAATAATTAATTAGCAAAAAGATAAGAAATTTGTAGCGTTAGGACTTTGAAAATATGTAGTCTTACGGTACTACAATTTTCTAAATCTAGAAGGGAATCTGCAAAAACAACGACGTCAGCGGAAAAAGTCTGGGTGATCTCGATGAACATTTTAATTTAAAAATTTTAAGAGAAAAAGTGGATATGGGAAACTTGGTGGTAATGAAGTATTGTAGTTTTTCATTGTCTAAAAAAATGGGATATTCGGAGAAATTGAAGAACTTATAAACATTCCTACATAAAATTATTAGTTTGAGAATAATCTAGAAAAAAATGGATCTTTACCAAAATTAGAAGGAAATTAGGAAAAATAAGGTGGCTTAAAAACTGGATATTAATTATAAGTTATCACAACTTGATCAGAAATTTGAAAACCACAGAAAATTATTTGAAATTGAAGTAGACTGAATGGAATTTTGGATATTCATCACAGATTGATAAAACAGTTCCCAAAAAGCCATGATTTCTCATAAAGCCACTTACAGTAACCCAGAAAAAAATCATAGCAAGAAAGCTATGCTTCTATAAAATTAAATTAATGATTTGCACTTTCTCAAACCCCAGCTTGATTTCTCTCGTTTCTCACATACATACTCCTCCCATAAATCCCCCGCTGACAAGGAACGTCTGAAAAATCAAATCCATCTAAAAATATCCCACATCTGGAAAAACATATATTCAGCCAGACGTTCCAAATGTTGGGAATGTGTTGCTTCACTGTTAAAAGACAGATAATTTAAAAAAAAATCGATATATCAGAGCTGACTCCTGAAGTTCTCAATCAATATCGAATTACAGTATCTCCATTCAACCAGGAACTATTTTTGAACTTGCTGTTTTTATGATATATCAGAGTTCACCCAACATTTAACAACAACAAATATTGTATTTTTTCAAGCTCAAAGATCAACCAAAATTCTTGAAAATTCTGGATATTTTAGGCACGTCATTAGACAATTTGGCTCAAAACGCGATATATTTTTTTCAAAAAATTTATTTTCGATTGCTTGAAGTATTTACTAAAAATTCAAAAATCAAGATTTTCTTTGCGTGTTTTTGAAGAATGTATTTTTAGGGTTAAAAACCTGAATTTCAGAAAACAAAATTAAAATGATGTCATCTATGGGAATCGAGAGATTTTCCAGAAACAGGAAAATTTAGAAAAAAATCGAGCAAAATTTGGGGGATTTTTTGTATCAGGTTAGAAAAATGTTGATCAATTACATAAAGTAAGTTCAAATTGGGCCGAGGAGGCCCCTTTTTGGACAGAATTAACAACAAGAATCTTCACTAATCACTCTGGACTAATACATTCTCAAGATCGGGTACACTAATTGGGTCAGGCTCGATTTCTTGATTCCAATTTGAAGATTCACCAAAATCTGTTCTGTATTCAATATCAAAGAAGCTGCATCTTTTGTCAAAAGGCATTGAATTTTTTTTTTCAAAATTCATCACAAAAAAAAACAATTTCCGTCATGATTAGTGATTTATCATTTCTTGTGGAATTATATAGAAACTTCTACAAATCCTAGAAGAGTCTCAAAATGTTTTCCTGATTCCTAGAAAAATGTTTTCCTGATTCATACAAATAATTGTTTGTAGTTTATCAATAACAAAATCTAATAGCTTTCATATTCCAACTCTCAAGGGACTCTTCCAAATTGTTCAATGCTCTTGAATACTTCCGAAAACTTTTGATTTTCTCCTCGGACCTTCTTCACCTGAGCTTCTTCAAATCCCCTCGGATACTTCCGTGATCATTTTGCTACTATTTTCAGATGATTACAATTCAGGCTTAGTCAAAACGATGACAATTTATTATTTTTCTATCTCGTGATTTCCCAATTAGGCTCAAGTTCTGCTAAATCAAAATCGTATAGTAGAAGATGACAAAAATTAGTGAAATGCCAGGAATTGATGTTGAGAGTTTGATTTCGAGCGTTGAAAACGGCGGGCGCATGATGAGAATTGAGGGCTGCGGTGCGCGGCGGTGCCTGGTGGAGGGCTCCGGAGCCGATCAGACAGAGAGAGAGGGGAGAAAAGAAGTCGACGGGATCTGAGAGTGCGTCAATGGGTGACGTAATGGTTGGGGATGTGTGTGTTATGATGAAAATATGAGGTGTAGGGTTTTCGAATACGCTGATCATGGTGGGAGGGGTGATTTTACACCAGGAGCTTTCAGAGTTTTACACCAGGAACTTTCAGAGAAAAGGAAGAGATAATTGAAGCTGAATAGAAGTTAAGGATAAATGGGGTTTCTCGAAAAAACACTGATGATCATTATAAATGGGACCATTTTTTATCAATGTGTGAACTCTGGGACCATGAAGAACTCAGAAATATTGAAGAAAGAGTTCTAGGTAGATTAAGGATGTAAGGTGTTCTAGATTTTCGAATATTCAATGTCTCAAAAATTTAGGACAACTCTTCAAAACTTCAAAACAAAAATCAAGAAATTCAAAAGTGACTTCAAAAGTCAAATTTGAATTTGTACTTTTATGAGAATATGATTTGAGAAAACCTATTGTAACCACATTTTTTTGTTTTCATATTTCAATTTTCAAATTGAAATCATGTTTCAGAATGTCGAGAATTGAGAGGGATTTTGCAGAGCTCCCAAAACCTTAAATCTTGGTCTTCCAAACTCAAAAAAAACTATTTTGCACGAGATTCTGACTAATATATTTTTGTTATTCACTTTTTCCAACACTGTTCTCGAAAAACCTCATTATCCTGGAATTCCCCAGAAACCATCAAGCTCCAAATTGATAAAAACAAATAATGAGCAATCACTATTTTGTAGTTTGAACTAGAGAATTTTTGATTTATTTTTGTTCTTGATCATCCTGGAATGAACTGGAGAGAAATGAATTTTAGAATGGGAAATATGAAATCAAAAAAAATCATGATCATGAAAATGTGGAAACTTATGATATCTCCGACTTGTGGGATCTCAAAATATCCAAATTTTTTTAAAATCAAAAATACCCCAAAACCCGATAATTGTTGCAGATATATCGATCAAAAACCAGGTAAAGTTTACAAATTCGTCAAATTTTCTTTGCCTCTTTTTTTTCTCGCTCTCTCTTCAAAAACATAATAATTATAGCTACAAGTATAAGAAGATAAATATACTTTTTCATTTCAAACCTAGAAAAAACTAGCATTTTTCTCCGTTTTTGATAAGTTTTTATTTTCGAAAATATTTTTTTTGTGTGTTTTTTTTTCGAATTTCAGAATTCTTAGGATTTGGGGAAAAATTTGAAGAATTGTGCAGGAATTTGAGGATTGGAAAATTCAAAAAATTTTAAAATCTTAAAATCTGATTAGATGTTGTAGAGAGGGAATAATGAGAAAAAAATTCATGCACTGAAGTTTTCTCTTGGAGATTGACATTACGTGAAAATTGCCCTTATGACGTCATTTCACGTGAAAATCAAACTTCTGACGTCATTTCACGTGGCTCCTAGAAACTACGTCAGAAGAGCATACATTTTCGAATCTTTGAGTTAAAAACATTCCAAAAAGACTTGTCATAACTAAATTTCGAAAAAAATACGCTACCCCTCAAACCCATATAATTATTGGTTGTTTATGTATCAAAACACAAAATTCTTGCAATTCTGAAATCCTCCAATTCTCTATTATTTTTTTGAAAATGAATATTTTTGAGAAAAACCCACCAACTGTGACATTTTCATCATTTCCACCAATTTCTTGCGACCAAGCGGTTGTGTCAATTCCTCTTTCAAAAAGCAATCCAAAATCATTGAGATAGTTTTACTAATCGGTGCCATCACAAACATAATCAGTCTAGTTAGTGGAATTGTTGCTGCACCAACACGTAGGCCTTGTTTCACACAAATTGCTTGCGGCACAATTTCTCCGAAAACTACGATACCACATGTTGAGAAGACTAGAGCGAATAGACCATTTCCGATGAGGTCATCGAGGAGAAGTGAGACCGCCGCGTTGACTACGACGTTTCCGAGTAGAAGGGTGCAGAGAAGATTGTTGCCTTTTTTACGGATTGGTAGGATTTTTTCGGCGTAGCCACGTTCGCGTGGAGTTCCTGGAAATTGGAAAGTTATTTTTTAAAGGAATTTTTGGGCCTGGTTTTGAAAAGAGAAAAATTTCCACAAGCTTTTGTGTTTGGAACCTGTAGTTCAGATTCTCGAACTCTTCAAAGATCAATTTTAATTATCCTAGATCCTAGATTATTCTGAATTTTCAGCATTCAGAATATTGAATTAAAATAATTTGACTTGAGTATTGTCAACTTTTCTGGTCTAGTTTTGAACCTATTCAAGAACGATCTCATTTTGAACTTTTTTCTAAAACCCTCTTACAGTATTTCAAGCTGTATTTGAATTTTCTCACAAAATTCGCATTTTCCACCAGAGAGTCTAATTTTTACCCAATCAAACGCGGTTTTAAAATGATCCCCACAAAATTCTGCACAAGACGATACCCCTCTTCCCACACCACACCAAAGGGTTCCTGAGATTCCCAATCCTCGAAACCCTCACCCTGGAGCCCTCTACTTTTTCAGTTGGCATAACCTTGTTTAGCTTGACTCCGCCCACTTTTGCCTTATCAAACTATAACCCTAGTGCTTGCCACTCTTTGTCCCGCCCATCGGATAGGCAAGGATATTGTTGAATCATTATTTTTCGAATTTCTACTTCTTCATCCGACGTTTTCTCCAGAGCTCCGGACTTCTTTTACGACTTCAGAGGATGAGTTTTTGGGAATGGTTTTTTTTCTGTTAGGATTTCGGGTTCAGAATGTTTCTTTGGATCATCTAGGATGTATTTTATTTATGTTTATGTTTTTTTAATTGTTGATTATTTTAATTATCTGAACTTCTAATTTTCATATCTGAACTTGTTAATTAATTAATTGGGGTTCAATTCTAAATTTGTCTCTATTGAATCAAATTGCTGGTCTGACCAAACTACAAATATTTTTAGTTTTTTCCGAAACTCACTGTTTCAAGTTGCACTTTTGAATTTCGAAAATTTGCACTTACAAATAATATCATTAATTTTCATTCTGAATTCTAAATTCTAATGTCTAAATTTCATTGTCATGTTTCTCATTCAAAACAATTTTTTTCATTACGCATTTGTTGTTTCTTGTATTTTCTGTTGCCAATGTTTTTACTACAAAACTCTTACGTCACTGCCTAGGGAATTACCATAAGCTTTCCAAACAGGCTCCGCCCATTTTAGATATTTTGGAGCCCGCTTAAAATGGTTGAGAGCATTCCGAGTTTACTTTGATTTCTTGAAATTATTGTTTTTTATTATCACGTCACTTATCCCTTCACACGCAATGTATATTTTTTTGTCTAGCCCGCCCCCCCCTATTTTTAGACTGAAACTTAACGGTTTTTCTCCAGAAGTTTGACTTTCTTGAATTGTTTTTTTTAATCGTCCTCTTACGTCACACATTCTAAAACAACCTGAATCATTTTCAGGCTTAACCTCAAGCATGTTAGCTGTAGACATTGTGAGATCGTTTCTGACTGTCTTTGTGTTTGGAAATATCGCTTACACCGCTTTTCTTGTCAAAACAAAAAAGAAAGATGTTTCAAACTTCACAAGAGCAGTTATGATTGCTCAGGTTATTGGTCAAACCTCAATCACAATAGGATTGTTCATCATTGAATCAATTGAACTTGTCGACAAACATTTTGGAACGGACTATCTCACATCATTCAACTCAAGCGTTTTCTCTACTCTCATTCGGTTTCTTAGGGATGTTGGATTTTCAATCAGTTTCAACACAGTACCTCTAATCTCGTGTGAACTTCAACTCATTCAAAGATTGATCAAAAAACTACGATTCACTTTTCGATATCATTATAAATATCAGAGTTTTGCAATATTCATTCTTGCCAATCTCATCTACGTTATTATGGATCTGATTTTCTGGAAAAGTGCTGTCGAATATTATGTTCAGTTAGGAGTTTTGTTCATCGATTACATTATATTTGGAATAGTAAGTTAGAAATCCATTCTAGTAATCATTTTAAAAAATGCCTTTTTCAGTTTCACCACATGCTGTATCGGCCAGACTATAATACGGAAAAATATCAAGTTACTTATAATATTATAAGAGAACATCATATCAAGAACATTGCAATCAATAAACGGAAAGGACTCTCGTCTAAAGGAATTAGAATACTCATCTGCCAACTTGTGATTCTGATTTGCATGGGCATAATGTTTTGTTTGAAATATTCTAAGGAAACACATTTCTTCTGGGACTTTTCTGATGAGATTTCACTCAAAATTGGACTGATTTTTATGTCATCGGTCAACTCGTTAATTTTGTCGGAACAGGAATTTGACAAGGTTAGTTCAGGGGTTTATAGGCGTTCAGAGAGTTCAGGAGGTTAGAGACGTTCGGGGAGTTCAGGGGGTTCCACGGGTTTAGAATTAGTATGACAAGAAATGAATAAAGGTAATGTTTGTGGGGTCGAGTTTCGGTGGAGATGTTTTGAACGACTAATAATCGAAGATCTTAACCGCAAGAACTACGTGACATCATCAAAAATATTTTACGAAAAAGCCAGGACGACTGCAAATCAAGAAAATCTTGCAGGTCGTCCCATCAGAGGCTGAATTGGAACCAACTCCACAAAGCAACCAGCAATCGGTTGCAATAGAAATGACACAAAAATACTAAAAAAAAACTATTTCAACTTTTGTTTTGGTTTTTTTATTTGTTTCTTTTTTGTTTTGTTGCTAATGGAATGTTTTCTGGGTATGATTGCTGAAATTAGATAGAATTCTTTGAACCAGACTTGAAAATTCAAGGTCTGGCGTTAGAAGCCTAAGATGTCTAATTTTTGCATGTTACCCAATTGATATCCTATTGCTAATTTATATCAATAAACAAAACATTGTTATTATTGATAATTTGATTTTTAACAGTTCGTTTTCATCGAATTGAAATACCTATTTATTTTTTTGAATAATTATTCTTGTTAACCTTATTTTTAGGAATTTTGATGCAGCCAGAAGCCTATCTTTTGATTTTGCAATTCTTTCTCCTCTATTTGATCTTCATCATCTTAAAAGTGGTCAGGAAAGTAACATTCAAAGTATTTTCTCGTCCCAAACACAACAAAAGACGATAGGTAAGTTGCAAAATATTCATCGATTGTCAAAATAATCGAGAATTTTACAGATATCACTTCATTCGTTGGAGGAAATGAATTGTACTCCAAACATTGTTGATGTTTATGTAGAACATAGCCGATTTTTGAGCGATCTTCAGCCATGGCTTATGGCTGTATTATTTTTATTGATTTTCTTGTTTGAATCGATGATTTGGTTCAGCATCAAGCCAATCATATGGTTTGGAGTTGTTCTCAAGTTTCTGGCGTTTTTCCTAGAAACCCATGTGTGCGGAGAAGGTTGCTACAAATCCATTCTATATGCATAGACAAATCAGGTTTCAGGAATTTCTTCGCAAACCGCTAAAGTCCTCACTGTTTGTGCCGAAAGTATTTACATTTTTGCGCCAATCATCACTTTAGTACCTATTCTAGTTGCGAATTCTTGTTACACAGCTGAAGACCCAATATGGGCTTACAGTACTTCAGCTATATTGGTTCATAGTTACCTCGCATGTTCACAAGTTGTACATTATTTTGTTTACGAGTGGAACTATAGTCATACAGTTAAAATTGTTTTGATGATTCATTTGGCGATTTCAAGCTTAGGGGTGAGAATGAGTTAGGTTGGAACTTTTTTGTAAAGGCGGTCAGACAATTATTTCGGTTCTCCTTGAAGCTCCTTGTTTCATCCAAACTTCAAACTTCTAATTGGCGCCAAGTTTCCCGGATAGGAATGTGTAAACACTGCGACGCACTAGCCTACAGTAGGATTTTGAATTTTGAGTTTCGACTAATTCAATTCGGAAACTTCGTGGATGCTCTCGGTCAACTGTAATAGATGTCTGACCGCCTTTAACTCGACAACTACAAAATAGAAACTAGAAACATTTCAGTTCGCCCCGTTTATTGGAGCCTGGCAGTCGGAGATAATAAAACATGCTCCTACAAGAACTGCAATTTGTCGGAAATTTGTTAAAAACTACATTGAACCTCTTGTGAATCGTATCGCATTTATAAGACCATTGATAATCATCAGAGGACCCTCCTTGTTCTTTGGAATAGTTCCTATTATTTATTTTGGCCAATACAAAACTGAGTTTTTGACAAATAACAGAGCAATTGGTGTTGCTTCGTTTCTTGAAGTAACTTGTTTGGTGATTTATGAGATTTTTATGGGTATTGAGAAAAATCATTCGGTAAGTTTTTACTAGCTGAATAGTTGGTGAAGCCGGAAGATTTTTTTTACAGAACATGGTTCATCCATTCAATTAACAAATATAAAATCCTCGAACTTTTATAATTATCAATCAATTTTAAACTTTAATTAATTTTCAAAATCATCAATGGCTTTCTTTATTGTTCCTAGATTTCACAAAAACCTTAAAATTTTATCCATATTTTTAAATATCAAAACACAGTTTGTTTTTATCGAACGTGACTTATCTCACAAGGGAAGTGTATAAGGTCCCGGAATAAACTTTTAATGAGACTTGGTACACATATAGATTCGAACTCGCTGATCTCGAATTCGTTTTCAAAAATTGCCACAATTGCACCCAAGACGAGTTTTTCACCATCGAAAATGCGCCATATTTCTCATTGTTTCATATGTCAAACATTTGCGGGCAAGAAAAATAACAGCGGATGGCAGAGTGGTTAGCAATCTCGACTTTAAAATTTTAGGTTTCGGGATCGGTCCCGGCCCGTGGCGAACTTTTTTTCAAAAATTTTTTTTTTCAAAAAAAAAGAACGAATTGAAGATGATCTTTCATATTTATTTTTATAGCTTTCATATTTATAGTTATCCAAGTTACCTTCATCCGGTGGATCATCTTCAATTCGTTCCAGAATTTCATCGTTTTCAACTATAATTTCGTTGATGTCCACACTACGCAAAACATCAATAATTCCGTTAGGAACTTTTTGAAGTTCTCGCGGGAGACATACTTTCTTGTGATTGTACAATTGTCATTGAAATTACCCATTACGAAGTGCAAAATTTGTTCAGAAGGTAACATTTTGAACGAGAATTTGAAAAACAAAAAAAATGATGACAAAAAATATAATTCAAAGTCGGTACGTAGACATCTTTACAGGTTTCGAAAAAATTTTGAAAAAAAAAATTGAAAAAAAGTTCGCCACGGGCCGGGACCGATCCCGAAACCAAAAATTTTAAAGTCGAGATCGCTAACCACTCTGCCATTCGCTGTTATTTTTCTTGCCTGGAAATGTTTGACATATGAAACAATGAGAAATATGGCGCATTTTCGATGGTGAAAAACTCGTCTTGGGTGCAATTGTGGCAATTTTTGAAAACGAATTCGAGATCAGCGAGTTCGAATCTATATGTGTACCAAGTCTCATTAAAAGTTTATTCCGGGACCTTATACACTTCCCTTGTCAACTCATTTTTCTCATTTTCAAACCATTTTTCAGTCAACTGCCAGCAGTTCAAAATGAACTGTACAGTAGACATTTTCGATGCTCATTTTGATCTACATCCTTTTTTGAATATAATGAGACCATGTTCAGCCATAACAACCTTGCTTGTTATATTTTTCCTAGAAGGAGTGATATGGTATCGCCCAATAATAATCCTATTTCTCGGAGCTTTTCTCAGATGTTCTGCTTATATTGGAGGACATATGTGTGCAAATGGTAGTCCTTTTCTGTTTCAATTCAATGTTTTCTTTATTCAAAAATAATTTTATATACATAGGAATACATCTGAAGCACGAAAAGGTTCTGCTGATGTCTTCAGAATTTATTTATATTTCTGCACCTTTGCTTGTAATGATACCGGTGCTTGTAACAGTTTCTTCTGGAAAATTCGACAATCCTGAATCGACTAAAACTGTTTCGATGATTTTTGTTCACTGCTTTTTGACTTGTTTACAAATATTGCATATGATTACTTCTGATAAAACAAATGCTCGAATTTATGATATATTAGTGATGATTACTGTGGGATTGTGGTGTTTGTTGGTGAGTAATATGTGTCAGGTCTGATCGGAATTGAGTTATTGGAACTTTGGAATTCTGATTCTTCATAAAGATGTCTATGGGAAACTCTCTTCTATTTGAGCCTAATTTAAGTCATAGCCGAGCCAACGACAAAACCCGTGAATCTGAATGTGAGATTGATAGAAACGAGTTTTGTTTCCGACATGTTTTTTCGTGAACTTTAAAAAAAGATCAGTTACACCAATTCCGATCAGGCCTGAGCAACAACCTCTGAAATAAACTTCCAGCTTCATAGCTGCGTTGCATCGTGGTACCAACACGGAATGGAAGAAGCTAATCTACCGGATCAAGACAAAAATCGTAAAGCGTTCGCTCTCTCCCACATGAAACGACTCGCAGAGCGCATCAATTTTCTTTTTTCTTCCTTGTTACCAGAATGATCATTTATGTTATTATGATTATAACTGTTGCAATATTTGAACACAGTTTTCTGGGAGTTCGAATTTACTACAGAGCTATGGGATGTGCTTCACTTGTTGAAGTAGTCGTTATGCTTTTTCGTGATTTCTTTATCAGAAAGAAAAATGTATGATTTCTTGATTAAGAACAATATATAAGGATTTTATTACAGCAAGTATTACCATTAGTTGTGATGTATCCACCAAGCAGTTCAAATTAGATTTTTATATGGATTCAATTCTTCCAATTTTTCTTTATTTTTTTGTTTATCTAAAAAGAACATTCAGAAAAAGTTCCTTAATTTTTTTCACTTATTCGTTTTCATCGAAGTCAATACCTGAGATACTTCAAAAATAATTCTATCTTGTTTCTCTAACGTTTCTTTTTTCAGCTAACTGGTTAAGGAAATTGAAAATGAACTGCACTTTGAGTGTTTTCAGTCATTATAATCATGGTTGTTCTTTCTGGGACAACGCGAAACCATATGCTCCATATGCAATTGTTGCCTCGATATATCTTTTTGAGTTAATCATCTGGATCACCGTCAAATCTGTCATCTTCTTCGGATTGTTTCTCAAACTCACGGCATTTTATATTCATCACTATGTTGTCAAAGATGGTTGTTTGATTCCTGATTCTGAGTTTACTGAATTAATGATAAAATTTTTAGAAACAATGCATCAAATCGAAAAAATATTGAAGGATTGTGCTGAAAACATCTACATCTTCTCATCCTTATTCATCATGTTCCCAATAATTGTGGCTGTCGCAACAAGGAAGTCAAAAACAGTTTACCGTGCTCGAGTTTTTCTAATTCATACTGTTTTGGTATTCTTACAATCTTGGCAAACTCTTTCTTCGGAAAACTTGGATGCAGGAATACCCAAAGCGTTTTTTATGATTGTGACGTCACTTGTTTCTTTTGCGGTGAGTGAAACGATTATAAATATTTATAGATATGTATATGATAAAACATTTCAGTGTTTCCCTCTAATTAGCAAAATCTTCAAAGAAATCGAACTTCGAACAGAATTGGCATCGCATTTCTCGGATCGTTATAGATTCGGTGAAAGCCATATCAAACCATTCAGAGCACGCCTTCAATTTCTTCCATTCTATGTTGTGATGAAACTCGTGTGCTTTTCTGTTGCATTTGTCATTTTGTTTGTTACTACTAACTTACAGTTGATTTCTGAGGCTCAGTGCGACACTATGTGCTCTGCATCATTTGTCGAAGGAGGTTGTTTGATTATACACGCATGTGTTGCTTGGGTCAATCGGAGAAAGGTTTGTTTTTATTGAAATCTTGACTATCAGAATCAGATGGTTTACAGAAAATAAGTCGTGTTGTGCCAATAAATACGAGCACTTCAACAACAAGCAAATAAAATATATAAATTGGTACCACACGCTCCATCGTATGTAACATTTCTGTGTGTTCGAACGCGGCGCGGTCTGCGTTGCGTATCTATTCCGGTGGAGCGTGTGTTACTATGTATGATGCATAATAATCCATTTTTGAACATTTTTTCCAGTTCTTTTTTATATTATTGTTTTCATTTATTTTGTAATTGTTGTGTTGTGAGAAAAATCTTTGAAAAATATCCGATTCTCATTATTCCATTGAAACAGTTCGTTTTCATCGAGCTTGATACCTCTTGTGTAATATGTTTTTTATTGATTGATTCTCAATTTTCCAAATACCTTCGTTGGCAAACCATTTTTCAGCTAATTGGTTAAGAGAATTCAAAAATGGAGGACTGCACTATGACTCCTTACGGTTGTGCGCATTACCCCATGGACTGGATGGAACCATATGTTCCATTGGGAACATATATATCAATTTATTCAATCCAAGCTTTGTCATGGGTTACTGTCAAATTTGTGTTGATTTTTGGAATCTTATTGCAACTCGTCGCGCATTTTTTGATGGATGTTGTTAACAATCAAGGTGAATCTCTAGATACCCATTTTCATTTGAAAAAAAAAACAATTTCCAGCAACGGTTGGTTATGTTTTCAAAATTTTTGAACAATGCGCTGAGAACATTTACATCTTCTCATCGTTATTCCTTGTGTTCCCAGTGATTGTGGCGACCGCAACAAAAAATGCAAAGTTTTACCGATTCCTTGCTTTTGCTATTCATCTGATTTTGATTCTATCCCAAGATTTGCAAGTTTTTGCAACAGAACATTTCGGAATGTTCGGCCACAAAGTTGCTTTGATGGTATTTTTTGCGGTTCTCACTAGAATTGTGAGTTGAAATATGTAATCAATATTCCCTAACAATATTTTAATTTTTCTAGCTTGTTTATTTCATCAATCCTCATTATCGACTCAGAGTACGTGCATCAAATTGTGCAGATCAAAATGCACACTCTCACAAATTCGGCAAAAGTCATTTGAAACCATTGATAAATCGCGTCAGATTTATTCCAATTTATATCTACATCAAACTGGCTTTCTTTATCATAACCGCTGCCTTGCAGGCATTTCTTCAAAACGATTTTGGGAATATGAAAATCTATGCGGATGGTATGTACTATGCATCATTCGCAGAAGCCACATTTTTGATAATTCATGGATGTTATATGTTGTTCGAGAAAAAAAAGGTATGTAGATTTTTAAGAGCACTTTGTGGCACAATTATTTTTACAGAGAGTAGCACCTACTGCACAAATACGTTCGTACAGTTTATCAACAACCTAATCTTTTGACTACATGTTATCCATAATCTAATCGGTACCACGCGCTCCACCGTATAAACGACATCAAATTTTTTTCCGTATGAGGTTTTTTTTTCAATTTTTTATTCTACCGCGAGCATAGCAGAAACTTTTTTCAAGCGATTGAGTTTTTCAGTTTTACCACACAGATCTTACAAGGGAACCTTTTCAGCTTCCCCTCTAATATTTTAATGAGATATATGTTTCCTAGTAGTTTTCGACCTGCTGATTACGATTCCGCAGTCAAATTCTGCGTATCTCAATTCTTAACATTAGTTATGACGTGGGAAAGTTGGGGTTTTCGGAGTTCTAATTTGCTCCAAGATGATTTTAATTTGCGATTTTTCAAAATTTCTGATTTTTGCCACGTCATAACTCATGTTAGAAGTTCAGGTACGCGAAATTGGACTGCGGAATCGTGATCAGCAGATCGAAAACTACTAGAAAACATAAATTACATTAAAAAATTAAAGGGAAAGTTGAAAAGGTTCCCTTGTTAGGGCTCTGAAATATTTTCCAAATCAGTATAGATGACAGAAAACTAATCATAAAATGTAGAGAAACGTCGTTGAGTGCGTTGACAATATCATGAGGGTTATCCCCATTTTGATTTTTTTTCTTTTTTTTCTTTTTTTTTTGAAGTTGTCGTTTATTTCAGTGGAGCGCGTGGTACCGATGAACAAATATTGATTTTTTTTTCCAAGTGTTGGCCCCCTTGTAGAACTCTTTTAGTTGCCAGCTTGATCCAAAACCTTGAACCCCTTACCTAATATAACATAATCCTATCTAACTTTAAACCTCTCCTATTTACATTAATTTTATTTTTCAATTGGTTATATTAACCTTTTCATTATTTTGTAAATGTTGTGTTGTGCGAAAAAAATCATTGAAAAACATTCAATTTTCATAATCTTGTAAAACAGCTCGTTTTAATCGAACTTGATACTTTCATATTCTTATTTTTGATTTTTTCTAACATATTTTTTAGTTAACTGGTTGAAAAAAATTCGAAATGAATTGCTCCATGGTTGTTGATGTTGCTGCACTCTGGCATGTCAAAGATGAAACTGCCAAGACAATCATCTGGATAATGAATGCGATTTTGTATTCGATTCTTATCGGATGTTTGGATTTTATGTTCTGGTTGAGTGTTAAACCAATTATATGGTTAGGAATTATTCTTCAAATTACAAAGTACTTCATGGAAATAGTCTTGTGCGAAAAAGGTAAGTAAAAAAGAAATCTTTTCTAGATCATAATTATATTTTCAGACGATTACACCAAGATAATCACAATTGCTGCTCACAACATCTACATGTTTTCCCCAATCCTCATTCTTGCGCCAATTGTATTAGCCGCAATATGTGTAAAATTCAGAAAAGAGGAAAAGTTTTTGCAATTCCTGATTCTTGCTCACTTTAGCTGGATAAGTTTCAAAATTCTGCAATTTTTTGTTTTCGAGGATACTATGCATGTTGTATTCAAAGTTGGAAGCGTGATTGTTTTCTCATTTCTATCCTTGATGGTAAAAATTGCATGCTAACATTAGGTAATCAGAACATATTTGAAAATTGAAATGATTCAGGGATCTTGGTATATCAAAGCTTATATCAATCAAAGAAAAAGAGCTGCAATATATGACACAAACGCTACAATTTATCACCAATCAAGCCGTCAATTCGTCGAGAAGTATAAGGAGCATGTATCATTTATTCCATGCTATGTTATTATTAAAATGCTCAGTGTGATTTTGGCGATTCCTATCAGTTCCATACTTCGATTTCTGGATTCACTTGGGTTTGATAAGATCATAGTTGTTGCATCTCTCATCGAAATGCTGGGATTGATTATTGTTGAATTGACGAGAGTTGTCAAAATACTAAAGGTCAGTTTCAATATCAAAAACAAACTGTTCAAAATCATGAAAATTTTGACAGGAAACAATAAGCAGACTTCAACAACGTCAAATTCCAAATAACCTTTCAATTAAAACTATTTCCTAATCATCTTCAGAAAGGGCCTTTAATTTCAAAACTTTCTAAAACAAAATTGGGGCCAAAGCATAATTTTTAATTTTTTCTGAAGATTTATCATTTTATAAGGTTTAGTAAGTCCATCTTGTAACTTATTTTAAAATTAGGTTACTGTCAAACATCTGTACCAAAAATTTCAAAAAAAAATCAAAAACATTTTTGTTATTCTTGTGAAACTTTTTCTTCATCATTGTTTAACTTCAAATGTATCGTTTTGTTTCTATTCTTCAATTTTTAATCCCACTTGAAATTACAATGTTCGTTTTTATCGAACTTGATACTTTGCCCCATTCTTTATCAAAATCAAATTTCTGTTTGAGATGAACTACACAGATTTTCGAATGAATTACACAGAAAACGATATTTATGACTTCAAATTCACTGAACAAGATTCACTATTGTTGAAACGAATGGCAGAACCATTAGTCTTATCTTCATTTTTTCTTATTTCATCACTCTATCAATACGTCTTCAGGTTCAATGTGAAAAATCTCATATTTTTCGGGATTGCTCTCCGATTTCTAGCTTTTCAGTTGAATCACTACGAATTCGAACACAAAGGTACTACACTTTTACCCATAAGATTTACAATACTAATAATAACAATTCCAGAAATCCTGGAAAACGTGATCAAACTATTTTACATAATCGCAAGATCGATTCATGTTTCAACACCATTGCTCATTCTAGTCCCTATCGCATTATCAATGTGTTTTGAAGATCCAAAAGCGACTAGAATATTCTTTCGAACACAAAAACTCATTCATCTAACTTATATGATTTATCAGATTGCGATTTATTTTACGAGCAATGATTTTGTGGAAACTATATGCGGCTTTGAATTGTTGTTTTTTCAAGCAATCATCAGCTATCAGGTATTAGGTTTGTCAGTAAAGCTTCCCTAAATGAAATACTTTCAGCTTTGTAACGTGGCATACTGGGATGTTCGTGAATTTCTGCATTTGAATAAATTTTCCGAGATTCCAAATCACCGCAATCTTGTCAGACACATTCATCCACTTCTTTATCGTCTGAAATTCCTCCAAACATACGTGTTGCTCAAAGCATTATCCCTGCTTTTCGCAATTATTCTACTGCTCATTTTGAGATACCTTGTCAAAGAAACTTCGGATTTGCAACTGATTATGGACATTTCGTCATATTTTGAGGCATTTGTGGCATTTATTCATGTTATTTGGAAATTCTATTTTCCAACACAAACAATAATTGGGGATTACTAAAGAATCTGGATCATAAATGTTATAAAATCTTCATCCTGTTATCAAAACCATCGTATTTATCGAATTTTATATTTTTTCTAACAAAAAAGTTCCAAATTCCCATCTCTTGTTGCATTTTCCAGGTATGAATTGCACACAAAGCATCATTGATGAATTTCTTCAAAATCAGAACAATTCCATAAAACAGTTGGCAGTGCCAATTATCGTTCTCCTGTTATTTTTGCTCATCGCACTATTGCAGTACAAATTTCAATATAATGTTGAAATATGCCTACTTCTCGGGTTCAATCTTCAAACTTCGGCGTATATTCTTAACAAATATTTTTGTAAGAAAGGTAAAAAATTTTATTCCACCTTTTTAAAAAAAAAAAAATTTTATTCCACCTTTTTTCTTCAGAAGTTCTGAAATATTCCATAAACATCTTCATCATCTCTTCCAAATTCATCTACTTCACAACACCATTGCTCATGTTACTCCCAATTTTTTTGGTTCTATTGTTTGGCTGTTCAAAATCGCCGAATGTCAATGTTTTCCTAGCGAATTCTCTGATTTACATTGTTTCGACATTGATTCAAATGGTACATTTCTGTTTTTTTGAGGAAAATATTTTCGAGAGTGTTGGCTGGGTTTTTCTTGTCTTTTCCTGCAGCTTCACATGTTTTGCGGTGAGATTTAAAACATTTTTTTTCGTTCGAAAAATAATATTATTTTTTTTTGAAGCTTTGTTCTATATTCAAAGTGCGCTTCCAGCAAATAATCAAAGGATTTATCAATACTGAAAGTCCATACTGTTATGCTGCCGCAAATTTTGCAAAACCAATAATTGCTCATTTGACATTCATTCAAAGTTACATAATTATCAAAATATGTGTTCTCATTTTTGCATTCTACACCATATTCTACTTTGAAAATGATGTCAGAAACCTTCCAAGTATCGACAAGACAATGAATCTAGCATCATTTCTTGAGCTATGTTTCTTTATAATTAATCGATTCCATAAGGTTCTCTTGAAAATACCGGTGAGCTACATAGCTTTTTTTAAAAATTCAATTTTTTTTCGAATTTGTTACATTCCAGGGTGTTATTGATCCAATAGAACAAGTTATTCTGGATTATTTGGAAACACCACGTGAAATCAGAGAGCATTTTGGGAGACTCAAAATCCCTTTCAATAGAAATGTAGCTAACCAGAGAATATTCACAGTGGTAGCTCATTAAAAGCATGTTAGATCCCTCCAGAAAGCACATTCGACTAAAAAAGCACCTCACTTTTTTTTGTATAGCTATAGGATTGTAATTGTACTCGCACTATTGATCCAAAAAAAATTCCGCACTTTTCTGGAAAGCCCTGCACTTGATAAATATAATTTTTTGGTCGTATTTTTTATTTCGAGACAAGCCAATTCGTTTAAATCGAATTTGATACCTGTTTTTGTTTTTGCAAAATTCCAATTCCCGTAGTTTTAGAAAAAGAAATGGGAACTTCTGAAGAGGTTCATAGGCATACTATTGGGAACATTCCAATAATGGTAATCACAATGAATATCTTTGTCTTCTGGTTTATTTTGACTGAGGAGCCACCTAGCTTTTTGGATTGTGTTTCTGTCATTTTACATGCTTTGATCGTGGTGTTGCTTCTCGCAAATTTATATGAATATTCACAGTTTCTTTAATAATACTAGTGAGTTCAAAAAATGAATAAAATTCTTTGTACGATTTTTTTTCAGCTCACATCAGTCTTCAGCAAAAAGTTCACATTACAACTACAAATCTCTACCGTATTTCGTTTCATATTAGGGCTGGGCATCGGCTTAGCCAACAAAATAGCATTTTTCATTTTAGCCCAAGTGAGTTGGGAAAAATATGAAATTATTAGCTTCGAGTTCCTAGGCTTCGAAGATTTTTCACACAGCATCCATTCTTGAAAATCTATATTTTTCAGGAACAGCTAGAATGAATTTAACCAATTCAGATCTCATCGAATACTATTTCTCCAGTCGAGATGAAGTAGAAAACCTTTATTCAGAAAAGGTAACAGTTATATGGTTATTTTCATTGTTCGGGCTTTACCGTTTTCTTCTTTGGCATTCTTTTGAAGCCACTTCATCTTTGGGGGTTGTTATAAGAAGCTGCGCTTATGTTTTGAACAATTGTGTTGCGAACAAAGGTATATTTCTACTTATCATCTTGAGACCACATATGGATTTCCAGGAAAAGTGAAAGTATTTATTGATATTTTGATGATGACGTCATGTTCAATCTATGTCACAACACCATTCTTCACGCTCTTCCCAATTATCTCAATATTTTTGACGAACAATTTTAAATGTATGAAACGGCACGTTTGGCAGATCAACTCGGTTGTTCACTTTGGCTCAACAATGTGCCTTATCATGACATTTTTCCAACCGGATAATGAAAATCCTGACAATTACTTTCCCGTTGTCACATTTTGCGTTTATTGGGTTTTTGGTTTCTTGGTGAGTATGAAAAATATTTGTTTTTGTTGTAAAAATTTTTATGAGTACAGGTTGCCACTGCTCTCAGAGTTACTCCCGATCAAGTGATGGGAGAAGTGAATGAAATCACAACAGATCCAAACGCCGAACTAGCTTTGAAATATTTGAAATCATTAAAAGGACATTTGGGATTCTGCCAAATTTATATGACTTTCAAATTCGGAAGCTTCATTTATCTTCTATGTTTCACAGTAAACAATCAGTCAAACAAGGATTTTAGCAGGTTGGATAATTGCATGTCTATTGCCGCAATTGTCGAACTCATGTTTCTGGTAATCTCGAAATTGATTCTCCACAAGTATAATTACTTCTATGCTCCGGTGAGTTACAAATTTAAGGCTAGAAGATATGCTAATTAGGTTGGTTCAGGCATCAAAGGATGATATAATGGGATATACGTTTTTATGGAAACTGCGAAAAGAATCCGAAGATGCTAGAATCAAAGCTTTCAAACGACTTTAGCGGGAAATTTGGAGAATTTACTTGCACTTTATTTTTTAACGATAATATTCTATTTTTTTGAAAACCCTATTTTTCAAAAAAAAAATGTTTCAATTTTCATTCTCATTTTTTTCAAACACAATGTTCGTTTTCATCGAACTTGATACTTTTTAAAATAATTCGCCTCCCAATTCCCATTTTCTTTTCTACAGGGAGATATGACGTGTACCCAAAGTTTCCTTGATGATTTCGTCGAAACTCAATCCGACAAAGTGAAAAAATTCGCTGAGCCAATCACTATTGTGTTCCTCTTCTACCTGTTCGCTGCGTTTCAATTTGCCTATTGGAAAAGCACAAAAGCACTCACATTCCTTGGAATATTTTTGAGGATTTCATCTTTTCTTTTGAAAAGAGCATACTGTAATACAGGTAAAGTTATAAAAACTATGATTAACATGAGAGTTTGGATTTTCATAGGATTGATGAAAATCGTCACACAATTGTTCTACTTCTTGGCAAGACATATTTATGGGACAACTCCAATCTCGATGATGTTGCCTGGATCTTGGCATAAAATATGTATGGAGAGAAATATTCCAATCGAGTTCACTTATATAAAAATGGTTCAACACAGCATAACATTAACCTATCTACTCAATCAATTCCATTCCACTCGTGGGGAACAAATGGCCAATGGCTATTCAACATTATTGATTATCGCAAATGTTGTTTGCTATCTGGTTAGTTTCAAAAACTTTTTCCCGGAAAGTCTTTCAACATTTTCAGGAGAGTTTTGGAATTGAGTCAACAACCTTGGAAGATATTGAGCAATTCGAAGGCTCATCAAACAATTCGCATCAATCTCGACTCGAGGAATTGAGAAAACTTGCCAAACGCCATGGCTTTTTTCAAAACTACATTCTCTTCAAAGCAATATGTTTCACTGTTTCCTATGGTGTGATGACAATTTTCAAAAATGTTTTTGAAAATACTCCATTCTGGGAGGGAGTTACGAATATGGCAGCGTTTGTTGAATTTGGTGCTTTGATGTTGATTGATTTTCAAAAATCTGTTGCAAATGAGCCGGTAAGAAAATACGGAATTGAAAAGGTTAAGAAAACATTTTATTTTGCAGGCTGAGGCTTATATTCAAATTTACCTTGATCATGATATCATGTAACAATACTTTTTGATGTGCACTTCCGAACTTTAACCAAGTCTTAACTTAACTTTTAACCAATCTTAACTCTTAAGTCACTAATCCTAACTTAACTATTCTAAAATCTTCAATTTTAATCAACCTAATTTTATCCTAACCTTCAATTAACCATAATTTTGACCGCAGAATTAATTTCCAATTTTTAGTTTCAGTGATCTCAACAAAATCCAAATCATTTTTGTGACACCTAGTTTAAGATATCACAAAACAGTTTTAAATTTCACAATCCTCCCAAAGCTACATTTTCATTTTTAAACATTTTCCAACAACCCCCCTCTTCAAACCATTTTCATTCCTGATCCAACCAACCTTCTGTCTCATATATTTTACCATAAACCTTCCGTATTCCCTCCCTTAAAACCCTAACAAAATAAACTAACCTGATTTGATATACAATTGCAATTCATACGGTGTGAGCGTCATGAGACCCAAATTGAGACCAGAGAATAGACCAGAAAGACATAATAGCAATATTAAGACTGGGACCTGAAATAGAAAAATGTGATAAGGGAAATTTTTTTTCGGAAAGCTAGGAATTTTTTTCTAGAGGTAAAAATAATTTCGAATATCATTACGATTCATATTTTTTTCCTGACGTAACAATCTACATATTTCGAGAATAATCTTCAAGAATTAGATTGTCAAAAAAGTTCAATTTTTTTTTCAATTTTTGGCCTTTGCTCAAAAAACCCAGTCACCAGGGACTTATTCAAACTCACAGACAAATAAAGTGGCATAAGTAGTTTACGAGAAGGAGTTTGTGTCGAGATGACCAAAAATGGATCCTCGATTAATGCGACCGGTTGAGCAATTCCATTCACCCGTTCAGAAATACATAAATTATATACATGATTTTCATCGAGTCTGAAAAATAAATTTTGTGTTGACATCACAAACAGATGGGTAAAAAATTAAGAAATAATGATAGAAATAATGCAAGGCCAACTTATGTATTTCCTGCATACATATTAGCATTAGAGCGCACTTTCCCTATTCCTCTTTTCTGCGGGAGGAAACTGGGAGGAAGAGAACAAGACATGTTTTTTTTGTTTTTATAATTTTATAATTTTAATAATACTTTTTTTAAATTTTAAGAATAAAATTTGAAAATTCTCTTACTTTGCAAATTTTAGAGTTAGCGCAATTCTTGAAGCGGTCATAATTGCAAAATCGGTTTCAATATATTCCTTTTGATCATGACAAGAGCGATTAGCAGTGAAAGTAATCGAATTAACATTTGAAAAATTGACGCCAAATATCACAACTTTTACTTCTTCATCCGGTTTCACAATTGAATGGCGTTTTCTGCAAATATTTTTTTGGTGAGTTGGGCTATATTAAAAATGTGATTTAGAAAAATCAGAATTTTTCAGACTTACTCATTGAACCCAACAAAAGAGTTATCAGAGATCGATTCGACACGTAATCCAGAAATGATGACATTTTCAAGATGTCGCACAACATTTGTCGATTCTTGAAGCGGTTTATTAGGTGGCTCCGGCTCATCGGATGTTTCTTCGGTTTCGTTGAGAGGTGAGCGAAGGGCACCGGTATTCTGGAATTTTTAGAGGGTTCAGATGTTTATGGGGGAGGGGAGAAGTTCTGGCGAGTGGTAGATGTGCTAAAAATATATTCTGTATTTTTTTTAATTTAACTTTTCAAATTGTAAAATCTAATTTCTGGACAATTCTTGTTTCCAAATGATTCACACGTAATTAATCAGTAAAAATTTCTAATCAATCAATAGTACCATCATATAAATGTCATATTTTCGATTTTTTCTTGACCATTTTTCGAGCTTTTTATGTAAAAGAAATTTTTTTTTTTTGAAAACAGTGTTCACAAAAATGTCCTATAGACTTTCCATACTAGAAACAAAACCCCTTTGTGATATCTCTAAAAACTCACCGGTGCACAATTGACAAGAAGCGAAGAGAGACAAAAACATGCTACGGTGTAGACGAATATAGACCGTTTACGTTTCAACATTCGACAGATTCAGCAAAAGTCTGAAATTTTTATCAACTCAAAAAAAGTTCAAAATTTTTTAAAAGAAACCAATAAGACGTCAATAATCAAAAAATAATGAAAGAATTTTTATCGCCGAAAATTAATAATCATATAATTGATAAATTGCGAGCTTCTTTTTCATTTCATTCTTTTTTCTGCTCAGGAAAAAACGGAGAAAGTGAAGGGGGAAAAATAGATAAGCCTAGTCTAAGAAAAAAAAACGAAGTATGTGAAAAGAGACCTTTCCTTTTTTGCACAAAAGATGGAGAAAAAAAAGTGAGCAGAATTTACATATGGAAACATTTTTTTTTCTTCGCTTTGTTGCATACAGCTATTAGCGATGTCTTGGAGATTTTTGGAGCCTTTTTCAAAAATATTTGTTACCAGGTTTTCTGGGAATTGAATTATTTTTTCTTGACGTTTTTGTTCCGGATGCTTTGCAATTATTTTTCGGGAAAAACAAAAAAACATTTCTTGTTGTTGTTGAAATTGGAAAAATTATAGCTTTGAGGAAGAAAAATCAGAAGATCAGAAAGATTTTGAAAAAAAATTATCACCTTCAAAAAAAAACACACCGGAGGTCTTTTGTTACCTAACCATTAGCCATAAATAATGAATTCATTCATCAATTTTATTATGATTTTTTCCTCCATTTTTGGCGTTATTTGTTTTATAAATCAATTTTGCCTCCATTTTTCGAAATCAAAACAACAAGGAGAGAGAGGACAGAAAAAGGACACAAGAACACTTTTTTTTGTTCATGTGTTTTTTTGGTGTGTTAATTTAGGAGAGTGAATAGGCAAATTATTTAATTAGACGGAATGCAATGAACATTTTGAGTGTGGGAAAATTGAATTTTGTGGAGGTTTTGGAGAAGTTGGGTACTGTAGAAATTTTCTGCATTTTTTGAGACCTTACTCAGTTTCAGAAGTAGAAAAAAATCCAATAAAAAATGAGAGCTTCTGATGATTCATAGACTACATTTTTCAAGAATTCTGTAGATACGAAAACAATTTTGATAGTTCAGAATTGAAAGATCAGATATATTTTTAGCTCCAGAAATTTTTAAAGTAAAATTTTCAGGATTCTAAAAAAATCATACGAAAAAAAATAATTGAGAATCAAAAAAATCAAACAGATGTGGGGGTCTAAAATTTCAAAACTAATTTATTTTTAAAATCTGAAATTTTGTGGGAATTCAGAAATCAGTTTTTTTTTCTGGATGAACTTCAGAATTTTTTGAATTATTTATCTCCCCTAGGATTTACGAAAGCATCTGAATTCAAACAACTGAAATTGAAATTTTCAGAATCTTATATTTTGGTTGAAATTTTAGAAAAAATTCTGTCAGTCAAAATTTTTTAATCAGAAAATTTTGCAAAAATAAATTTCCAGAAAAAAAATTCAAAAAATGTTTTCTCCGCTGTTTTGCAAGTTTCCCAACCAAAAAAACACAGAATCCAATAAAAGTTGTTCGTTCAAAGTGCCCCCCGAAAACAAACGTTTTTCCAATAAACAAACAAAAAATGAATCAGCTTTTATTTTTTTTTCATTAAAACAATATATATTTCGATTTTTGATGTTTTCTTTTCCCACAATCAGATGAGATTTTGAAACAAAAAATCTTTTGCAAAAATTGAGAAAAAAAAATATTTATAAAAATTGTATTTACCAACCAATCTAAAGGAAGAAAAAAAAGAGATGATTGAAAAAATTGTACTTTTTTAGTCGGGCCTAGGATTACTTTTTCTCGTATTATGTAAACTTTATTGGCGTTTTGTCTTATTTCGAAATGTCAATAAACCGACCTTTTTTCATCGTATCGCTGCGAGAAATCAAATGATTTTTTCACAAAAAAATTAATAAAAATGAGAAAGCATATGTTTATTATTAATTTGATAGGGGAGAAATATAATATGATCAATGAAAAATCAAATATATAAATTAATATATAATTTTGAAACACCAAAAATTCACCAAAAGATATAATACATGTGGAAAAAAAGTGGGAAAGGAGAAGCCAGTGTGCAAAATGGGTGGATGGTGAGAGATTGAGAGACGCAGACATGTGGACAGAGCAATGGAAAAGCATGAAAATGAGAGAGTGTGTGAAATAGAAGAGAGTTTAGAGATGTTCATTTTATGATGATGATGATTTTGAAAGAAGGAAAAAAGAAGAAAAAACGGAGAAAAAAAGAAGAGAGTCCTTTTGAGTGGTGAATGATTTCACCTTGAAATGAAACTCGATATTTTTTTGAGCTCTCTGAGCTTTCCACTTTTTTCTTGTGAGAATTTTTTGATCTGTTTCTGTTTTACATAATTTTTTTGGGAATTATGGTTTTTTTGAGGAGGCGTGAGAAAGTATTTTCTGAAATAGTGTAGATAGGATTTTGGAAAAAAAGTGACTCATAAATTTATAGGTTTGTAGCCGTTAAGAGAATTTGAGAGAAAGAAAATTGTGTTGGAAAAAAACAAAACTGAAACTATGAAATTTTCAGAGAAAATATTCTTCAGATTTCTATGGGTCTAATTTTGTTCCTGTTTTTTTCCAACAAAAATATTTATATTGAATTTCAGAGCACGTTTAAGTTAGTCTAATTACAAAATGAGTTTCCACAAACATTTTCAAAATTTCCAGGTGATTTTCCAAATATTCACAAAACCATTTTTCTGAAATCCAAAAAAAAACCGACCTCACTTTCATTATTCCCATCACATAAATTTTCCATAAGGTCCTGACTAATCTCCTAGCAACATTGTATCCAGGTTCAATAGGCTCCGTTTCATGAAAATAATTATTAGTTTCTAAATTTCCAGACCCATGTTATTAAATCATGAAAGCCATGGGTGGTCTTCAATCCAACCCCTAATCAGTTTTTGTTTCCAAGGGACCAAAAAAAAAGATTTATTAACATGAAAAATCAGAATAGAAAAAAAAACCAAAAATATATACAAAACAAAAATTATTCCACCTCACTTTCATCAGTAACTTCTTCCTCCTCTTCAAACGCACTTTCTTGCGTACTTTTCCTGCTATAAGGCTGTGTATTTGATCTACTTCTTGGCGCTCTTTTATCAAATATACTCAAATCAAAACCACCAAATGCTCCAAGAGTTGGAGCACGTCTTCTTGCGGGCTCCTCTCTTTCAGCAGCACGCCGTTTCGCTCTTTCGGCCATCCAAAGATGAAGTCCGTCATGGACTGGAATGTCAGATTCGGTTCTAGGACGGGTCTAAAGATGATTGTTTTTTGATTTTTGAAAAAATCGTAGAGAAACTTACATCACTGGAACTGCTGTTTCGTTTTCTGAACGAGTCCCGAATGTGAGCAGCAAATTGAAGTCTTTGATGTGGATGAGAAGCTGGGAAGGTGCAAACGAGCATTCGGAAAACTGGCTCCAGGTCCTGTAAGATGTATATTTGAAGTTTGGGAATGTTTTGATGAGTGAAAATAAATTTTAATATTGAATTTTCTGAGCTACTTCTTTCAAGATTTGACTTGAGGTCGGAAAATCAACAAAACTTTTTGATCTACCAGAAAAATTTTGAATTTCGGATGATAGGACAGAAGTAGAATATGTTGAAATAAAGAGTTCTCTTAACTTTAGGCTTTACTTTAAAGGTAACTTTAGGAAAACTGGTGTAGCAATCTCTTAAGCCATATATAAATTCAACAAAATCCCCTCAACTCACCCTAAAAGTCCTATAACCAGGTCCACGATTTGTCTGACTATGAATACCATCCAAAGTATCTTCAATATTATTTATCATATCAAAAAACATTTTATACAATTGAGCATAGATTGATGTGTTGACAATTGAAATCAACGCCAAACCCAGCAAAAATGCAGCCGCCAAGAATGGTGAATACTGTAATATTCCTGGTTACAGTAACCCACATTCAATATTATGTACCTGTATATTGTAGGGCATCACATCACCTAAACCGATTGTTGTCAAACTGATAAATGTGAAATAAAATGCGTCGAAAAATCCAATTCCAGGTTTGTTACCTTCATTGTGATCGAACATTTTTATAGTTAGGGTGCAGATCATGATATACGCTAACACTAAAAATAACGCCAAGCTCATGGGTAGAACGATCTCATTTTTTTTCTCCTTGGATTTCTGGTTACGAAGTTGCCTGTAGTATTTTTATTTTTTTCAGAAAAAAGAAAAAGAAAAGTCTTACTTATACTTGAAAAGCAAAAAAATATACGCATTAGTCAATATTTTCTGAAACCATTCTCCAATATCACCTAAAACCACCAGCATTATTGGAAGACCAATTGAGGCATAAATTATTGATAGAGTTCTACCCCAGAATGTTTGACAAGTGATGGTTCCTGAAAATTGTATGGGTGGTCTTTTCGAAAATGAGAAGTAAGCCTACCGTAACCGATAGTTGAGAAAAGTGTCATTGAATAAAAAGTTGCTGATGAGAAATACCACATTAGATGCATATCTAGATTTTCTGCCTTATGCCAAACACTTCCATGAAATCGACCTTCGGCTTCAAGCATTGTTTTGTAGTATCTCTAGAAAAAAAAACAGGTTTAGTGTTTGCAATGATGTGATTTAGAATATAATTATAACTGTGTTGATCTTTGCATTTTCATATCTGCAAAAACACTTCTAAAATTCTCTTACCTTGATCAATTTACTTAATTTGGTCCTTCTCTCTGTTCCATTTGTACTTAAAGTAACATTAATAATATCCGTAGTTTCCTCATTAATAATTCCCTGCATCAAAACAATCGTCGATTTCAAATCATCCAATTCTCTAGGCGATTCCAATTGTTCAAAAATGAATCCACCAAGAAAAACATATCCAACCAGCAAAGATATTAAAGTGATGTGTCGGATTCCGAATTTATGATGATAATATGCAACCCATGCAAAAAATCGGGTGAGGTCTACAAAAATGATTCGCTTTTTTTTAATCCAAAATTATCTACTCACTCTGCCATCTGATCTGTTTTTTTCGTTCCTCATATTTTTTCTCATCAAATTCGAAATGAAAACCGAAAGGAGACATATCTTCGATTTTGCTCATGTGAGTATCGATTTTCAGAACTATACAATTATCTCGATCTTTTAGGTGGTTTCGGACTATCCGATTTCGAGCCTGGATTTCTGATTCTTCTGAAATTGAGATTAATTTTTGAAAAAAAATTTTAATTGGGAGACTCGATAATTTATTTTTTGGTGATGATGTTTTCGATAATTTACGATAAGAAATCATAAATTTCTGATGAAAATCTTGAAACAATTCTAAAAGCAATTTTAAAAAACACATTGATGTACCTGAAATTCTGAAAATTTCAAAAATCCATGGATTCTCTACTTGAAAATGTTGTAAATCCGGATTCAGATTCATGTTTTTCACTCCCAATTTCCCAAAAACTCACTAAACGAAATATCCATGCTTGCACCTGGTTCAAAAAATCAACAACACGAAAATAAAACCTATTTATGTCTTTTCTCTAATCAGTAGCCGAAACTTGACACGTTATGAGACAAAAAAAATTGAATGCAAAAAATAATGAACAAATTATTTCTATCAGAAGCAGCAAATTTACTTTTATGACTCTTTCGACAATTTATCAGTTTGTACTCGAATTTTTAAAAATTCCCTTCTATTTTTTTCGTATTTTGTGATCTATGTGGAACTTTTTTTGAGAAAAATATTTTATTTGATCGTATTTTTCAAAACCCTATGACCCTCTGCATTTACTGAAACACCCAGTTTTATTATTCTTATCCTTCGGCGACAAAATCACACCAGTTGATCGAATCTCCACATCTTCCACAGCCATCAGCTCCCTTTAAAAAATACATACATAAGTTACTGTAGAAACTTTAGATTATCTAGTTCAAAAATCAAACCTGGTCAAAGCTAACATTGTGTTATCAATGTTACTGCCGTCAAGTGCACTGGTTTCCATAAATAGAACACCCATTGCCTGAAAAATGACAATTAGAAAAAAACATGTGCTAGATGAAAAGTTACCGCCGCCATTGAGGCACCATCTGATTTAGTGACTGCGCCAAGATCTCCAACTCGGAGGTCGCTTTTGTTGCCGACTAGGATTATGGGAATACTTCTTTCTGTGGATTCCTGGAAAAATTTAGATCTTTCGAGCGTTTTGTGAGAAGTTTTCGCTGAATTTGAAAGCATAGGTGGGAATTGAATTCTGGAACTTCTTCTTATTCTAAACTTCAGGCTCATCATTTCTGTATCCACAAAAAATTCCAAAAGTTTAGGTTCACCAGATTTTCTCACCTTAATAGTATCGATCCAATCCCTGATTCTCAAAAAAGTATGTTCAGCACTAACATCATATACCAAAATCGCACCATCGGCTCGCCGGAAATATGATTTGCATAATGATCGGAATCTACAAAATCATGTCATGCTTTATTTTTTGCTTATCATAGAATGATGTAAAAATTATGGCTTTTTAACGACATTTCTGATAAGATCAAAAATTCAAGCTAGGTAAAATTTTGAAACAAAAAAATAGGGAATAATGTTACCTTTCTTGCCCAGCTGTATCCCAAAGTTGAAGTGCCACATTGTGCCCATCAACATTAACAGTTTTCACATGAAAATCGACACCGAGAGTTGAGGGAAGTTGATTGGTGAATTGTTTTCGAACAACTCTCATGACTAGACTCGATTTTCCGACTGCGGCATCTCCACACATCACAATTCTAAAAGTTCGTTCGGCAGGCCCATTCGGTTCATGATAACCCATCTCGCATTTCGTTTCAGGGATAGGGTCATCCAGAATTATTGAGGTTTCCGGAGCTGTGAAATTATATTTTTTGAAAATAGTTCTAGAAGAGATCAAGAATCAAAATTGAAATATAGTCTAGTGGTTGAAAATGTGTTGATAAAGAACACTGATTATTGAAAAAAATTGTGTTTTTTTGTGATTTCTGTTTTTTTCCAAAAACACTTTTTAGTACTGTATCTAAACCCAGAAGATTTTCAATATATCTCAAACTCACTCCCATCTTCCTCTGTACTAATCGCATGCAACGCCACCGGATTAAATTTTGTTCCTCCCTGATTATAAGCTTGAAAATTTTCAATTGAACTGCGATTTGACAATAATCCAGGAGACGGTGTTCGCAAATTGAACTGCCTTAAAACATTTGCCCGACTGTCTAGAGCATCCCTGAGGCTCTCATTGGTCTCGTGAAGTTTACGATTTGCATCACTGGAAATTTATTGATTTTTTTTTGAATAACAGAGGTTTTTATTTGCTCACAATAATAATTGAAGTTGCTTTTTGACAGCTTCACTTTCCTCGTAAGCACTGTAGATTTGGTCTATAAAAAAATTTCAAAATGATCCCCAAGCTTTATCAGTTTTTACCTTTTCTAGCTGACAATTCTTCACGCTTCTGATCATAATCTGCTCGAATACTAGCCAATTCACTTTTTATCATAGCAAGTTCCAAATGATTTTCAGCCAGGTTTTTGCGAAGATCTGTATTTTCTTCATTGACCTCTTTCAATTTTTCATTCATAATTTTTTGATGATTCAGTTTATCATTTTCTTTTTCTAAAATTGTTTCCATTCTTTGAAGTCGTTCGATATTTTTTCGCATTTCTCGGATTTCTTCGTTCATTTGTTCTTTCATGTCTTCTTTTTCTTTTGTGAGCCGTTCGCGTTCCTGGAACAATTGTTTTTTTTTTGCTATATAAAATTACGAAATTTCCTAGATCAACAGGTTTTTCTAAAGATTTATTGTGTTGAATCATCAAAATTTAAAGTTAACTGTAAATTTTTTCTGGAATTTCCAAATGAAAATTAATTTCTGAAATTTATTTTCATCCACTGAACTTCATCAACTTGAAATCAGAATTCCAGAAAAAAATCGCTGAAAATTTCAGCTAAACCAAACTTCCCAACCTCTTTTCTAGCCTTCATCTCGGCAATTTCCAATTGTTGATCCATTTCACATTCAACTTCCTCCATTCTCCGATTATACATCTCTCTTTCACTCGCATAAATATGTTGCAATCTCTCATTCTCATGTTTCTTCTCTTTAATCTCCTTACAAAATGACCCAACAACTTTTTCAAATTTCCTTAAAAGTTGAGGCATTCCAGTCACTTGAAGCTGCTCATAAAGCAATAAAACTTCTTCCTGACATGGAACACTGAAATCAATATTCACATTTGAATCGGATTCCGAGTGATAAACATCTTCATCAAGAGTTCGGAGATATTGTGAAGCTCGACTTGTTGATTCAGTATCACTGCTATCGAAAATTTGCTCATCTGCGCGCCGGAATACCGTATCATCGTAGTGAACTGATGCTCGACGCTGCATACCATTGAGCCCTGAAAACAGGGAGTTTCTTAGGAATTTTCGAAGAGCAAAGGTTACCTGGAGAGTTCTCCCCTTTGTTAACAACATCCTCAAAACCTTTACAGAATTCGGCTTTTTCAATTTTTCCACTTCCATCTGAATCCAATTGCTTGAAGATAAACTTGATATCCTAAAAAAAATCAAAAAATATTTATGTATGTGAGGGAAAGGAGACGTAGAGAGGTAAGAGACAATTTTCCCAGCACACATTTTGTTCTAGTGTTGAATTAGGATAAAGTCACATGGAAAAATTTGATTGTTAATTTTCTTGGGAAGAATTTTCGATATGAAATTTGAAGAAGAAGAAGAAGCTATGATTTCTGAAATGTTGTGAAGTTTGTAAGGGAAATCTGAGATATAAAAAAGTTTAGATAAATGAAAATTTTAAAATAACATTTCCGTGGTATCATTCTGGATTTTCAGCTTAAAAATTCCTAAACTTCATTTCTATAAAAAAAGGAACACCTAATATATATTAATGAAAACGAAAAAATAGAAAAAAGTCGATTTCTAAATATATCAAGGTTTTAGATTCATTTATACAATTGTTTTATTCATCAAATTTTTCATATTCTAACAATATCAACAATAACTTTGAAATCTTTCAAAAACTCAAAGCCATTTCCCGAAAAAAACTCACATTATCATCCAATTGTGGGCAGACCTTTTTCAAATCATCCATAGTCAAAAATCCTTTCGCCTCCGAATCACACATTGAAAATAGATTTTCAACATCAGGATTCCACATTTTGCCAATCCGTCTTCCTTTTTCTTCTGCTTTTGCTTTCGATTCTTCTTTCTCTATTATTTCTTGAATATTAATATTCATTTTATTTGTTCATTCGTTGGAAAAAAAACAGCGCGAAAAAATCGATAAAATATTTGTTATTATGATTATTGTATATATGTGTGCCCCATGATCGAATTGAACAAAAACGGCTAAATTTGTTGTGTCGTTTTTTTTATATTTTTCATTGGAAATCATGTCAAAAATGTTATTGACCCCTCATTTTTTTTGTCAAAAATATTAAAAAAAAACAATTTGTGAGGTATCAATTTAGCGCAAATGAGAAACAATAGGAACCAAATAAATATAACAATGAAAAAAGGCGCAAAATTAATATTTTATAATAAAAGGTGCGTATTTTATAAAAGTTGACTCAATATTTATTATAATATGAACATGTTTCATTTTATTTTATTTAATGAATTGAAATAATGAAAAAAATGGGAGAGAAAAAAGTTATGAACAATGGATGTTGTATATTTGTTTAATCAGCTGAATGGACACAAAAATTGTAGGTGTATCCGTGAAAAAAATGATGTGTTACGAAATACAAATTTGTTTTTGAACTTGTTGGATGTATGAACATTTTGTGAAAAAAAACTTAGGGGGTTCACAATTTTCGTCATTTTTGAAATCTCCATATTATCCGATTCAGAATTTTTAGAAAAATTAGAATCTTGAAAACTTCTATAAAAATTTCAAAATGATAGCTAAAATCATGTTTGTCACATTTTTGTACTTCTCGCTGTCCGAACATTTCCATTTTCGAAAAATTTTCAGTTGGAAGTCTCGCGTTTTTTTCCAGAAATTATAAAGATTAGAGAAATCAAATTAGAGAAGTAGTAGAGAATTGAAAAAAATTCCTGTAATTGTAAAATTAATAATTTGAATTTCTCTAATTGAAACCGTAAGAATTTTTTGCTCTTCGACTTCATAATTTATCAATATAATTCCGACGCAACGAGAAAAAAAAACAAAATATGTTTTGCCATGTCATAAAAATGACTCAAGAAGCAACATTTATAAAGCACAATTTCTCCACATTTTTATCAAAATGATAGACAAAATTATTATCGGCATATTTTCTGTGATTTTTGTTGTCCAAACTGTTCCAACCGTGGAAGATTGTAAAATGGTAGATTTCAGAAGAATTGATGAGTGTACGATGGTATATGTTTTTTTGAAAAAACTTTTTCGAAAGATTTTTAATTAATTTTGATTCCAGGGCTTTAATGTTTCCGACCAAACAAATGACACTCTAATTCGTGAATCAGCCAAAAAAGCCTACAAATGTATAGCAGAGATCTCAAAGTCAGAAAATTGCAAAGAACTCTATCAAAAAAGGGCATTACTCGTTTATCTAAGTATATCCATTCAAAATTCCACAATTTTTGGACATTGTTTAAGAAAGGTACCGGAAAATAATCCATGTTCAGAAGTGTTTGAAAAAAATAAAAACTATTTCGAAAATGTATCTAAAAAATGCGAAATTCTGGGAGATGAATTGAAAAATTGCATAGTTCGATCAATGGAAATTGAAAAATGCGGAAATTTTGAAACTGGAGAATTTGTAAAGGTTTATGATGAGATGGTTGAAACTGTTGGATGTGGAAAAAGTGAAGCACCTGTTTCGGAAGCCTGGAATCCTCTCCACCTTATTTATATCGTTTGGTCTTTAATATACATTTTTCACACCTAGGTGTCACAAATTTTTTCAAAAATTGCCACAAAAAATATGTATATGATGTAACCAATCTAATTCTTCCCGTTTTTAATTATGATGAATGAATGAATGAATACTCTTTCCCTTTTTTGTCTCAACCTAAACCTAATAATAATAATAAAAATAATACCAACAATAACATATCCTCATCCCATCAAAAGGTGTCAGTTATTGCGCAATTTTTGTATGGTAACCGCTTCCGACAATAGCAATTGACTCTTCTTTCACAGGTAGGGTAAGCTTTTTTCTAGCTATCAAGAAAATGCCGCCTATTGTTCTTTATTTTGAACGATTTTCGAGTGAAGTGTTTTATGTTTATTGAGTTTTAATGAGGTGACAGGTGGATTTTTGGGAGATTTTCTTTGTGTTGGATTGGGATATCTTTTTGGGTGGTCCTGAATTTTAGATTATCTAGAAATTTTTGTGATTTTCTTGAAGCTTTCTGAGTGGTTCCAAATTTTTCTTCTTGTGTGGTCCATCCAGAAAAAAACATAGCTTGACAAGGACATACATATATTTTACAACATCCATGTAGTTAGTCATCCAGTCATAAGTAAATTAATGAGAGAGAGACGAAAAAAAAGATGGGTGGTAAGGACACATTTGGTGTAATTGATGGGTGTATTTTCGATTTTTATTTGTTTTCAATATCTTCTGTATGTTTTTTTTGCGCGCCGGATTATGTATTGTGACATTGAATGGTTTTTTGGATGCTTGCTGTATGGGTGGTCTAAAAATCTTGATCTTGAAGTTCCGGAAAAAAAAATCAGGGTGGTCCCAGCTCTCTGAATTCAGCTAAAGTCTTTCTCCAAAATCCCCTCAATTCAAAAAAGTTCCGCTATCCAAAAAATGTCTGTCAAGCGCAAATAATCGTCACTCTCTATTAGCCTAAAACGATACAGTTAGTTACAAAATGCATTAGTGAAGCGCATTAAAAGAAGCGCGCGCGACCAATTTTGACTACTTACCGTAAGTGTGAAATGTATCGCTTATAATTATGTTTTTTTTTGTTTTTTTGGGCGAAAGATGAAAATACATATTGCGCCTAGTCAAAAATGATACAATAACCGGGTCAAATATCAAGGGGGATTACAGTAATCCGATATTTTTAATTAGGTGATATGCACCTGCCTGGGTGGTCGCTCTTCAAGATGTGTTTCTGTGATGTAACCGACACGGTATCTACGTAATATTACAAGAGGGATGAGAGGGCAAAGACATTTTTAGGCTATGAACAAATTCAGAATTTATTTTAATCAAATAAAATATGACCAGACCACCCAAGACGTTTTTTATATGAAATTCCCAAAACAACACTAATTTCCGACCTGCCACGAAGAATTTCAGATTCCTTTTTGTCTTTCTTTAAATTCCAAATTCAATTTTCATTTTCATTTTTATTTTCACAACCACCAATAATAATAATAATAATAATTTCTCTAGTAAGGTCATCCCTACTTTCCCTCATTATTACCTCCTCCTCCTCCTCCCTTTAAATTGTGGGCGGAGTCATTAGCCACCTTCAACCAATAAGACAACACCATTCGCTCCACCCATCGCTTCATTTCACTTGTCTCAATTAATATTTTTATTATTATTATTAGAAGTGAAAAATACTTACCTTACCTAAAGTGAACCCTATTTATTCACTGATTGAAAATGATAGACCCTCGACAATTTTTGATGCCTTTTTATCTGAACCCCGCGCTATTGCACCCAAATACACCAATTGGTGTTGGTGTGAATCCGCAACGAATGAGTTCCGGGTCGAGTTTTCGGATTTCTGATTTGCTAGAAAGTTCAAGCACTGTATCAGGTATTTTTCCCCATAGCTTTTTTTTCAATGTAAAATTTTTTGCTTTTCAGATCCTTCACCAAAGTCTGAAACCTCATCAATTTCGCCAAGACTTTTGAGCCCGAGCACAGAGCGCTCGGGAAGTCCAAGCTCCAAGAAAGCCAGAAAAGCTCGCACAATTTTCACTGACAAACAACTTCAGGAACTTGAAAATACTTTTGATAAACAAAAATATTTGTCTGTGCAAGATCGAATGGAATTGGCACATCGGATGGGGTTAAGTGATACACAAGTCAAGACTTGGTATCAGAATCGAAGGTGAGAGAGGGTCAGGGACCACCCATGAAGAAAATTTAGAATTTAGTATTTTTAGTCATGAGCGGCTGCTAGGAAATATTTTTTTTGTGATCAATCAGATCAATAAAACTAGGACCACCCACGTTGATAAGTAATATTTGAACCATAGAATTCTCCAGACTACCCATATTTTTTAAAATTTCCTGAAACCTGCAAAAATCAAGCACCTACAGTACCCCCCGTTTTTCTGGACCACCCACATTCTTCTTCTTCTTTCCCGTTTCATCAAATATTCGCCCATTCTTCTTTTTCCATAAAATGCTCTCAAATAATTAGTGGAATACATGAAAAGAGGGTATATATTTCATCATATTAAATATTAACAACAAGATGGGTGGTCGATTATTATTATTATTATTATTATTATTATTATTAAATTGTCAGAAAGACCGCCTAATGAAATTTTTTTTAGAAAAAAAGGGGAGACACGCAATGTTCTGTTCTGGAATTTGAAATTTGAAATTTATTATAAACGAAAAAAAATGGGGAGACACTCAAAGACCACCCTGGGTTTCTGCAGAAAATTAATTAATTTTCAAATTTTCAGAACAAAATGGAAACGACAAGCTTCAACTGGAATGGATTTGCTCAATGAGCCTGGAAATTTGGCGGCGGTCCAGAATCTGATTCGAAACAACCCGTATTGGACGAATTATATCCCTGGAGTTCCAGCTTTGAATTTCCCGCTTCTAATTCCACCACAACAACCACAAATCTCTAAATCTCCAGAATCTTCCTCAAATTCTGAATCTTAAAACTCTTGATGATTTTTGATTCCAGAATTGTATATATTTTTATTTGATCTCTAATGGGTGTTTTTGATAGGTAACAAATACTGTTTCCCAAACTGAACAAATTTTCAATATAATTAATTTATTTATTTTTTCAGATATCTATTCACATACATATCTATGAATTCTTTTTTTTATTATTATTTTTTCACATAATTAGTCGCATTTGCTGTCATTACGTAATGAAATAAAAATAAAACACATACACATTTGATATTTGATTGAGATAAGGGCTAAACGAGGGAATTCGTTTTTGAATCAGAAGCACCAGGTGTTCGAAATGGCGTAACCTTAAATATGTTCGAATTTGGATCGTTTTCAGATCGTTATCTTTATCTTTGCAAGCGTTTTAAAGGGTTTGAAAAGTGTCGAGGTTCAAATAGTTTAGTCTAGAATTTTTTATTTGAAATTATTTTGAATGGAAAACTCTCTCGAATTATGAATGTTCAGAATTTTGAAATCCAGGATTGTTTCTCGAAAAATTTGGCGTCTGAAATTCTGCAAAACCTTGGATTATCTCTAGAAATTTTGAATATCCCGCTGAAATTATTTGAAGTCAGAATTTTGTTGAAAAATCTTGTCTTCTGAAAATCTGGAATGTCTTCAAGAATTTTGAAAATGATGGTGGTGGTGGTAGGCTGAAAAGCTCAATAGTCCTGAAAATTAAACTTTTTGAACCTGAAAAAATTGAGATTGAAAATCAAAAAAGAGCTTCTAAATGATTTAAAAAAAACATAGGTTTTCTTTAAAAATTATCAAGTTCCAACTAGACTTATTTGAAGTCGGGCATGTTGTTTTTAGAAAATCTTTTTTAGAAATTTTTTTTTAGAAAAACTACTGTGGTTTTCCTTCAATTTTCAAGGGACTAAACAAAATCAACTTGAAGAATATTTGTTTGGCTGAATAGGAAAATGATTTTTCATGTTTTCATGACACTTTAAATCAAAGTCCATAATTTTTCCAAAAATGAATTCCAACTTTCCCGATGTTCCCCGCTAACTCTACTATTGCCTCACATGAAACCAATTCATTCGAAATTCCTCAAAAATACAAATAAAATATACACCACTAATTAGTCTCGACACAAAAAGGAAGTCGTCTCTTTGTCTTCGCCACCAACCAATTTCTTACACCAAACACACCAATTTAGAAAAAAGGGGATGAAATGCGATAATCGTGTTGTGTATACACGCAACTCTATCTATCTGGCGACACACACACATACACCAAATTGTTCCGCTTCTCAAAACAGATACATTGTAGAAGGCCACTTGACACTTATTTGGTGGGGGGAGGAAGGAAGGAGTACGGTAGTTTGGCGGAGAACACGGGATATTAAAAAAAAACGTAGTATTAAAGGTGTAGTCCGGGATAAAGGTTTTTTTTAGAATTGGAAATTCAAAAAGAATATTGATTTTCTGTAATTCTAGGTTTCTAGATGAGTTGAGCATTCAATTCTAATTCAGGACCACCCAGAATGAATCTATGCTACTACCCAGAAGTTGAAAAATGATCCATTGTTTGCATACGGAAATCAAACTAGATATACAGAACGCTTTGAATTTTTTTTTACTGTTTTTAGGTTTCCTAGAAACCTCTAGACTTCCACAATCTTACCAAAACTCCCTCTATTTTTCCAAAAAAAAAAAACAATTCCGATACTTAAAATAACAACGTTGTGTCAATTACCGACATTTTCAACAAAAAAAAACACACCTCGACCTCGAATACCAAAAAAAGTCATAATTTTTCACACATCAATTAAATTGTGTCTTCTCATGTTTCCTTCATCATATTTGCCTTATTAATTACGAAACAGAAACAAATTATAGGTAGTAATGACGAGTTTGCGGAACAAATTTGGGCAAAAAAATATCTAATTTTTTTGGAAAAAGATTTGAAGATCTAAGTCAGACATCAAAAAACGTAATTTTTTCCAAAAAAAAAATAGACCACCCTGTTTATTACACCCCTCCTTGATTTTTCACACCACCAAACTAACTAATATAGGCTAAATCTGTGTCGAGCTCATTATCAAATCATGTTCATGAATGTGCAAAACACGATGTGATCTAATTTGACACCTGCTCCACTCTTTGTTACTTTCAAGTTGACTGAACATTCATTTTTGCGAACAGATTGGTGTAATTTACAAAGGTGCATATAATATACCACCAAAAATCATCATTATTATTATCGGATTATTTTTTGGTGGGAGGATACTAATAATGGTTGTATTTATTTTTATGTTTATTATTGTTTAGGGCCGAATTATGAGGTTGACTGGATTTGGACAGGAACAGGGTACTGTAGATGATGGTTTGGGGGTTTGAAAGTGATCAAGCTTATTTTGAGAAGCTAGATTAATTATTAAAAATCGTCGTGGGTGGTCTTATTAAACATTTTTGAATTGTTTGAGTTTGAAGAACGTATCTTCTTGGGTGGTCTGAACATATTTTTTAAATTTGTTTGTGGGTGGTCTAACAAAAAAAAGTTTGTAGAAGTATGAATTGAATTTCCCGAAATCAAAAATCTTGATTTTATTTTTCAAAACTGAATCGAACATGAAACTCTGAATCAGTTTCTCGAATTTCAGTATATGTTTTCTTCAAATTACTTCCCCACAATTTCAAAATTATATATTTTTTCGCAAATTAATGTTCCGAAAAATGTGCTTCCCCCATCTTCCGAAGAATTATTAAACCAAAAAAAAATCGTAAAATTTCCATTTTGTCAAAACAACCAACCAAAATCATCTTTTCTGCCACATAATTCGACATATTATAATAAGCAGTGAGCCACCAATTATTATTATTCAAAATCATCCTGGTGTAAAATGCGTGCGCCTTTTTTTCGCCTATTCACTCACTACACACACAAAAAAACTTCACTTAAATATGTAACTAACTAACTAACACAGTAACCCAGAATAGGTTATTTATCCCTAAAAAACCGAAAAACTCTTTTTTGTTCATGTCTTTTTTGAGTACTTATTAGATATTAATCATAAAAAGATGAAATAAAGGCTATAAAAGTTATTGCTCATATTAGAAAATAATTAGGAGAAGAGAAATGTTAGAATTTTATTACTCATGGTATACAGAAAACCCCTGTTATTTAAGAAAATTAATAAAGAAAATATGTAATTATTATTTTCAATTAGTTGTGTGAAAAAATAATAATTGTTCAAATTATGAAGACATATAGGTATTATTATTATGAAACGGGACAATAATGAGAGTACTTGACAGCAGAAAATTTGGAGAGAAATGGATACCTCTTACCGTAATCGTAACTGTAATATGTATGTTTTTTTGGGTTTGTCAAGTGCGGATTTGAAATTGGGAATTAGACATGAAGTGGTTGCGGACATTGTGTGGGCAACAATAAATTAGATGGGCTGCTGCGCTGAAATTTTTTGAAAAAAAATGAATTTGGAAAAAATCTTTGTTCTAGAATAGGTCATTTTTGTTGAGTAATTCTGAATTTAAATCTATACATTTTTGAGAAAAATGGTCTGAAAATTGGGACACAAACATGAATATATAGAAAACAGAATTTTTGATCTACCAGAAAAAAGATTTTATTACAGATTGAAGTAGCTACACAGGCTGTGAAAATTTGTTTTCCGATCCCCATCACTTCGATTTCAAATCCCTCAAATCACAAACTCTATTTCAAAATCATACTAGAATATTATAATTTCTGAAAATCATCATCATGACTCATATTCGTCACTAATTGGATGATTTTCCATTTTTCTAATTCTGAAAAAAACTCTATTATCTAATTGTGTATGATTTATTCAACATTGTAAAAGACAATAATAATATTATGAATAAAATATTTCAAAAAAAATCTGGAAAAAAAGAGATCATGTGGAAGAAAATCTGGGGAAAAATACAGGAAAAAAAAGTTTTTGAGATGAGATGACTGAGAAAATAATCGAGATAGATTTTGAAAAAAAAATTGAAGAAAAAGTGGCTGGAAAACAGAGAAGACAGAAAAAAAAAACAAAACCGGGTTCAATAAAAAATGGAAAAAATAAATGACAAAATGGCTTTTACGGTTCATCAGATGATTGTGGTTCAGGAGAATTTGGCGTTGAAGAATCTTTAGCAGCTCCTTGAGCAGCTAAAAATTGCAAAAGTGAGTTATTCTGCATTGTAGTTGGCATAACTAGAGGGTTTGTGAAGTTACGGGATGTGGCAGCTTGGCTTGCAGCGCTGCTTGAAAGATATGAAGCCCAATATGGATTTGAGCGAAGAAGTTGTTGGACTGCAGCCATGTTTCCGGCGTCATGTAGAAGATCCATACCGACCGAGGCTTGCCGCTTCCATTTGGTTCTGGAATATTTTTGAAATTGCAAATTTTTCTTTCTCAATATAAAAAATACAGTAATCTGTTCAATCTTGTGGATCAGATAAAAATCTTCTCTGAAGTTTCCTCACCCTAGAACTTCTACCTACAGTAATCCAGCCTCTCTCCTCAGCCACAAAATGTATATAAGCGGGGGAATTGGCAGCTCTTTTCATCAACCTCATCATGTATTTTTTTTCAGAAAACGAAAATGGTTTGGATTTGGGTTTGGAATCCAATTATCGAAAAGTGAGAAAAAAGGCGAGTGTCTATTTTTTCCCTCATCTTCCTTCTCAAAATGGAGGCGAGGGGGTTTGATTAAGATAAATTTGCTGCTCGACTAATGCACTACAATTAGAGCTTCCCCCATTCGAATAGCGGCAGGATTTTAGCGCGCGCCCCGGCTATGCTATGCTATAAAGTGGCGTGTTTAGAAGCGATTTTTTTCTTCGCGAGATTATTTTAATTGCTCAAAGTTGATGCTCACACAAAAAACAATGGAATTGGGCGTGAATTAATGATGAATGTTGTGTAATTGGAGGAGGATTGAAATAAGCGCGAGATTTCATCCGGAAAATATTTTGGGATTTTTTTTTATGAGATGAGAAATTTGGAAATTGGCTAGGAAAGCTGTGATTTTAAATGTGAAATTCTGAGGAAAGAAGTTCAACAACTGAAGCTGGGAGATTTTCAGAACTCTTGGAATCATTGGTTGAAATTCGAGGAATAGAATATCAGGATTTTAAAAGAACTATTCTACCTCACAAGACATTTCGCAATTCTAACATATTTTTTCAAGACTACAAAATTTTGACCTTGAAGTTTTGTATTCTGAAGAACAAATGATGATCTATTTTTTCAAAATTGATTTTTTCCAGGTGGAATTTCAACTTAATTTAAATTTCTATTCAAATAATTCTCCAAAAAATCATAAATGTTATAATTGTTACTTCCCCCATCTTCTCAAATTTCATGGTTCCATTTTTTCAAAAAAAAAAATCAGAAAGATCCTAAACCTTACCTTCGATTTTGATACCAAGTTTTAACCTGTGTATCAGTCAAACCCATTCGATGTGCCAATTCCATTCGATCTTGCACAGATAAATATTTTTGTTTTTCAAAAGTATTTTCAAGCTCTTGAAGTTGTTTGTCAGTGAAAATAGTGCGAGCTTTTCTGGCTTTTTTTGAACTCATACAATTTGGACTTCCACTTCTTTCAGTGCCATTTGGACTTCCAGCTCGTGGACTATCCGATGTTGGGGATGGATCTAGAAAACATCAAATCATACCCTTTTTGTTTTTCTGAACTAATTGGGTAATTGAGTTGACCCTTGCACCTTTGAAATCGACATGAGTAAAAGGGGAAGAGGCAAAACTCAATTACTGTATGTTCATTTGAGCGTTAACTATACAATTTACAATTTACAATAAATATAAATAAATGTGTATATATATATATATTTATTTTGGATGGTATATTAAAAATTATCGTTTGGTTGATTGAATTTCAACTCAACTCTTTTACCAACTTTGTTGCAATTTTTTTCGTTACCTGAAGTCTCACTTTGTGAATTTGAAGTTGTTGAATTGGTGGATGGTTCCAAAAGATCCGAAATTCTGAATGAGTTATTCAAAGTCATTTTGCCGCCAGAAGTTGTGCTCTGCGCTGAAACCTGAGCCAATAATGCTTGTGTCGCTGGATCCAAATAAAATGCGGGGATCAAAAATTGACGTGGATCAAGAAGAGACATATCTGAAATTGAGAAATTCAAGCTTTGTGAAAAAAAGTAAGTGAGTAATACAAAATGAATGGTTAACGAAGACGACACTAAACGACACAAAACTCGATGATTGGTTCGGTCAAGCCCCGCCCATTTCTTCCACCCTCCAAAATGGGCGTGACCTCCCTTATTTTTTTCCGCTTGTGACAGATATGTAGAGGGAGAATGAATAGGTTTAATGACAAATTATGAAATGAGGGGTCACGTTTCACGTGAATAATATTCATGTGATCTTTTTTTTCGGACAAAAATTGGCACTTTTGAAAAAAAAAAGTTATTTTTAAAGTGATTGTCAATCTAAATCGTAATACAATTTGTGCAAAAGTTCTACAAAAAAGTAAGTTAGCCTAATTCCCTGGTAGGAAATCTTGTATTTCAGTAACGTTTTGGAGAACCTAAGAAAGAAATGAAATCAGTTTGTGCAATTTTTTTTACGAAAAGTAATAAACTACATTTTTCGGAAAAAAGAGTCATCTTGTATACTTGGAAAACAAACTGGAGTTATGCTAAGTTCTCCGGAAAAACGGAGAGTTTTCAAAATTTTCTCTAATGTTAGAAAAGTATGTTCAGAATCACATAAAACTAAAAATAAATTCTCTGTTCTCAATAAATTGATGTCAACAAATGAAAATTATGAAAATTATTATACTAACCCAACTCCAAAAAAAATTCCTCTAGCAAAACAGATTTTCTGCATACAACCAGAAAAAAAAATGAAGAGATGAAAATGCCCTTGATTTTATTAATGAAACCAAGAAAATAATTTTTTTTGTTAGTCTTGGTGTTTATTGTCAAACATATAATCTAGGGCGGCACATGATTACTAGAGAGAATTATTATATTTGAAAAGTGCAAAATGATGTTTTCTTCTGAATTCTCTTTGGCAGGCAGAAAAAGAACATTTTGTGATTTATCACAACTCCTACACTTTTTGCATGTTTTTTTTGGAATTCTAGGATGAAAATTTGCATGTGAGTGAGTCATTCAATGGAAGAAGCTTAAAAATTGAACGTGGAAAAAATGAAAAAGAAATTGTCGGCAACATTTTTCACAAATAATTGGAAAATTATAGCTTTTCGTTTTTCATTGCGAAACAAAAACCTATGTGAATTATTTTCGAAAAAACACTTTATTTGATCATCAATTTTCCAGGTGAATTCAGAGTTCCAAGAACTCTAGTATTTATTGTAAGATCTTGAAAACTAACTAGATTTTTTTTCAAACTTGAAAATAATATAGTTTTTTATGTGGAAAAAAAAGTACATTTCGGAGAAACGGAATATTACGAAAAAATTGATACAATTTTTGGAGATTTGAAGGGATTTTAGAGAAAAAAAGTAGCTGGGGGTTTTTCAGGAACTTTATTCAAATGAACATTTTTTTTTGTTTACTCTTACGTTAGAGAAAAATCTACAGTATTCTGTGAAAAAAACAATTTTGTTTCACAAATGTACATTACAGTACCCTAGATTGAGAAGCTCAACTACACTGTAGTCACAGAGCCCTGAACAAATATTTTTTGAAAATTGCTCTGAAGTTATTTACAGTACTATCTTGATAGAAATACAGTACAGTACCTTCTACAGTACTCCTAACAAATATAAATTCCTGAAAACATAATTCAATTTTTTTTTGAAATCAGGTAACTTAGTTATTACAGTAACACATGAATATGTGTTTTTTCTAGTTTCAAAAAAAAACACATTTTTTTTTCAAATTTTTGATCTTCAAACCCTATAACAAAACTCTACAGTAATCAAAACCTGGAAAAAAATAAACACAGCATTTTTGAAGGTGAATATGTCACAAAAACACACACACACATAATTGACCTTATACACACCAGCCGATCTTTTTTTTTCCAATTGGCGGTATTCGATTAGTGGCCATTTTCCAGTTGAATGTGTTTCGGTATGCCTAATAACAGTTCTCAACAAGAATGGGAATATTCTGTAGCCCATTTGAAACAATCTGTTTTGATTTATTCACAGGTGGTTGAATTTTGGAGCATTTCATATGTAAAGCTTTTATTTTCCTCTGATCAAATTTTCTCTAGAAAACAATCGAGAATAACAGGAAATCTGTAAAACGTAATGTTGCAGGAAATTGTATGTTATACATCTATTTTTTGGTTATTAGTAATAATAAAAATAATAATATTATTTTCATTGTTGTTCAAAAAATAAATGATAGGCAAAAGGGTTCATTGTTATTCGCGGAAACTAAACTCATCAAAAAATTTTTGTTGTTTATTTGATTGAAATATTTTTAGATGAGACAAACTGGTTTTTAAAGGGACATTAGGTTCGATGGGTTTTCTTCGAGAGGGGAGTTGGGAGAAGGGAAACTATTTTGGAAGAGTCTGGGATCACGCATTTTGAAAATAGGGATATTTTTCAGAAGAACTTCTTGTGGGTGGTTTTTTTGAACTGAAAGAGATTCAGATAACAATGCGGGTGGTCCAGATTAAGGGACCACCCAGGTTCAAAATAAATTAGATCATTCAGAAGATAATCAGGGTGGTCTAATTCAGAAAACATTTTTTAAACTTTCTGGGTGGTCAAGGTTTTTTTTCAAAAATTTTGATTGAGACCACCCAGTTGTTTTAAATCTACAGTTTTCATCATATTTTCCGGGAAATTCTGATAATTTCTCAAAAGTTTAGTTTGAAAAACATTTTTTTTTTCAGAATTTCAGAGATCACTTAAATTTTTTCTACAATATATGTAATTTGTAATCCGAGCGGTCTATAGAAAAACCTGAAATTCCAAATAAAGCCTTTTGGTTTCTACAGTATCCCTCTTACATTAGAAACTCAAATTAATTTTTATCTACAGTACCCCTTTTCCACAAGCTTCAAAAAACACCACACAACATTATTCATACCCAAAATAAGTATAAAAATGATTAAAAGGCGCTGAAGATGCAATTCCACCGATTTTAATGTGATTTTCCTCCTCCCATCGTCACAGGTGCCAAAATTGGCACCTTCAACCTGGTCAACATATTTTCTTCCCATTTTTATGTACAAGCTTCTAAGTTCCGGCCTTGTTTGAAGTTTTGGCGCACTTCAAATTAACCTCTCTTAGAATTAGTTTCTAAACTACAGTAATTTATATATGTATCGCTATGTGTGAACATGTATAATTGCAAGGTTTTATACGGCGTTTTTGTGTATAAGAAAAGGTGAGAGTTTGTATAGAAATTGTTTGACTTGACATTTAATATGGGTTTTCTTTCTTGTAATTATTTCATTTTGAACATGTGTGGAGACAATTAAGACATGAATGGTATGAAATTAGGTTTCGAGATGCATGGAAAACGCGCAAAACTATCCGGGTTACTGCAAGAGGAGCGGGGATCCTAAATTTTTTGAAACAATATCTGCCAGTAGCGTCTGACAAGAGAATTAGGATCTTGTGAAGCTTGAAAAACCCGGGAGCTCTCAAAATAAAATTGTTTTCGAGCAGCTGATTTTTTTTAAAAACCCATTTTACTTTGTAGCTCACCTGTATGAAAAACACTACAGAAAAGATCTCTTTGAGAAATCAAAAGTTCAGAATCCCTGTTCAATTTTTTTTGAAATCACTGTAGAAGCGGCACAAATCCAACCTTGTTTAACCGCCAAAAAAACCTGACCTTTCATTCCTTTCTTCAAAAAAACTTTTTTTGTTGTCATAAATATTTTCCGGTGTTTTTGTGTTGTTTTCCAATACACGTGCAATTATTTATTAATTGACCGGATTATAATTACCATCAAAAATAAGAAAAAGAAAAAGACAGCCCTATGTGTTCTCATCAATTAATGCGCGAATTAATAAATAAGGAAGTGTTTTTTAACGATGACTGACACCTTTTGATTCTTGCGTAGGTGATGGCTGGTGACATATGGTTTGAAAATTGAAATGGTGAGGTGATAAGCGCAGCTTGCGTAACTGAAAATTGAGGTTTTTTAATTGAGATATTAGATTCGGAGGAATATATAATAAAATTTGACTGGGGATCAAGGTGATTCCTAAAAAATTGTTAAACAGGTTCAAACTATAAACATTCAATAGGTCAAATGTTTAATTCATAACGTTTAACTTTCCAGAAGAATTCAAAACTTCAGAAAAATACCTAACCTCCCATTCTGATTTTCATCCGTCAGATTTGGAGTTTTGAGTAAAAAAAAGCAGACATCAAAAAATTTTTTTGATATTTCAAAATGTCAAATTTCACTTGACAATACATCTATAATTATTTGTCTCACTCACATTTTTAATGTCTGAAAAAAATTTCGATCATTCTTGAAAGCTCTCCAAGTTTTCTCACATTTAGAAACACTTGAAGCAGGTGCTTTGACAAAATTTGTATCTGAACTTTTTTGAGACAATGAAAGTCTAGTTTCTATGTAGAAGAAGAAAAGCTGTGTCTGAAAATCTGGATTTTTTTAAAGCTAGTTTTAATATAAAAAAAAATATGATGTGACAGAAATCTTTGAAATTTTTTGGCAAAAAATCTGAAAATCCCCCCGAAAAAAAGGCTAAATGCTCCCGCCTAAAAAATAATTTTTTAAAACTCACATTCAGAAAAATCAAAAAGTTGGATTAGAATTGATATAGATTACAATTTTTTTGACTTCAGGTTCATTTTCATCTGGCTCATTTCCAAACTCTCGTTTTCGAACAATTTGAAAATGAAGTGAGATTGAAGTTTGTTGATCTTGAGGCAGTTCCAGTTCTTGATGGTTCAAAGCAACCCCAACATGTTGCTCATTTGAATCCTCTTCTTGAAAAGCAGTTGGCGGTGGTGCCGGGGGCAGAATCGGTGATGGTGGACCATCATTTTCAGCGGCAATAGGATTCATCTAGAAATTTAGAAAAAAATTGAAAAAGGGCAGATAAAAACTGAAAAAAAACGAATATCACCTTGGAAACCGGTTAATTGAAAGTGTGAGCATAAAAAATCGACTCTTTGGTCAGAAAATGAAAAATCAGGGTACAAAAATTTATTGCATTTTCAAATATGGCATAGCGGGGTGAAATATTTTTGAATCAACGAAATGACACTATAAAATCGGGTGGGATTGTACAAAAAAATGCCTAGAAAATTGATTGTCACATTTTGCAGAAAAATAACCGTCAAGTCAGAAGAAAAGCCCATATAAATATGTATAAATGAAGATTTTTTTTGAAAAGGAAACAAATCAATCAATATTTGTGTCGTCTTGAATACCGAGCGCTTGTTTGAGACGTTGAATGCAAACTTTGCCCGATTTTTTGCATTCCGGGGAGATTAGAGTGAAGTTGAGGAAACCGTGTGGAACGGATGAGAGGATGTCGACGGATTCGACTTTGCCGCCAGCGTTGCGCATTTTTTGAGCGAATGCGATGGTGTCGTCGAGGAGAGGATCCATGTGACAAGCCTGGAAATATCAAGGTTGAAGGGAGTATCTGAGATTTTTATTCTGATATGGGAATTAGGGCAGATTTTTGAAATTCTTGAACTTTAATTTCAATAACAAAAAATGTAACTTTCAATTTATCAAAAAGATTCTGAATTTTCAGAAAAGAAAAGCAGAGCTGAAGCTCATTTTCAGGATTTAAAAAAACTTGTAAATTATTTTTCGAAAATTGAAAAAAATGTTTCATAGATTTCTGAATTTCTATTAGTTTTACAACAAAAAGTCCTCTAAAAATTAAAAAAAAATTGTCTATCAATTTTTCAAAATAATGAATTTAAGGATGTTTTTTTTATATTTTATATCCAAATTTTTGAGTTCAAAAAACTTTCGCACATTTTTTTCATTTCACATTCAAAACTTTTTCCTATCATCAAAAAAAATTATCTTCACTCATTTTGATTTTAAAAAAATTATTTCATGCTCAATGTATTTTCCCGCAGTCCTTTCAGAACAACCCCTCAAAATTGAATAAATTCAGCATTTTCTTACTTAATTTGTCAACTGTCACACACTAATGAAACACATGTTTCATTCTGTTTTTTTTTCTCCAAATTTCAAAGTGGCGTCATTTGACCTCACTGGACAAAAAAAAACTAACCAAAAAATAGCATGGTGGTAATTTGCGAATATTTTCATCGTCGGCATAAATTGGTGAAATGAGTGGATCTCTTGGAACATTTGATGAAGTGACAAGTTCGAAAAGTTGCGATGGTCTTTCCTCTTTTTCAGCTTCTTCTCCTTCGACTTCCACGTCATTTTCTTTGCGACTTTGAGCTCGTTCCAATTTTTGCTTCTCTTTGGGTGGTCTTTCGAGCCATTCTTGAAGATTGTCGAAAGCATAGGCGGCTGTGGAAGCAGCGGTGTCAGCAAGACTTTGAGATAATGAACGTTTGTGCTGGAAAAATATGAAAGTTCATTTTTTTCTGAAACCTCAAACTCACAATCGGCGCTGGGAACGAATTCATCGACGAGCTCGAGGTAAACGGTTTGGCAGTCGAAGTTGTCGCAACTTGTTGTTGTGCTGGTGTAGAAGGAGCCGTCTGTGAACTGCTATCTCTTGATGTCATATTGCTCAACAAATGCAAAAGTCGCGGTCGTTTTGGTGGATCTTGTGGTGGAGCTGGTGGCAGAGTGGCGATTTCCGAATCAGTCTCATCTTCCTCTTCAATCGTCATGTGCTCACTGGAAAAATTATTTTGAAATTTTTTTCAGTTATCCCCTCTTCAGAAAAAAAATTGTTCTTTAGTCAAGTTTTTTGTAGTTCAAAAAATTGAGCAAACATTCTCGTGACTACAAAAATGCGTATTTTGCTACAAAATCTCTAGTTTTTGTAAAATCCCTTGTTTCCTTGAACCCGATAAAAAATGTGGGAATATTTCAAGAGCAGGAGGGATTTTCGGAAATGAAAACAAAAACATATGGGAAAAACATGACGTGGGTTCAAAAAAAAACATTGTTGAGGTCAAAGTTGAGAGCAAGAATCAGGAAGTGTTGTGGAGCATGGGAAAATTGAAGATTATGTTAGTCGGAGAGGAATTCGGGTTAAGAAATTTTGCAAGAATTGAAAAATAATCTTAATTTTCGAGATTTCAGAGGGAAGCTAAAAATTGTTCTTTATTTTGTCAAATTTATTCAAAATTTATTCCAAATCCCAAGATTTAGGGAATTGTTTCACAATTCCAGATTTTTTCAGAAATGTTTGTTAACTAGAAAATTACTTCAGGCTTCTGAAAATTATCCTAAACCTCCAGGTTCTTTGTAGAACTCTATCGTAAAAGCCTCCCTAAACTCACGTAATTTCCAACCCTTGCTCAATCGGTGGCTCTTTTCCAATATCCAATTCAATATTCTCTCCATCATCCTCAATTTCATCATCAGCTCGATTCATGGCATCTTTAGTGATTGGATGTTGTGCCAAATAATCAATCAAATTCCCATCATAAATCGTCGAATTCAATTGAATATGATAAGGATCTGAATCGACTTGAACACTTGCGATACTTGTCGTTTCAAATGCGTCATTATCATCATCCTCTTCCGAATTTTCAGATTCAGAGTTGGAAGCTTTTTCTTGATTTGAATTCGAAGATGGATCGTCTGATTTTGTTTCAATAACGGGTTTTTCATCTTTTTCTTTTTTTGAGGAATAATATGATTTGCCTTTCATTGATGCATAGTTTTGATTGTCATGTGATTTTTGAACAAGGCTTACGATTGATTGAGATCCACCCTGGAAAAAAATGGATTTTCAGAATATATATAAAATTGAAACTCACCGAAAAATCCACTTTGGTTTTCTGCACCTCATTCACATATTCTTGCAAGCTACGATGTGTCAATTGATCTTGTTGAAGATCCGATGAATCCTCACTTTCCGATGACTTTTTCGGCTTATTGTTGTTATTCAAATGCACACCATATCCACCAGTATAAGCAACAACACATCGCAGAACAACACCCATATGTAGAAGTGGATCCATTGCTGATAGCATTCGACTTGGTGATGGAAGATATTGGAATACAAATGGGGTGTAACATAGGACAAGTCCATCGGGTTTTCGTTTGATTTTCAAGTCGATGAGGCGGAGGTTCATTGACATAATTAGATTTCCACCAGCGGAATCACCGACCATCACGATTTTCTCGCCTGTCCAGCCTGAAAGATTTTGAGAGTGTTTTAGAATTCCATAAAGCTTTGGGTTAATTTTTCGAAAATCCAGAAAGACTCCTAGTGAAGGAATGCTTGTTAATTTCTCATTATTCATTATTTTTTTCAACCATAATTTTCCCACCAGCTTTTAGATGTTTCGAACACCGTTGCTCATATTACAATGTTTCTATTTCTGTCATTTTTTTCATTGATAAGGTCAACTTTTATTTTTAAATCTGATGTTTTTCTTGTTTTCGATATTTTTAATTGAATGTTAAACTAAAATTCCCAGCCCTTCAAAATTGTTTTTCAAAAATTTTGGTTTCGAAAAAAATTCTCTCTGACGCATTGAAGAAAATCAAAATGTATTCAAAAATACAAAAAAAATTAATTAATTTTGTGTACAAAAACTTTGTTATTCACAATTTATGTATGAATAAGCAAACAGGATTCAGCAAAAAAAACATTTTGGAATCCGTGATTCAGATTCAAGATTTTTCTGATCATCAATAACCTTTCAGATTTTCGAAAAAAGGCAATCATAGCTCATGTTACAATGTCTACTTTTTGATAAGGTTTTATTTTTATATCAAAATTTTTAATCGAATTCCGAGCGAAACCCTTTCAAAATTCTCCTTCTCAAATTAAAAAAAAATCCAAAATGTATTCGAAAATACAAAAAAACTAACCAACAGCCGCTGGATTATTCACAATCCATGAGTAAGCAAACAAAACTTCTTCAGTTGGTCTTGGAAACGGATTTTCTGGCGCCAAACTGTATTCCACAGAAACCACAGTGCAATTCAATGATTTCGCCCATTGTCGAAGATATGTCTAGAATACAAAACTTTTTTTTTTAAATTTCCTAGAAGCTACCGTACCTCATGTGACTTGCTGGAAGTCGCCACATATCCTCCGCCATGACAATGTAACACCAAATATTTGCTTGGTGGATGTGTGGTGGATAATGGAGAAGATGACATGTTTTGTCTGTGGACCGTTGAAAAAATACGATACTGGACTGGTCTCGGTCCGGTATGGGCTGAGGGCTCGGGAACCATAACAATGTCTCCAGCTTCACCTTCCATGGGAATCGGACCGTTGAGAGCGATTTCACGGATTTCGTTGACTGCCATGTTCGGGCAGAAGAATTTTGGCATGTTCTGAATTTTCAAGAATGTTTGGTTTCAAATTCCAGCTTCCCCATAAAAAGTTCAGAAAAAACTCGATTAGGAAAATGTAAGCCAAAACTAATCAGATAAAAAGACGAATTTCCAGATTTTTAGAAATCTAGTTTTTGCAAAAATGTTTCCTTTTTTCGGAAAAGATCAGAGAGCACAATTATAGGGATACTGTCTCTTGATTTCGTATAACTCCCAAGCCACTCACATTGCTTAATTCTGACAAATTCCAGAACCCTTTACAAAAATCAATATCCGCCTCCTTGGTCACTTTAATAATCCTCGATGCTCTTTGCTCGGGGCTCAAGAAAAACCTGCCCGTATTGATAAGACTCCCAATCGGACCATGTCCTTTCTCCCAAGACAAACTATAAGTTGCCAAAACAATTCCGATGACTCGGAAAATTTTGTTGATCGATGGTGAGAACTGAAAACAATTTTTTTTAATTTGTTCAAATTTTCAAAATCACCTGAAATCCTAAAGGTCTCCCAAAAAACACTGTTGAATCTAATCGTTCCATAATTTTTAGTACTTCTTGATGTTTTTCATAACATCCATCGAGCGGTGGAAAAAGTGATCCCCTCATATTTTTCTCAATATCCAAACATAGCGGTATGGATTTGTTGAGATAATCAATAACTGTTGCATATGATTCCAATTCTTTGCAGAAATGTGAAAGCCGGAAGACGAATGAGCAACGTTGCTCAATTACTGCTTTTTGCAAGGAGACAACGTGGAGAAGTACTGTATCGCAAACGCAAACCAAGCTTCTGGAAAATTTTTTGATAATCAGTTTCTTCTTCAAAAAATTTGTTTTTAACTTTTTTCAGACATTTTTTTTTATTTCCATAAAAAACTTTTTTTCTTATCAAGAAGTATTCATTTTTTTGAATAGAACTGATTAAGATTTTTCAACCTGAAATTGCACAATCTCAAAGTACATAATTTCCAGAAACACTTTAGTGTTTCTCAAAAAAACACCAACCTATAACCATTTCCAGGCGTTTTCTCATCGAAATCATATTTCGGCGCAACTTCCTGAAGCTTCTTGATATTCTCCTTCAGAACTTCAATCGATTCTTTAAGCTTCCTCGAAACTCCAGGCATTCTTTCAGTGTACAATCCATTGGCACCTAATGATTTTTCAAAATGTGCAGCATTATCGGAGCAAAGCTGAAAAGAAAACCAGAAAAATCATCATTTTTTGTCGGAAAAGTGCGTACTACAAAATCAATGTAAACAAAGAGCTAGAAACTACATCGAGTTTTTGTGCACTTGCCTGTTCAATGAGTTGAAAAATGGCGGTTCGATCAATCGATAATCTACCAGTCAACCTTTGCCTCAACTTTTTCTTCTCCGTCGCAGCATTTCCAGAACCCGTCGAATTTTCATTCATAATTTTGCGAGATCTGAATTTGAATTTTCGAATCGACATGATTTTTCGAGACATTTTTGAACGTGACATTTCGAATTTGAAATGTTAGAATAATAAAATACAGTGACGTAAAATATACAGTGATAGTCAGCCGGTGTAGCAGGAGGGCAAAAGAAGAAGAAGAAGAAGATGAAAAGCGAGAGAATTTTTTGGAGGGGAGGGGGCGGAGCCTAAAGGTTGGCGCGATGCTTTTTTTTCCGCACACAGAGACACAAAATTTGTTGGATTTTGATATTGGAATATTGGAGGGGGATTATAGGATTTCATTCAATTGTTCTACATATTCTGTTTTGTTCTGGTTCGGTTCAATTTTTATTATATTATTTTTATTATGAGTTTTTTTTTGGCTACGTAGTTCAAGTGCTTATGAGGTGAATTTGGGGGAAATTCTTGATGGGATTAGACATGGAAAAATTCAGAATCTCAAAGACCATCCAGAAAGTTTTAACATTATTCAGATTGAAAAGAATCTATGGATGGGATTCCGATAAAGTAACCACTGAATTATGTAAACAAAATCCAAAACAAAAATGAAGCAATAAATCAAAATTTGTGCTAGGAAGTGCGGAAAAGAGTCCATAAAACAAAGGTAATAAATAAACAGCAGTGAACCACGAAGTATCAATGCAACTGTTTAAAATAATAAATCACGAAATTTTGGATGCGATCCAGAAGGGTTGAACGAAAAAAAATGGGGAGAACCAACTGTTTCACAGAAAACATAACATTCAGAAGTGTTTATAAAGATCAAAATTCCACAAAAATATTTCTTCTAGCAAAACAATTTTCAAAATTCTCGGCAGATCTTTGCTTAACTTTCAAACTCAATGTCAGAATTCAATCTCTTATCAAGAATTGAAATTCTCAAAAAATCTTAAAGTACAAAGCTCATGAATTTTTGATTTGGATGAAACTAAACTACGCACATCGTGTGATTGAACGTGAGAAAATTTAACGCAGGAAAATAGTTTGAACTAGAACATTTTCAGAATTATAGATATAATAGGGATCTTGAGGTCACTTTTATGCACAAAAATCTCTTCGAACTTTTATTCACGAAATGTAAATACATATTTCAAAAAAAAAATTAAAAGTGAAACGATCTTAGGAAATATTTGTAACAAAAAAATTACTAAAACTTTCTAATCTTCTGAAAATGAGTTTTCTCAACCACATTCTCCCTAGAAAATCTATCCCTATTTTTTATCATTTAAAAATCCACAATTCATAAACTCAATAAAAAAAATGCAAAAAAAAAAACAAAACAGTTTGACTGCTGCAGGGTCAATTCACAGGTTCATTAGAACCTATCACATAGTGAGAGACGCAGAGAAAAAGAGACAAAAAAGGGACAGAAAAACGTGGAGACGAACATTAGCTGGCTAGGCTACAATGTGGCTAATGGTATTGTTTCGCGCCGGAAAAAAGCGAGGGGAAAACATGGCATTCTTTGAAGTGAACTTTGAAACGTGAAAATCTACAGTTCATTTCAATATTTTCTGAGAATTCAAAAATAGTTTTATAAAATGTGCGTTTCTGAATCTTTAATTCTTCTATAATGCTGGTTAAGAACAAAGTTTGTTTTTTGTTCAAAGTAAATATTGAAAGTTCAAGTTCAAGTTGATGAAACAATTTGAACAAATGTAAACACAATGTTTTGCAAGCCGATGTTTTTATAGAAGCTTCAAAATCAATGAATAAAGTCTGACACATATAAATATTCAAATAAAATTTAATTTGAGGCCGACGAATGTTTTTATGAATCACCCCTGTACATAATTTGCTGGAAAACACATGATATTTTTTGTTCAAAATTTCTTGGGGATCAAAAAGCAACTTTAAACTTTAAGTTTGAGATAAAAATAGCTTCAAAAATCAAGTACCCATTGATAAATTGATAATTTTCAGGTCTGAAAAGCAATATGGAATTCAAGCATAAAAATGTTTAATCAAGGGAGGTCTTATAAAAATATTTCCTTGATAAATGAATGGGGGACTGCAAAAATTTTTCTCACAAAAATTTGAAAGTTGTTATTGTTTGTGAGTTGAATTATGGAAATATCTAGAAAAATGTTATGGTTTTGAAAAAAACACATTTCTGATAGTTAAACCACGATTGCAAATTTTTGAATTGTGAAAAAAAGCCTTCACTCAAAAATCACAAAAAAGCCTGACACGAGTTCAAAAATTGTCGTCTCATTTTCTCTCTCAAATTTTTCTTTCTCATACATATCACAAGATAAAACATCACATATCTAAAATGATACCACAAATCGAATTAAATCAATGATTCATTCCAATGTTTTCTTTCCTCCCTAAAAATATCCCTGGGTGGAATTTGAATTAGCCTAACTTGGCCAATTTTCGCCGTGTTTTGTTGAACTAAATTACCTCTTTTAAAAACAACATAGTTCAAAATCAAACCAAACTTAATCTAATTCAACATACATAATTCAATTAATCTAATCTATCCAAAAAAAGCAAGAATTTCGCAATAATATAAAAAATGCACAAGAAATCAAACACATTTTTTCTCTCCTTCGAGAGAACTACACAAAATGTGTTGTGTTGGGGGACGAGAAAACCAAACAGCGTTCTCTCTCGTCTTTTTCTCCTTTTCTGCTAAATTCGTTTCCGAGAGAAGTACACGGATTGTGTGTTTTTTTTGGAAAACACGTGAATCTATTCTATTTTAGCAAAATGTTCTACATAGTTTCAAAAATAGTCTATAGCCTCCAGAAAAAACTATAAAAAATGCTATGAATTTTTTGTAGCCGCAACAAAAATTTTTGCAAAAAAGCATGTTTTAAAAACACGCAGGCACAGAAAAAATCAATAATTTCTCCCAGGTTTTTTTGTTCTTTTTCTGGTTGAAAATGAAAAAAAAAGGAAAAAAAGAAGAGCAGCTGTGAAAATAACACATTTTGTATGATAATGAAACAGAACAGAAGAAAAATGTTTGAAACATCAGAAACCAGATTTTTTCCAACATTTTCTAACACACAAAAACGGAAAAAAAACTTGATTTGGTTTCTTTGAATTATTGATTTTTGTGTTGGTCGAGAGAGAAAATCGTGGAAAAGAATGAACCGAACAAAAAAAAACAAATAGAGGTCATAAGGAGAAGATAGGATTAGACATACCAAAATGTTGTGTTGTGTTTTGAACGCGCGAAAAATAAGATGAAGAAAAAGAAGAAGAAGGCACTTTAGAAAAGCTGAAACTTTTTTTCAGAAAAAAAACATAATTTGATTTGGGTAGCACTAGATTGATGAGATTGAAGCTGGCTCTCTTACAATCGACCACCCACGGTGAAAATTTCAATATTCAGAAATTGAATGTTCCGATTAAGATCACCCACGAAGAAATTGTTAAACAATATTGTATAAGATTTTCAAACCTCCCACATTGAAAATTTCAATTTCAAAGACCATTCAGAAAATAAAACAAATTTGATTGAAAACCAAAAAAAGAGATTGAATAAGATTGACTTTGCTGAAACTGACATCTTTTCTTTTTTTTTCTTTTTTTTATATTTTTTATTTGGACCACCCATGTGATTTAGTTTGCTAGGACCTTGGAATATCCCTTTTCAGAAGTACATAGGTTTTCAATTTTCTAGACTTGTCAGATGAAATCATGTGATAAATGGGTTTTTCGTGAGGACATTTTTTTCAGAAGGGACCACACACGAAGCTTGATTGATTACAAAATGACGGAGACCTTTTTCAGAAATAAGTTAATGGATTTTACGGGGCCACAAAAGTTTGATTGATTTAAGTGATTTTTTTTGAAAGTTGTCTAAGAAGAGCAAACGAGGGACCACCCAAGATGAAAAATGAACTTCTCGATGCCCCCCCCCCCTCCCCTTCAAAAAAAGAAGATTCTGAAACTCACGCTTTAGACCACACAATACGAATCGCTTGAATTTCTTCAGTTATAACATCCATGGACACGAAGCTAACTTAAAATATTGAGCGGACCACCCAGGAAGATCATAAAACTACAGTAATCTATTCAATCTTCATTTCATTTTACACATATATTAATCTAATGCATTTTCGTCTGTTTATGATCCTACATTCTTTTTTTTTTGCCATTAGATGTACGATTAAGTAAATGCCAGCCGCCAAAAAGCTTATTACCGCCATTAGCAGCCAAACGAAACCCTGAAAATTATTTCTTTTTTTTGAGCTCAGACCACCCACGATACCAACCTGATACCAATCTACAGTTTGAATATAAATGTTTTGTAAAATTAAACTTTGAGCAATTCCCGCCAATTTTTGAGCAATTGAACTTATCGCAAACGCCTTTCCAATCTCATCTTGCTCCACCAAACATGCCATAAATGTATAGCTCATCGGATTTAAAAGACCATGTAAACTTCCTGGCCCTAAACTAGCGAAAATCATCCAAGAAGCCTGTAAACATTTTAATCCTAACATGAGTCATGATTTTTTTTTAACAAAATACCTGCGCTAATCCGATCATCAAAACGCATCCAGCCATACTCAAAATTGCGAGAACAATAATAAAAGTGTCTCGAAAATGACAAATTCTTTTGAAAAATAGCATACCAATTGACATTCCAACGATCTCTGACATCAAAATACTGTGTATGGTAGATCAAAAAATGGAAAAAAAAACTCACGAACAATTGGTCGCCAAGACTTGTAGTCGGCGTATGTTGAAGTGTCCCATTTAAAGGGAGGTAGACGGACATAGGTCCCAAGAAGGCCTGGAATGAAAATTCGAGTTAAAATCTACAGGAATTTTTGAGATCGTTTAGCAAAAGTTTTCAGGATTTATAAGTTTGATATGAAAAAAGTAGAACATTTCAGGTTTTCGGTTGGTTTCTTTATCATGTTTTCCAAAAATCAGACATGTTTTATGAAAAGTTCAGTTTTGAATCAAGCTGAATTATCATTGGAAAAAAACACATTTTTTGATATCAGATTTTCCTCGAACCAGGAAAATATAATCCGAAGTTCAATCAAAGCTTTTGTCAGGATTAATTTTTTGGAAGAAAACATTGAGATATTTTTTTGCAGAAGGATTTTATATGACGTGGCATAATTTTAACTGAATTTGAAGGTCGATTTTTTTTAATTGTACATAGAAAGTAAATATTTGAACCAGATTCAAATCTTGAGAAATCAATTTAAAATTGAAAGTTCTGTTCTGAAAACATTTTTCAATCAAAAACCTTTCTGATCTTTCATCATCCAAAAACTTCCTCCTCTCCTTCCTCACCAAAACAAAATAGTTCCAAAACCAAAAAAAAAATGTCGCAATCAATTACTCTTCCAACTCTTCACTAATTACTCACCCTTTTCCTCTCCCCAAACAAATTGATCCAAAAAATTGGCAAAAAAGCAAAGATATAAAAATATTTTTCGATATCCTTCTCTGGGAACCGTGAAAATTAGTGCAGCCTCGTAAATTGAAATAAATGATAATTTTATTGTTTGCATGATTGTTGGACTGAAAAATTCTAGAAAATTGTGTCTAGAACCCTGGGTCAAAGCTTACCGCTCCAAGTTCTCCACTTCAGATTCTTGCAAAAGTTCCGCTTTCGTCAACGGTCTTTTCTGCTTCAAAATCAATGCAGATATGAGAAATGTGAAAAGATAAACACCTTCAGCAATTATCATTACAGTAATCTTTGAAGTCCATTTTACTAAATGTTTCACAAATCTTGAAGAAACAAATGATCCCAACGAAAATAATATTGATACAATAACCATACGATATGAAAGCTGAAAAAAAATGATTTTTTTGTAGGAGGAAATAAAAGGAGCCTACAGTAATCTTGTCTGGAAACTCGTCAGCAATATAAGCGTTAATACAACTCATAGTCAGTAAGAAATCTCCAAGAAAACCTGTGAGCACCGCTGTTGGATAAGTCCAATTCAAATTAAAGTCAGTGGTTTGATCCCAGATCAGGATATTCACTGGAAAACGAGTTTTGATAAGTCATATGTAACTTGCTTCTCTCACTTACTAGCATTCGAAAAAATCACACTAACAATCCCAATCAGCAACGGATATTTTCTTCCATATCGATCACTCAACCCTCCTGAAAAAAAAACGTTTTTTTTTTCAATTTTTCTCTTTCTTTTTTTTTCTAATGTAAACCCACCATAAATAATGCCAAAAATACAAGCGATCGGTAAATTCACATATTCATAATAATTATCCCATTCCACCATTTTTCTTATTATAATATTTGTCCAAATCTTTACCGTGAAGATCTGGTGGAGCCGGATAAACTCGCTTCATTTTCCCCTCTTTCAGCGCTGGCGACACGATACTTCTGAAATGGAAGAATCAGGAAGTTTTGAATTCGCAATTTTGGCCAGATGAAAACACATTTGATAAATGTTCATTGAAGTTTTAGATGAATTATTCAAAAAAATTTACAACACTTTTCACTTTTAAAAATATGTTTTTTTTACTTTGCGATGGGGATCTTTGAAAAAAAAACTATTTTTGAAATTTTAAGAAGTCCTAAGGTTGAAAAAAAAAGTTAAATTTTTAAAAATCCATAGAAGTTTCTACAATGGTCCAGGGTTTTTCAAAAATCTTTATTTTTCGGTGATCCTTTTTTCAAAATTTTCTGATAGAGGTCAGAAAAACAAGTTCTGAAAACAGAAAAAAACCCACACTGCAGTATTACTAGCGGCTAGAATAAACATCAAAGGCTCTACAGTAATCTGCCATCCTCGAACACGTTGACAAAAGTCTCGAAAAATATCCATAGGAACTAGAAAAAATGAGTTTCCTGATGAGAAAAATTGATAACAAATGTGTGTTTTTTCTGGTTATCTATCTTCTTTTTTGGCACAAAAATCGATAAATCAAACATTTATTTATTCATTTTGGCAGGCAAGAGAACAAAAGATTGAAAAAAAATAATGAGTTGGGATATGGAAAAAAATTGGAACCAGGATTGGGTAAGTAATACATGTAATAAAAATTCGAACCTGGGAAATCAGAGAAACTGGTATGCTTTTGAAAGCTTTGAAATATTGGGGAATATTGGAACGGTTACAAAAAGTGTATGTAAATTATAAAAAAAGAAGTTTTCTATAACAAACTTTTGGCAGGATTCAGATTTTTCAGAAAAAAATTAAACATGAGACTTTTTTGAGATAAACAAACTAGGGATCATCTAGAAAAAACATTACTGGGCAAAAAAAGATGACAAAATCAGGAAGATCTCGGTCAGAAAACGGCGGAGTCGCTACCAATCGGGGCGGAGTCGCTACACGTTTCGGGGAACAAAAAACGTGTAGCGACTCCGCCCCGATCGGTAGCGACCCCGCCGTTTTCTGACCGAGATGTTCGATCTACTGTATCAACGAGAAGATCTTTCTTGTTGTACCAACGCGTAAATCTTTTTCCCCATTTCGACTTGAGTTCTATGTTTCAAACTTCCGGCTTTTGGATCTCGCAAAATCGAAGCGAGATAGGAGGAGGAGAGGTAGTCGACACTGCTAATTGCACGATTCTAAAGAAAATTACTGTTCACACCGAAATCTGATTGAAATCTTACCAAAAATCGAAGCGATCCAAGTTTATCAGCCATATAAAGCTTTCGAGTGAAAAACCAATCCTCCCCATTATCAATCATGTATTTTTCGCAGAGTTTGGCGACACTTTTAGCTCCCAAATCAACGGAAAGATCGATAAGTTTGTCAATATTTTTATCGTTGAGCAATTTTTCAGCAAAATTTGCTGGACCACAGACCATTGTCATGAAATATAACCCATCATATGGATCGGCTTCCATTTCCAAGTGGTCCGCGTTTTTGAACTTCTTTTTGAACTCGGAGACCTTCTTGATGGCTGTCTACAAAAAATTAATTTTGATTATAGAAACAAAAAAATATTTTTTTCTACTCACTTGTTTTGAAACCATAAATTCCAAATCGCCAACTTTAAAAAGATGCAATCCAGTCTCCTCACAATGCGCTGGATCTTTGAACTCATACAAAGAGCACGTCATATCATAGGTAACACTCTCGATGTATCCTCTCTCACAATTCCAAAACATAATCGGACCTTCACATTTTCTCGGATCGATAACCAAGTTTCGCTTATAACGGAAAACTTGTTCTCTTGTTGTTTGAACTGCCAACTTGATTTCGAAGTAGAAAATCCATGTTCTGTTTGGAACTTCTGGTGTATCTTGAACAATTTTGAACTCAAACACGTTGTTTGATTCTTGATTGACACACAGTCTCCTGAAATTACAAACATTGAAATTCAGATGTCACATTCAAAAAAAAACTAACCACTTGTGCTCGCCCATTTTTTGAACATCCGATACTTCAGATGTAGCACCGCGGAAACCGAGGCCAGACAAATCCCAAACACCGTGTATGTCAAACTTGTTGAACGACATGTTTAACTGCAAAAAAAAACGAGTTTTGAGAAATAAATGAAAATTGCAGAAGGTCCTGAATTGAAAAAATAAAACATTTGCATCTCTATGACAACCCCAAATGTAGAATTAAATGTACTTTACAAATAATGAGGGAGGTCTTACACTTAATATAGAGAGCTGACGAGAAAAATTTAATCACAGTGTATATTTTCGTACTCGAAATATATATACTTTTTTGCGAGTGTGAGCTGAACTAAAAATAGATTCAGAAAAAAAAAGAGAATTGGGATAGAAAATTAAAGACTGTGTACACAACATGAGTCAGAGTATTTCCAATTGAAAAAATGCGGTGAATTTGAAGAATGTGTCAAAATTAATGGCACCATCGTAAATCGGAACAATCAAAATCATCATTTTTGAGCGCGAGCGGTCGCAACGCGGTTTCAAATTTCTTGGCCGAACAACAGCGCGTTTCGGGCAACTTGCCAAAAATTTATCGTGTTCCCGGCGAGTTGCTACGCGTTCGGGCGACTTGCCCCGAGTTTAGTCGCCCGAAACGTGTAGCAACCTCGCCATTTTCTGACCTTCTGATCTACTGTATAAATCCCACAAGTGGATGGAAATATTTTTTCTCGGAATCAATCAGATTTCACATTCAGACTACGTCAAAAAAATCATTGCTCAGCTTATCTGGTAAAAGTTATCCTAATTGCGCGAAAACCACAATCCAAAAAAAACAAAAAATATAACTAAATGTGTCTTATATCAACACTTGTTCGGGCACACCAGACACCTGCATATAACAAATGGTCAAGACAAAAAAAATGGTGAGAGATGGTGGGAGAGGGCGGAGAATTAGAGAAAGAGGCGCGCGCAGACAGGGCCTCGGGTTGTTTTGCTTTTCCTTGTGGTTTATAAGAATGAATAGGAGAATGCGAGTCGTCGTTTGCAGTTCGACTCCTCGTTTCGAGATCAAGCGCGGGAAACATGTTTTTCAAATATTTTCGAATTCAAAAACGTTTCCCGCGCTTGGTTTCGAAACGATAGATCGAATTATTTGTGAATTTCGTGTTTTGGATTTCTTCTGAACACGTTTTTTTTTCGTTTTCTCTGTGCCTCTCTCGATTTACCTTGTAAAAGGCCGTGAAATGTCCGCTGCCGACACGTGGTTCCTGCCACAAAATTTTTGAGTTTGGAACGCATTTTCAAAAATGCTTGAATCAGAAGGCACAGCATTTTATCTATATTTAAATGTTTGTTTCCTCCATTATTGTGATGATTATTATATGTATTGATTCCCTTTGCTGCCCTTTTTTGTTACTACTGCATTTTCCTGAAAAGTTTAGATTTAGTTTTTTTTTGTGAATCTTTCCTCAATAAAATTACTCGATATATACTCTTTCGCTTGCCAATGCACATTTTGTATATGTAGAAAATAAACCAAAAACCCGCGAGATTTTACGTGATCACCGAATGTCACGTTCAAAAATGTTTTCTTGTGGAAAAAAAGTCTGTAAATCATCTAGAAACAAGCCCCAATTGAGTTAGGGCTATAAATTCCAAGAGAAGTACACAAAAATGAAATATGTGTGCGATAGAACAAACATGATCGGCTATGTTTTCTCCTATCGATTCAGCACAAGTAAAGAAAAATAAAAGTTTATCTAAAAATATTATTAAATAATAGAAAAAGATGCACATGACTGAAAAAAGGTGTTTCTCCTGTTTGACATGGAGAAATATGGAATGTTTAAGGGAGAAGAAGCAGGTAAGTTATGCTAAATGAATAATTATTCGACATCTTCAAGAACAGTTTTGAATGAGAATGGAACAAATGGATAACCCAATCCGAGATAGAATTTCGATTGGAATTCAACCCAATGAAGACGAAGTGCGTGGAGGAAAGCGGACAATCCTTCCATAAGAACCAAAATTGAGATAGTGAGACCAAAGAAAATGAAGAAGAAAACAAAAACGGCGATGGAACCAAGAGTTCCGGAATTTCCCAAACCAAAGGTAACGAAAACCATGTGCCAAAGAACTTCGGACAATTCTGAAAAATACATTTTTTTTTCACTTGATCAAAATTTTCAAGTAACAAAATAAACATACGAGCGTGAGCAAGAGAAAGAGCCCAAAGACGAAGATATGAAGCAGTGTGAGAGACACATCCAAGAACATATTCGATTGTGTGAATTGATTGATGAACCATCACATCACCGAATGATTCACCGTGATGATCTTCACCATGTTCTTCTTTCTGAAAACAAATGTTTATGGATTTTGGGAGAACACATAAATTCTTACATGTTCTTCTTGCTTTGATCCACCATTAATAATAATTTCACTATTGTCTGAAACAACATTCGCCTCAACTGAAACATTTCCTTGCGATTCTTTTGCCTTCTTTTTTTGCTCGAGAAGAAAGGCGATTGGTTTTCCGAAAAGCATAATTGGAATACAGAGAACGGCAATAATGACTAAAACCATTTCAATCGAACTTTGTCCTGGATACCATTGACTCAAATAGCAACGATCAACTTCTTTCCAAAATCCATTTTCTTTTTCGGTCTGAAATTATTCTTGAATCAGTTTTCTTCTAGAACTTTTTGGAGGTACTTTTTATTGAGTTAAAATAAAAGTTCTGGATTTCAATTTTTCAGAGCTCAGGAGGATTTTACTACAGTTTCACAATCTTAAAGGTTTGAATCAACAAAATATTTCTTTCAAGAACTTACTCCATTAACAAATCCAGGATTTCTATCCTTCATCATAAACATATTAATCAATCCAATAAGAAGTGATGGTGCACAATGAGAACCTGGATAAACTTGTCCGAAAATTGTTTCCTCAACAGTCCAGAAGAACAACCATTTGAGAATGATTTGAATACACAAATAGACGAAAATCGAAAACATGAACAACATTTGAGGAATGAAAACGGTGAAAATATCAATTTTCGAATGATTATGACGGAAATTGAAGAATGAAAGAATAACTCCGAATGTCATTTGAGTGATTCCAAAAATAACCGACAATTTCATTTTCATTGAATTGAGGAAGTTCAATTTGTTCTCAGCAATATTCCAAATTGGATCAACTCCATACGGATATGGTCCCATTGAATGTTGATACGATTTTTCTGGCGCCAATTCAACCAACATTTCTTTTCCTTCAGCAGTTTCTGAGATCCAACCTTCGATTTCAGACATACTGCAAAAAATTGAAGTTTGAGAATTTTCAGAAAATGATAATTTGGAGTTTCAAGATTTTCCGAATTTTGAGAAAACCCCATTCTTACTTGTATGGATTTCTCCACGATGTTCCAAAAATATTGAAAGATTTGCCGAACAAATCATTGTAGACGAACCCAGCATAGATTGAGAACAAACCCATCAACAAGATGATATAGCGACCTCCGAAGAACATTGTGAAAATCTAGAAAAAAAACATCAGCTTCTGGGTTTTCTCGTTCAAAACAAACCTCATTTTCAATATTTCTGGCAATCAAATTCTTCTCGCGAAGAACAAACCAAAGACCAGCCATAAACATAATAACACCATGTCCTAAATCTCCAAACATACATGAGAACAAGAATGGGAAGGATATAATTGTATAGGGTGTTGGATTCAATTCACGGTATGTTGCGATACCGTAAGAATCAACAATTCCTTGGAAAACAGCTGTGAATTTATTGGTTTCATTATAAGTTGGTGGAGTGACTGATGTTTCCAAAATATTCAATACTGGCTTTACAGATGATCCACTTTTCTCGGCTCCGATTTCAATTGCTTGTCTAACAGCTTCAACATGTTTCAATGGAATCCAACATTCACCAACAAAGAATCTTCCAGGTCCATCAAAGGTGAATAAATTCAACATATGATAGACTGATTTGATCATTCGAATTTGTTTGATCCATTCATTTCGATTATCTGCAGCCGCTTGAAGAACACGGAATCGATGTTCTTTTGTTTGCCCCAAAACAGTTTGCAAATCTTGAATTCTTGTTCGAACATCATTTCTTGCCGATTGTCTTTCTTTGAAAGTTTTTGGACAATTCTTGAAAAGTTTAGCTTTGAAACCATCGCTAACTTTTTCAACAATACTTCTCATTCGATCTCCTTTCAAGAAAACAATAAAAGCACTTTTATGAACTTTTTCCCCATTTGCATCTTCTAATGGTTGTTCAATATCACTTGATCGAACATATGCTGTATGATGAAAAGCACGCCACAAAACTCGCTCAAATCCACTCACTCTTTCACGTTGAATAATTCCAACAATATAATTAACTGGTCCTTCGTTTGTTCCAAATGGCACTAATTCTCCAGCATCATCTTCAATATTTTCGAATTCTTCTTGTGCCTGATCATCAACTCCGCCTTGGAAAAATTCATCAGTTTTATCAAGAACCGCATCCCATTCGAGTAAATCATTGTAATTCGATTTGAGTTGAAAATCTGAACCCTTCATATTAATCACATCTTTTTCCAAATCAACCAAAGTCGATTCCAATTGATTGAGTTCAGAAGTTGGTAGAATATTATAGTCTTCAGATGCTTCAATTTTTCCAGGAATATCTATCTCATCTTTTTGAATTTGTTCTTCCAAAAATCTCAATGTTCTTTCCATTTCATCAAATCGACAGATATCTTTCACAAATGTTCTTTGGAAACTGTTCACAAGTTTTTTCTGGTTTTTTTTTTGAAAAGGAACATGCCTTTTGCGGAGCTTCTGAATTTGCAATCGGTCAAAATTTTGAAATTTTTCTTGGAAAATTTTTGAGTTTAGTAAAAAAAAAATCAAGATTTTTTGGAACCTGAAATTGAAAATAATTCAAAATTTTAAGCATAAAATAATATAAAAGTTAGAAAAATGGCCTAGAAACTAGATTTAGGACTGTTTGAAAATTTGAATTCCTTTAAAAACCGCGCAAATTCTCAATGGAGTTCTCAAAAAATTTCTGAATAATTCTGCTTCCAGCAGTTTGTGCTCCAAACTTTACGGTTTCAAAATTCCAACATCCATATTCCTATCCCCCTCTTACAATTAACCAACTCACATCCTTAAATTGAACATAAGGTTGTTTTCCAATTTCAGCAACAATATTGAAAGCGGCATCTTTTTCAACAATAAGTTGACAGAATCGCATTTCTTCCGAACGCGTCAACGACCCCATTTTCAGCGTCTTTTGGTCGGTCTAATTACTTTACCTGGAAAACAAAACATATTTGATTCCGACAAAAAAAGTACAAAGAAAAAACTGGTAACAAAAAACAATTAGAAAAAATAGAAACATTATGATGCATTGTGTAAATAATTTGTTCTCCGGACAGAAGGCGACAGAATAATAATAATATTGACGAATACACGTCTTTGCTCCCTCGCCCCTCGCCCCTTCGCCCCGTCTCCCCACGGTGTTTTATCGCGGGGTGCCCCGCGTGCAGCCCTAAAGTACAAATTTTGCAGAGTTCCGAAAAATCTAAGGGTTTCCAAAGTTTTGTGCTCTGCGGATTTTCAGATCAGATACAGATTTCGTACTTCAAGTCTCAAATTTTCTCAGCAAGCCAAAATTCAATAAATCTACAGTTCTCTAAAACATTAAGGCGGGAAAGATCCTAATTGACTCACTACAGTAATCCAGAGTCTCGGAACCTTTGATCTGATATATAAACCAACCAACCCAAACTACAGTACTATTTTTCACGAGTCAACTCAAAAACTGATAAAACGCAATATGCGCATCGCAATCGCATGTGGTGATGACATATGGGGGAAATGAGTGTTTTAAGAAAAGGAATATGGGGGAACTTTCTGACGAATTTTGACGAAAAGAAAACGTTTTGAACAATTCGATGTAGGAGACGCAGACAGCGAGAGAGCGCGCTGGCAAACAGCCAAAGGGGTTTTGTATGAGTAACGAACCGCAACGCACACGCATCGCGGGGGTAGGGGGAAATTAGAGATTTTCTCAAATTCAAATTTATTTTTTCGCGGGGTGAATCTCATTTCCAAACGGACAATAATAGAGAAATTTCTATTGGATTTCATGTTTCAGATTCATTTTTAAATTTACCTTGTAGAAAAAGCTCGTAGTTCCTGAAATTTAGCGTTAATTAAAGAATCTAGCGTTATTTAAAGCTACATTCGAACAATCAATCCGCTTGAAAAACAAAAAAAATGTTCAAAAAATAACAATTTTCTCAAAAAAAAATCCAACAAAATAATAAAACAAAAATATCGATACATTGAATCAAAGTGCAATGTTTTCAGAAAAAAAGCAAACAGTTTGTTGTAATAACGGGCGATAACGGGCGATAGGGGCGATTTGTTTAAAATTCCCAGGCACGAAACAATTATTTATTAATAACTATTTTTTGGTAAATTATTTTATCGAGAAAAAAAAACGATTTTCCTTTTTTTTAGAAGTCAGATTTCCTCCTAAAATTTTCCGATTTCAAGATGAAAAGTTTAAAAAAAACTGTGAAAATATACAAAACCGACTACCAAAAAAGCAAAAGAGAGCCCTGGGTACTAATCCTCCTTAGGGGAAATAGGCCCAAGGCCGGGATTGAACTCTTGACCTCGTGGGCGGGGGATCAACCAGCAAATTTAAGCCACTAGACCACAGGACTCCCTGAAACCCCTTGTCTTATTTTCATATTTATGATGACCTATCATTTTTCCGTGCGCATTCGACTTGAATTCGACAAAATTCATTAATAAAAAATTGAATTTTTTGTCTGAAACTGTTGCAAGTCGAATGCGCACGGAAAAAAATCATAGGTCATCATAAATATGAAAATTAGGCGAGGGGTGTCAGGAGTCCTGTGGTCTAGTGGCTTAAATTTGCTGGTTGATCCCCCGCCCACGAGGTCAAGAGTTCAATCCCGGCCTTGGGCCTGGATTCCCCAAGGAGGATTAGTACCCAGGGCTCTCTTTTGCTTTTTTTGGTAGCCTAGGAAAATTTTTAAAAACAGAAAAATGTTAAAAAAAGAATTATGATAAAATATCCCAATGTTCAATTGATCCTAAAACACATAAAAATGAAATTGACACAAAAAATTTCTGAGGCGGAGAATGATAAAAATACACATTTTGTGATGAAAAATAGATTGGTTTTTGATAACTTTTTAAATTTTAAATCCAATTTTTTATGTTTTTTTATTTCATCACACAAAAACATATTATTATTATAATCATCGAAATAAGAAACAAAAAAGCTCTGCAAAAAGAATATTTTTTCAGAAAAATTGAAAAAGGCATATATTTTCTTTTTGGTTAACTTGAAAACGGTGTGTACATACAAGATAAATTCTCTCAAAAAAGAAAAAAACAATTTATCGTCCAATATGATATTCTCGATCTTCAATTTCAAGTTCAGCAGTCGCAGCATTTTCTCCCTTTTGTTTATGTGAGCCAAGAGCAAAACAAATCGCTCCAAACACGCAAATCCCCATTGTGACTTGAGCTAAACGCGTTGAATAACCGGAAGATCGGTTAGCTTCGGAGGTGAAGTTGATTTCTCGTTCCTTGTTTCTCATATCGGTTTTCCATTCTTCAATAGTGCTGGCGACAATTTCAATGGTTGCGTAGATGCACATTGCTGGAAATTGTTTTATAAAAACGTTTTTTTCGCTGTCTGAAATTCTAGAGCTCAATTTTTTTTCCTAATTTTCGATATTCGGAAATTTTGATCGGAATATAAAAATTAAGTGTTTGATCCCTTGATTTTTCAACCTCACAGCAAGTTTTTGGAATATTTAAATTCAGAGAATGCTTCTCAATTTTCAATATGCTTTTCAAAAAAATTTGAAAAAAAAACTCACCAACAACAATCCAAAGACAAGCAACAACTCTTTTGTACATATAACGATGATGATAAAATGTGTAAATTGCTAGCAAATTGGTTCCGATGTACAAAACTAGTGCAATAGCTACCATGAAAATTTGCGAGTAATAATAATCTGAAAATTTGGATTTTTTGAAAATTCATTTTCAGAAAAAAACTTACTTTTCAAATCAGCTTCTGATAATCGTGGAATGTTTTCAGGTGTTGGGAAATGTGGAATCCAATCGACTGAAAAATATACCGTTTCGTATTTTTCAATCAATACATGAAATGTGATTTTTCATCTATCAACGACTTTGTTATTGTCATGACAGGTGTCTTTAATTGTTTTGATATTGGTGATAAAAAATCTGAAGAGTATTTTTTCTCGAGAAAAAAATTTACCTTGATATACCACTTTTGGACCACTCCATATATCAATAGTTCTCCATTCACCCCAAACACCGAGATCAACGTGAACTTTTTGAGAATGTGAGTTCCAAAAGGAGATATGCTGCCAGTGAGATGTTGCTACTGCGATGCTGTAAATTCCGACGCCGATCTGGAAAAAAACTAGTTGTCAAGGAGTGGATGCTTGTCAGAAAAGTTGCTTCTCAAGGCGCCACCCCTAGACACCATACCTTCTTCTAAAGGCGCAAATGCTAGAAAACTCAAAACCTAGTTGTCAAAGAGTGGATGCTTGTCAGAAAAGTTGCTCCTCAAGGCGCAACCCCTAGACATCATAATAAGTATCTTCTAGAGACGCAAATGCTAGACAACTCAAAAACGAGTTGTCAAGGAGTGGATGCTTGTCAGAAAAGTTGCTCCTCAAGGCGCCACCCCTAGACATCATGACATCTTCAGAAGGCTGGAACCCCTATACTCACCCACGCCAAAAGCGTCGCAAACGCCATAAACCTCCTCCGCCAAACAATTGCATGATAAGAATTCATGTTGAGTATCTGACTGCCTCTCAGCTCAACTGTTTTGTCAATGAGCTCCATTCGATGTTCGTCGTCCTCTTCACCAGGTGGTGTTTCTCCTCTTATTTCTCTTCTCCTTGATGACTCTGAAAAAATTGCCCGCTATTTTTTGCTTTTCATCATTTCAAATCAGATAGCTATATTACAATCAGTTTTTTTTCGCCGCTTCTTTATAGCTTTTCTGTTTTGATGAGTCGAGAAGACGGCAAAAACACACAATTTTTGTGAAAAAAAAGAATTGAAGAAAAGGGGAATTTTGTGGTTATGACACTTTTTGAAGGATAAATGAGTGGACTTTTGAAAGTTGTTGAGAGGCAATTTTTTGCGAATGTGAGGGATGAGTGAGAAAAAAAGTTTGGAATTACTTTTTTTTACATGAAAAACACAAAGTGCCTACTAATTAGAATGACTCTTCCGTGTTGAATAACATTTTGGGAATTCTTTGAAAAATTAAATGGGGATAGGGGTTCAGGAAAAGGACATCACGCGTTTTTGGAATATTGAATAGGTTCAGAATGTTGCCAAAAATGTTATGAGATGAACATTGTTATTTACAGTAACTGAATTTAAAAAAAAATCTTTTTTCAAAAACTTGTAAAACATTTTTCCCTGGTGAAAAATTAAAAAAATAATGAAAAAATATTTTCTAACATGAGCAATACAAATTTTCAAACTATTATTTTTAATATTACATGGGCTAAAAATAGTACCAGAAAAATAAAGTTTAAGAATTTTATCCGGACTTTTACTAACTTCAAAACAGTTTCTCAATGTCGAATTTTCTGGGGGTTTCCCGGCTTCAAAATAAATTTAGGAACTATCAGTACCCTTCTAGAATTTTTGACAGATTCAGAAAGACTTCTTGAAATTCTCCCGGGCTTCTAAAAATCTTATTAAACGTTCTGTAAACCTCTTCAAAAACCTTCCCTAGATTATATCAAAGAACAAGAAAAAAAGAGGCGAGAAAAATCCTGAAGGAATAAATAAGATCGAGAAACTACACCGAAACTATTAAAAGTATCTTCTTTTTTGTCACACATCTACTTTTCCATCCCAAAAAAAAGGAAGAGCAAGAAAAAAGAGACACACACATACACACACATACGAAAATCATCATCAATTATGTTGAAAACGAGCGTCGTTTTGTATGTGTTGTTTTTTCTCGCTTCTTATGTTGTGGTGTTTGCAAAGAAAAACAAAAGACATTGAAATTGAAACATCTGACCTTTTGATAGAAAAATATATAGAGGAAGTCTTTTATTTTTATTTTGGAGATTCCAAGAATTTTCTCATAATAGAAAAAAAAACGCCAAGAATATTTTTCTTATTCATAAAAAGGTCTCGAGAATAGAGAATTATTGACCTTATGTTTTTATTCCAAGAAAAAAATTCATTTTTTATTCTTTGAGATACATAGCCTAAAAAAATCTGGATTCATAAATAATAAACGCCATATTTTCTTGGAAAAACACATGGTGGTCTTTGTTAATTATGGACCTCCCTGTGTTTTGAATTTGTTTTTTTTTTTTGAAAAAAAAATGAAAACAGGACAATTTTAGAGTCAAGGAAGAAGAATACACAAGATTTTTTAGATACATAATTTGATTTTCAACGCCTCGGGAAACAGAGAAAAATTAGACATGATTTTTTGTTCTAAAAAAAAATTTTTTTTTTTTGTTTCACCATTGGAAATATCTAGATCCCTTGAGAAAAAGGAAGATTCTAAAGCAAAAAAAACCGATAAAATTTCTAGTAACAGTAGAAAAATGAAAGAAAAAAGCCTAAAAGAAACATGTGTTCAACCAGAAAAAAATGAAAAAGATTTTTTGATTTTGGACGATTCATTTTTTTTGTGCCTCTTGGCTTGCAATAACAATTGTTTCCAGTTTTTAACTCGGAGAACAGAACATGATGAAATCAGAGATTTTTGAAAGTTTTCCAAGGCTCTAGAGAGTTTAGAGAGCCTAGAGAGCCTAGAAAAAACACACTTTGATCTACTTTTTTAAGTTCAAAAATTTCAGATCAGAGATCATCTTCTAAAGGGGCTGAAACTTCAGAATTAAAAAAAACTACATTAAATCAGAACTCAAAATCACTAGCATAATTACAATGTTAACTTTTTTTTCAGAAAAAAAAATCTCAACCGCTTTCAATTTTTGAACCCACTTCACTAAAAAAACCAAAAACTCTCTTCCAAAAAAGTCACTAATCTCACTCTCACTGACAACAACCAGAAAAGCAAAAAAGAAAAAAACCAACGTGAAGCAAAAAAAAAGTGCAAAGGCGTCTGCTCTTCCTCACCACTATGGGTGTATATGTTTTGTTTTCCCGCCAATCAATTTATGACCCCTCTGCCCGCTCTTTCTCCCAAAAACCACTCATAAACAACACTTGATCTATCTAAGATTAGCTTTTTCTTTCTGTTTTGTGAAAACAGGGAGATAGAGAGAGGTAAATATTTGAAAAAAATAATATTTTTGTTATTTTTTGAAATTGAATATTAAAAAAATTTGATCTACCACAAAAATATTTGATCTACAAAGTTTTAAATAAAGTTTTTTGAGTACTGTACTCTACTTAAATACTAGGAATAAATGATCACAAATTGTTGACATTAGGCTACTTGATCATTCCGTGAAGTGCATATTTGATGAGTCATTAGAGAAAATCTGCTGAACTAGGCTACATACAGTACCCCTAAAAGCTAAGTTTTTTCAAAAAAAACAACAAGGAAAAAATGAAATTTGTATTTCTTGCCCGAAAAAAACTAAGAAAATCACGAAAAATTGTGTAAAAAGAGACAATTTTCTCGTGGAAACCCGATATTTGTCGAAGAGCCCGCTAAATGTTTAGCTCCAGGATTTTTTTTCAAAATGAAAAATGAAAAAAAAACTTGACTGACCTCTTTTGGAGCGCGAACTGCTTCGGCCTGAATGTCGATGTTTTTTGGAGTGTTGGTGAGGCATTTCTGGAAAAAGTTTAGCTTTGGATTTCTAGAAAAATAGAAAAAAGTTGTGGCGACAATTTGAAAATATGAATTTTTCATTTTTCCAGGAGCTACTATGGGAAAGGAAACGGAAAAAAAACACTCATGTAAAATTTCGCATGAATTTTTAATTTCAAACTTTTCAGAATGGAGTTAGAGAGGCTAGAGAGCCTAGAGAGGTTAGAGAGGCTAGAGAGACTAGAGAGCCTAGAGAGCCTAGAGAGCCTAGAGAGCCTAGAGAGCCTAGAGAGCCTAGAGAGCCTAGAGAGCCTAGAGAGCCTAGAGAGCCTAGAGAGCCTAGAGAGCCTAGAGAGCCTAGAGAGCCTAGAGAGCCTAGAGAGCCTAGAGAGCCTAGAGAGCCTTTGAAAAATAAAAGTTGACTTTTTATTTAAAATTTGGTCACCCTACATTTCCCAGGTAAAAACGTTTCAAGTGACAAAAAGTCATTTTCTATATTTGTGTATGTGAGAAAAAAGGTTAAGGGTCAAAAAATGGAAAAATGAGGCGAGTAAACTTTGAGGTGGGCTTGGCTTGAAACCTGACCTAACACATGTTGGATATTTTTTTTTCATACGCCGAAAGTCATAGTGTTTTTTTTTCAGAATTAATTGAGAAACTTGGAAAACAGCTGAAAATATTTCTAGGCAACTAGAAAATAAAACGAAAATGAAAACTGGATTTTAAACTGAACGGAGAACGTGTGAAAAAATAGATGAATGATTGAAAAGCGGAACAAAAAGTGCAGAAAAATTGAAAAGAAAAGAGAAATATTAATCTAACGGTTACCCAGACGACAATCGGTTTATTTTATATTATTTTATTATTTTTCTACACCATATGTATCTTGATTTTCTTCATTTCTATTATTCATAAGTTTTTAACCAAACTAAAAATAAAATAAGGAAATTAGTAGAATGCGATAATAAAAATAAGAAAAATAAAGGAAAAGGAAAAAAGAAGCCTTGTATTGTTATTGAGAAAGCTGGAAATTGGAAATTGAATTGAAAGAAGCATGAAAAATTTGATTTTTCTTTACTCATTGAGAAGATTTTTCAAAAAATTTTGCGATGTCCAAAGTAAAAAATATAACAAAAAATGCGAAAATATATCGTCCAAAGTCTAGCTGTCTGTGTCTCTCGAATATCATTACTATTTCTCTGTTTTGTGTCTGCGTCTCTCGAATATACACACTGTTTCTCTCTTCTGTATTTCGACTATGCAGACCAGCTTTGGACGGTATACTCTCGCATTTTTTGCTGTATTTCTTACTTTGGAGACCGCAAAATGACTGAGCATTTTTTTGAAGCAGAAGGATTTCTGTGATTCTATGAAAAAAAATATTGAAATTTTATTTGAGATCTTGACGACGACAAAAAACAGGACTAGCCACACGCTATGGTCCAATATGCTTGAGGAAAGAATGTCAATCTTAAGGTCAAGGGTTCAATTCTCGGTGTCTGCCACAGTTCTACAGAAAATGAAAATTATAGCAGTACTCTGAAAAGGGAGCTCATACAAATTTTTTTTTTGAAAAGTCAGGTTGAAAATTTGCTCCTCACATTCACATTCAAAAAAAAGAAAAAATAAATAAGCAATATTTTTCAGCTTTTGTTATTTCTAGAGAAAACACTCGAAAAAATAACACACACACTCAATTTTTCAGGACAGGAAAGAGTATTTTCAACTGCGCGCAATTTTTGCGTAAAAAATATTTAATTAGGACTTTGGTGCGGGGTGAAGAATGAGCTCACCCATTTTTTTTTGCTGCTGCTGCATCGAAAGCTTTGAAAAAAAAAACGATGAGGAAGAAGAGGATATGTCAAACGTTCGGGTTTTAATTAAATTTCTCCGTCCTGCATTTTTTTCCGAATTCAAATTCAAATTCAAATACTGACGAACAAGAAAAATGGGCCGGATATTTATTTCGTCTGGTTTGGTTTGAAATTTAATCTGATTTTTGGGCATGGCTTTGTTTTTGACAAATTGGGCGCGAAATTTGAGATTTCTCTGCGAGCCAATGATGTTTTTTTTTGTTTTTTTTTTGAAGGGGTTTACAATTTTTGAAAATGAAAATGGTTGAGCTCATTAAATAAACCATTAAAGAATAATTGATTCGGAAATGGGAAAAAGTTTCTGAAAATTAAATTTCCGGAGAATTATTTTAGAAAAAAAAGTTTTAAAAACCGATTTGTTAGTCTCCCTATGGACTTCTTTATGAGCCAATTTTGGCAACTTTTGAACTTTTGAAAACTCAGAACTTGGCTCAAAGGTCCTTCGGGAAACCAAAATGTTTAGGGTGTTCTTTTGACCCTAAAAGATTCTAAAAGTTCTGAAAATCTATTAAAGAACAATGAGAAAACCATTTTATTACAAAACATTCAACTTTTGATATTTAAAAAAATTCCGATGAAGTTCAAATTGACTCTCTAGATAGGTGGCTCCCAAATAATGTCCAGCATTTTTGAAAACCATAAAATCCAGATTTTTGTATGATGTGTATTTTCCAATAATTTCTTGATCTTTTCTTGTGATTAGACCATTCTCAATTTCCTAAACAAAAAATAAATAATGTGAAATTTCTCTCAAGAAAAAACTCACTTCAATTCCTAAATTCTCCACAAATCTTTGTCCATGTGAAAAAGGACAAACCATATCCATATCTCCAAAATATAACAGAACTTTAACATCATTATTTATTGCTTGTTTGATATGTTCATCAATGTCATCTGATGGAGGAAAATACATCAAATCTCGACATCGTTCCCATTTTCCAACTTCGTCAGGAATTCTCAATATTTCTCTTGTTTCATTTTGATTGAAATAACTTTCCATAATCGAATCCCGTTTGAATCCACAAGAATTTGGCGAGCTTTTATCCGGTGATTGCTCACATTTTTTATCGATTTGATAAACATTCAGTTCAGGGTGATGAAGAAAATAAATGTTATCTGTTAAAGGTTTACACTAATATTATAGTTCAAATTGCAATTCTCCAGATTGTTATTACAGCAGTTTTCAAGAATATCCCGATAAACATCTTCATCAATTATTCCATGTGAATAACTGTACTCTAAACCTGATTTCACTCTTAGCTCTTCGCTCAAAAGAGGTCCACCAAGAGCGATTCCCTGAAAATATTTGTATTTCCCGACGAGAGAATCGTAAGATAAGAGAGAATAAACGAAAAACATTCCCCACCTTCAGATTAATTTTGAAATTTCTCTGATTATCAATAATTTTTCTAGCTAACATCGGAACATATATTCCAGCATAAGAAATTCCGGTCAAAAATACCTCATGATTTTTGAATTGTGGATACTCCTGAAAAAAAAACAATTTTTGAATAGTTTCCAAGCATACCCACTTGAAAAAACGATTTGATTGCTTTATAATTATCTTGAGCAGTCATTTGATCTAAAAATGGGTCAGAGTGATCAGTCGAATATGAGAATCCAACTGGACTTGGAGATTCGATGTACACAATTGATCCAAGTTTTGTGAAAGAATATTCACTTTTGCTCAATACTCTTCCCAACGAATCTATGTTGAAGGGACCAGTTAAAAATAAACTTGTTAATGACGAACATCCAGGGCCTCCATTGAACCAAAAAATCAAAGGATCTGTTGTCACATTGTTTTCCGATTCAGCAAGCCTGAACTTTTTTATAATTGAAAGAAACTACATGATTCGTTGTGAAAAAGCTCAAAGAAAAACTAACCAATAAAACATTCTCTTTGAATCTGTCACATTCAAATATCCTGCAAATTGTTTTGAATCAAAATTGAAATTCTGGCCGGGTAATTTGAAAATTTCATGGCTAGTAACTTCTATGAAAAATAATAACGCAAGTTTCAGTAGCATAGCAGAATAAAATGAAAAATCAAGAGTCATCTGTTTGATTTTTTCAGCAAAAATTGAACTCTTGAAACATGTGTTGTTTCTCAATGTCAGTTTTTTAGAAAAAAAAATGAAAAAAAAAACGAAATGATTTATTTCACTACTAGAGATGATAATCACAAAAACAAGAATCAAATTACTACCTAAACAAAGTAAATTCAACAATATTTATTGTCGTATAACTACTATCTGAGAAAATTCCTATAATCATTTAACATCCGCTAGAGAATCTCAATCTGTAGGCAATAGAAGACCAACTGATTCTGAATTGGCAGAAGCTTGAAGTTTGTTGTTATCATAAGAATCCGGATCTGTTGGTAATGGAATTGCTTTGAAATCAGTCAAAACTCGAGATTTGATGTTAGCATGAGCAATCGGATCTGTTGGCAATGGAATTGCTTTGAAATCAGTCAAAGTTCGAGGTTTGATGTTATCATCAGAATCCGGATCTGTTGGCAATGGAATAGCTTTTGAGTTCGATGAGGCTTGAGATTTGCTGTTAATATGAGCAATTGGATCTGTTGGCAATATAACACCAACTGAAGATCTTGAAGCTTGATATTTGCTAGGAACAGGAAGAAGTTCATCAGTAGGCAAAATAAAACTTTTCAGATCGGGAACAGCTCGTGATTTGATATTAACATAAGCAATTTCATCTGTTGGCAACGGAAAACTTTTCAAAATCACTGAAGCTTGAAAAACTCGTATAAAAATTAAGAAAGTGAATTTTAGTAGCATTTGATAGCAAAATAAAATGAGAAATCAAGAGTAAACTGGTCGATTGTTTCAGTAGAAGAATTAGACTCTTGAAACATGTGTTGTTTTCCATTTTTTTTTCAAAAAAAAATTGGAAGAAGAAATAATTTATTTTACTAGGTTTCAGAATACTTTTGCCTTTGTGGAAAATAAAGAGAAAACAACTTTCCATTTTTCAGAGGTTGTTCTAATTTTTCAGATTGTCTTCCATGAATAATTTTTGATGCAAATGTAGTTGAAATCAAAACATAAATTTTCCATCGTTTTGTATAATTTCTATTCTGCTTGAAAATTAGTCAACATAAAAAATGTATAAAAATTAGAGTCATAGTTTGGCAGAAACAAAAATCATGATTTTTCTCTATATTTTTTCTTTCATTTTTGTATTTTCCGCTGCTACAAAAAATGTTTGTCAAACAGATGAATGCAAAAAATTGGGAGATACTATGGTAAGAATTTTTTTGTTGAAAAAAATTGAATCGAAAAATTATCACCTAGGTCTCCTTGATGAATGATTCTATCAGCCCATGTGATGATTTTTATGAGTCGGTTTGTGCGAAAACAAAGTTAAGCTATGGAAGTACATTGTTTGAAGAAATGTACAATAATATTGACCAACTTGAGGAAATAATGAAAACCTTTCAACCTGAGACAAGCAATCAAAAAGTTGCGTTAGTAGCTTTGCAAAAATGTGTGAATGACACTCAAGGTGATCCAAACACTTTTATGAAAGAATTTTGGGAAGACGAGAATAATGATCTTACTACATTGATAATTGAATTATCAAAAATGAATCCAGAATCGAATGGATTGTTTCAGTTCCTTATGAACGTCGAAGAAAAAGATGGCATCAAACGTATTAAATATTTCTTGGATCCCGTTATTGTGGTTAGTCCAGTTTTGTGAATAGAACAAGTGCAACAATTTTTTTCCAGAAAGTAGCGAATAGTTTTGTGCCATGGAAGCTAATTGCTGAATCCGTGAAATTTATGAACGTTACTGAATTTGTCTATCAACTATTACCCGAAGGATCTCGAAGCTATGATGCTTTTGACGATTCGTTAGTATTGGCACAAGATTTCAACAAGATTGATGAAAAAATCACACAACTTGGAGATAAAAAAGTGCGTGAAATTTTGCGAAATCAGTGGCTAAAGGAACTAAACAAAAGATATATTGAAAAACATACATTAACAGCATGTCTACAAGAGCACGTGCGTCATGCATTTCCTGGAACATCAGCCACAATATTCTTGAACAAAACCATTTTCAAGCCAGAGAATGTTGAGCGCGCAAAAACTATGTTCAAATCTATTCAATCGGAAATGTCTGCTATTATTCTAGAAAATGAGTGGATTGATGAGGAGATGAAAACGAAAATGATTGAAAAAATCGATGCAGTTAGTGTATTTATGGGAATCCCTAGTATTCATGAAAATCAAACTGCTCTTAACACAATGTATGATCGAATTCTGAACAATTCGGATATCAATAAACTATCCTATCTTGAAATTCTTCGAAATTTGGCAAAAATGAATATGGAAGAAACATTTTTGAGAGTTTCAAGAGGAGAAACAGTAACATTCTTAGATTCTCCCATGATTGCCAATGCAAACTACTTTTCATTTTCTCATGGAATTAGTAAGTTTTTGAATTCATCAAAATCTAGTTGTTCATGTCCATAACTTTCAATTGAAAAGAAATAATAATTTGATAAATTCCAGCTGTGGGTTATTTTTTCCTCGCCTATCCATTCCTCGATTATAATCTACCTGAATGGTCAATCTTGGCATCTTATTCTTTTGTTGTTGCACACGAAGTTTCTCATATGTTTGGGCCAAAAGATGTTTTAATTGGAAGGGATGCACATCAAAATACTATTCAATTAAGTGAAAACTTCCAGCGGGAATATGAAAAACGTAAACAATGTCTGATCAAGCAATACAGCACTTTCCAATACCCAGGATTTGATGATTATGTAAGTGAATTTTGAACTACAAATTAAAATCACTTTCTACACAGCTCAATGGTGAAAATACAGTTTCTGAAAACTTCGCGGATATTCTTGCTTCTAAAGTGGTTCATCGATTGTTCCGCAAACATATAACAACCGAGAACAATCAAGAATCTTTACCGGGACTTGAGAAATTCACAATTGAGCAACAATTTTTCCAAAGAGCCGCTCATGTTTGGTGTAGCAATGATGCTGATAAGGAAACAATTGATGAATATAAAAATCGCGTACACAGTCCGAATATGTTCCGCGTTCGCGGAATGACTTTGAATTCACCAGTGTTTGGTGAAATTTTTGGATGTCCGGTTGGAAGTCCAATGAATCCAAAAGATAAATGTGACACTTTTTGAAGATACTTTTCAAATAAACATTTTTACTGCAATTTTTGAATGCCTTTATCAAATTTTCCTGAAATTTGCTTATTATTTCGCAATACTTTTGCAAAAAATATTTTTTACCCTCTCTGTCTATGACCAGCAAGTGGAAAATAGTGTGCGAACATTGAGAGTTGAAAGAAAGAGAGATTTTTTTGTTTTCAATGTTGTGGTTTCTTTATGGGCTGAAACAAAGAATTCTCGAAAAAATTTCAAATGTTATTTCATCAAAAATACAAGCAAATCCACAACCAACAAAATTATTTTTGAAAACCCCTTTTAAACAAGTTGTGAGACGCAGAACTTTGGGAGCTTTTTGAAGCTTTCCCAAGAATTTTGTAACAATTTTTCTGATTCTAATCTAGACATTCGATTATGGGAGAATCTGAAAATATAAATCAAATATTTCAAGTTTCAAAAATCACAAAACATACCCCATGACTTCCTTGAATTCCTGAAAAGTTCCTGATTCTGTCAACAGTCTCAATTGTTTTTCGAAAATATTATTCAAATCCTTATTCAATTTCCCAATTTTCCGAATCATATCTCGATATTCATCAGGTTTGATATACTTCGAAATCAATAATCTGAAAGCGTCACCAAGTTTTGATGATTTCCATCTCAAATCTTCTGGAGGATCAATAATTTCAGATTTATCGAGAGTTATAAAAACTCCATTCCCCTTGGGATTCAGAATGGCTCTTTTATCAATCAATAGTGTGATATCACCTCTGGGAAGCATCATCATATCCAATTTATTCTCAAGCAAAAACCACACTGGAATATCCCACTGATAATTCCATTGTGGAACTTCAAGATTTTTGTCCAAATCTTCCAATTTCCCATTATCAAATCTTTCCTGGCTCAGAATCTTGTGAGTCGAATTAAAATGATCTGCTCGCAACAATGGCACTCCAACTTGTCCAAACCAAGGCTCCAGGAAGTTTTTGATTTCTGAATTATCGAAACTCAAATAATTGAAAAGAGTTGCTGATGTTACATTGGAATATGCATTTTCTTCAAGGAATTTTTTGATTTGATTGTCGAATCGACTTCTTCTGATGCTATTTCTGAACATGTTTAGAATTGCGGGTGCTTTATAATAAGACATAGATGAGAATGCATAAATTGGGAGAGTTGTGAAATTGTGGAATCCTGGAATTATTGATTTTCTGGGGAAATTAAACGTGAGAGTTTTTGAAAAAATTACCTGAAAGCGTACATGGTTTTTCATCTTTATAACCCCCGGACACATGATTATTCAAATACCACTGGGCAAACTCTGAACTTCTCTTAACATACGATCCTCCAGTAACATTAGTCAAGGCGATACGTCCATACAATGAAGACAACCCCTCTTTCAGCCAAGTTTCAGTCCAAAATTCATGAGTGACCAAATTTCCAAACCACTGATGAGCCAACTCATGTGCCATTGTATCTAAGCCATCGTGATTAAAAACTGTGAGGCCCCAATTTTCCATTGCATTGTATTTTATAGGATATTGCACCAAATCAAATTTTTTCAAAGGAATTGTTAGATTAAAATTTTCTTCAAAATAATCGATAATGTTCACAGCGATTTTGAGTTTTGTTATATTTTTCATTGGTTCAAACATTCTAACTTCCATTCCTGTTTTCCTAGTTTTCATCATTTTAAAATTCCGATCTTCCTCAAGAAGTGCAAAAGCGACTAAATACGAAGACATTTTTGGGGTTTGTGCAAAACTTGTATGCACAAAATCACCACGAACATCTTCTGAAATATTATGCATATTTGAGAGAGCTCTAGTGCCCTTTGGATGAATCATTGTGACAGTCCATGGAACTTTTATAGCAGGTTCATCGAAGCAAGGAAACGCGAATCTTGCATAATATGGTGAAAGATTTGTGGATGTTTGAAGTTTGTTTGGCGATTCAGTGGAGATGGAGGCAAAATAGCCTATACCTTCTGAGAGTGTCAGATTTGAATGATATGCAAGGATTAATTGAGTGGAAATTCTTGCTTGGATGGTTCTAGGGAAATTTATTCGAACCTGCTGGAATTCATCACTTTCAGATATATTTTCAACGTTTATTCGTTTGGAGTTCTGAAATTTTTGATAAATTTTTTTGAGTAAATAATTGTTGTATCTTCCGATCTACCTGGTAGATAAAACATCTCGAAACATCAAACGAAATATTTTGAGCTGCATGAATAATCAAATAATCCAAATTTTCTCGAACATCCAAATCAATTTGTAGATTCCCCCAAAATGTCATATTTTTTGAAATTGGGAAATCATTTTCAAGAAAACCAGGAAGATATGTTTTGACTTCTAAATCATATTTCAAAGGGACATAGAGGTTTAGAGGAAGTCTTGGAATATCACAAACAACTCGAGTTAGGAAAACTAGAAAAATAATCATTTTGGGAAAAGTTCAGTTTTTGTTGGAGTGTTTTATATGTATTGAAAAATTCTTTCTATTATTTGAAAAGTTTTGATTTTTTTCCAATAATCAAATCACATTTTAATATGTTCCCTTGAGATGAATTCATGAAAAAAATGTAAGGGTTTTTTGATGTACACAATTTCAATTTTAGTTTTTGTATTTACCCCTGTTTTCTGGAATTTCAAACTATAATAAACAACTTATTTTAACCAAAACTTCATTTGAAAAAAAAACTAGAATGAAGATTTGGCGGGTTTTCGAATGAACATGAATAACCCTGAAAAACACTACAATGAAAAAAATATAGAAACATCTGAAGGCTTTCGAATGAACATGAAGAACCCTAACAAAAAAAATTAAAAAAAAAATAATTATCACAATTAAAAAAATGCTGGTTTTCGAATGAACATGAATAACCAAAAAAATACTACCACAAGAAAAAAAAAAGAATATACGTACATACAAAAAACTGAAGGAAACCACAAATAAAATTTCAAGAGTTTTGAACTGGAGAAAATATAATTCCTAGACTTCAAAAATGAACCTTGTCAAAACTCTCTCTCTCTCAAAAAATCAAAAATCCCGAATTCAAAAAAAATTGTAATTTTAATTGTGATTTCTTTCAGTAACTATCAAAATTCGCGAATTCCCGCGTAACCTTCATCTTCAGAATCATCTGGGAAAAGTTCGCTGCATTTCAGTGTCCCACTATCCGAAATTCCTTGAACAATGTCACTGCATCTTGATAGATCACTCTTGAAACTTTTGTCGACGAGGACACAGGAAGATGAATCAATTCTGAAAAAAAAATTCCATTTAAAATTTTGGGAATAAATAAATAAATATATAAATATATAACTCACTTTGGCTCCAATGTGTATGGATTACAAATGCTGACAGTTTCATGTCCACTTTTCACATTATACGAAACCGAAATGTCAAAATCCTCCATAAATCTTGAAAGCCGCAAATGTTTGAAGTACAAAAGAGTTGTAAGTATCAAAATCGGGCACATCAATAGAAAAATGATCAAGCAAAAGAAAAATGTTGATATTCCTGACGATTCTTCGAATTCATTTTGACAATTCTCTCCGAAATATTCATCCGGACATTCGCAGAATCGATGTGGGCCGTTTGAATGACATTTCCCGCCGTTGAGACAATGGGTTTCGGTTGGATTTTCAGGGGAGGCAATGCAGATGTCCGGGTGGGATTCGTGACGTTTTTCACATTCGAGGATTGAAGAGTTGGCAAGAGTTGCGACGCAGTAATCGGTGGTGGGACATTCGCAAAGGCGAGCGTCGATCACTGAAATATTTAGATCAGGATTTTTTGGACCACATCAGAAAAAGCTCACCTTGGAAGCAAGTATTCCCCATCCATCCCAAATCACATCGAAGCTGTCCAGTTTGCTCATCACATCGCTGACGTTTTTGTTTTGCAATACTCGAATTGCAAGATGTTTGGCATTTCGGACCATAAAACGTCTCATCGCATTCATATCTCCACTGAATCGACAATCGAATATCCTTCACCTTGTAAACATCTTCGGCAAAGTTTTCCGATTTTTGAATGTCCAATCGACGATAGATCTGATGTCCGATCATTTTCCCACTGGATTTGTCTTGAAGTCCAACCATATAATCCAATTGTTCCAAATATTCCGGCATTCGAATATGGGAAACTCGAAGATTGTTTGGGAAAAGTGGAACGGAAACGTTTTGTGAGAAGTGATTTCCAGTAAAGTATTGTCGAAGAAGAACACTGTGAGAAGAGTCGAAGTGCAGGCGCAAAATACCAGCTCCAAAAATTTGTGGAAGCAAGAAAAGTTGCCAAAACATCACTAAAAAATAACATAAAATAAAAAAAATTTTGGTGGGTTTTCAATCAAGAGGAAAATAGAAACGGGCTAACAAAAATGGAAAAAATAAATCGAAATGACATCTGGTATGAAACTATATGGGCGGAACAATGGGCGGAGCTAGATTGGTTGATTGGTCGAGACTGAAGCAGACGACGAAAACACACAAAAGGGCACAGGAGTTGGTGTGTTTTTGGCGAACATGTGTTAAACAGATGAACTTCTGTTTTGATGTTTTTCCTCTTTTTCGTAGAATATGCAAAAACAGACAAGGAGAACTGAAACCAAAAGATCAGAAGATCAAGGAATGTCTAGTGGAATAAAAAGTGGATATTTTAGACAGGAGGATTTTGTTGGAAAATGTGAATTTTGGGAACGTTTGTTAGGCTTCCTGCTAGAATGAATAATTGGAACAATATTGTTTTTGGACGATTGGAACTGATTTTCTGCTGGAATTTTGAAAAAAGTTGAGCAACATTTTTTGACGAAAAAGGTAATCAAAATTGAATTCCAACAAGTTCAGAAACATTTTTTTTGGAACCGTGTTCATGACTTCAATTTTAAAAACAATTTTGTATTATTAAAATTTAAAAAAGGTAAACTACAGATAAAATTCAATTCTTCTTGGTCAGGATACCAAAATTGACCATTGGTTTTTTGTTTGAAATTTCAGTCTCACTCAACAAAATAAATCATGGGAAGTGAAGTTGGCATAATTGCTGAAATAAATCATTATTTTTAAAATATATAATTTCTGATTTTGATTTTCAAACAATATTTCTTAACCGTTTCATCGATCCATTTTTTTCACAAATGCACTTTTTCTCCTTTTTTCTCCCCAAATGTTGTATCTGGATTATTGGACTACAAAAACTTATCGAAGAAAGATTTTTCTCATTTCTTTCATTAGTATACTTTTCTATCCATATGATAGTGATTCTACTATTCATTTTCTTTTTCACAAAATACTGTAAGTTCCCTAACATAAGAAAGATAAAAAATCAAAATCAATCAATATTTTTTGCAGACATTCAAGAGCACATTCCATTGTATGTTGTGCTCCGTGAAAGTCCTCAAGTTCACTTGTATTTTGTGAACTGTAAAAATTATACAGATGAGGTAAAGGTTTTTACTGGAACTGGAGAGAAGAAACAAGATTTTTTTTCCAGGTTCTGAAATCTCACCATGAAAATCAATACCACGAAAATGCATATACTTGTTGGAATGAAAAAACATATGGGCCATTTTGCAAGAAACAGATACCATTATTGATTGATCCTGTGATTTTTTGGATCGCTGACAAAGATGATGAAGTTCAAACATCTACAAAGTTATCTGAAATTTTGACAAAAAATCACGATGGTGTATTGGTCCCTCGAATGACATTGGATGGTGTTGCAAAATTCGGAATGAAATTTCGAATTCACGAAGTTGTTTACTATCATTGTGACACGCTTGTTGATTTGAAAGATATCAGACCAGATTTGGCGGAGGATTTTGATGATGGTTTTGATCTTGAATTTCATTCTGTGTTGGCTGATTATGATTTTGAGGATGTGGAAAATATTGAAGAATCTGAGCCAATGTTCAGCACTGAGGAGATGATTGAGAGAATTGAAATGTTTGATTGATAAATAATGAATTTGTGTTTTGAAATTGGATGGGAAATAAAGTTTTTGCATAATTTTGTTGAATAGTTTTTCATTTCCGATTAATTTCCGGAGACGTACCCGAATTTGCTCAGAGATTTCATTTGGAGCAAGTGTGAAAATAGAATGTCTGCAGGTTTTGATAATTTTCTGAACTTACTGGAAGTTTTGCTAAAAGTGAAGACTGAATTTAATGGCAGTTTTTGGAAAATATTTTTCAATATTTCAACTTATAATATCTCTCGAACCTCAAATTTTCTGACAATATTTCAAAATCGATCATAAATTTTTGAATGAAATTTCAAGGTTATTCTTTCCACTTGACAAGAATTATTTTTATAAAAATTTCTCATTCTTCCCTAAATAATTCACCAGCGTTCTATACTTTTTTTCTGAAAATTTTAATTTTCCTAATGGACTTTTTTTCACTTCGAAGATTTCTTGATTAGGTTTTTTTAAATTGTTTTTTTTTTTAATTTTTGAAATTTGATTCCGAATATTTCACATTTTTGAGATTCCTGTTATCATGATTCAAATGTTTTATTTCAGTGTTCCCCAAAACCACTTTGGTTTATTGGTTCGGATTTTAGAAGTTTAATGTAATCTTGGATTATCCTCCAGATAATCTCTTTTCTTATGAACATCTCGAAAATTATTAGTTTAAATGTTTTTTTTCTGTGACTAAATCTTGAATTAAAAACCAAAAATTGAATTTTGTGAGTGAGAGATTTTCTAACCATATTTTTCTGCTCAAAAAAAAATAAGGAACGATATATTTTTGTTTGCTATTGTACTTGAAAAATTGGCCAGCCTTGAACATTTTTTTTTTGAAAAAAATGTTAGAAGAGCTCGAAAAGTTCTTTCCAACAAGAGCAGAAAAAAAAATCAATTTCCTATTCACCCATAAACTTTTAGTACGAAATTTCTTTGCTGAAAAAAAATTGGTTATAAATTTTTCATCTTTTTCCAGTGCTATAAAAGTGTTTCAGAAAGTTCGAATTCCCTTATTCTCTCCGTGTTCCAGTCATTTTGAACTTGAGTGAGGCCTGGGATTTTTTAAGGTTTCAATCAAAAACAGATTAAGACTTTCTTGAGCCTAAAATCTAAATTTTCAAATCACAACTTCTTGTAATTTCTGAATTTTTCCCTCTTATGTTAGCCAATGAGAACAACAACACTTCGTTTCACCCCTGCGCTCCGTCCCTGTGAGACACATGTGTGCAAGCAAACGCGCTCCACCGAACTCCCCGCTTTTCTTCTTGAGTACTCTTTTTTCCTGCATTGTCATCATTTTTAGTTAGTCCTTGGGTCCTGGTTTTTTTTTGTTAAATTAAAATTGAAATTTCAATTCAATTTTATTTCATTTGATTGAAAAAAAAGTTTTCGGAATTAATCATAGTCTTTTCAAAATTTTGTTGAAGGAAAAAAAACTGTACACATTTTTTTGCATGTGTGTTTTTTTTTTCGAAAATTTTTTGTCTGTTGATAACATTTTTGTTATCTCGCTCCAACCAAGCAAGCACTTTTTCCTAGTTCATTTTCAAATATTTTTTGTTTTCGATTTTTTGTGTGTGTGTGTTTTGTTTTTATGTATGTTAACTAAAAAAAACATTTTTGGTGGGAACCGAAATTTCCGGCCGCTATATAATTGTTTTTCTCGCGACTACATATAAAATTATATACTACTTTAATTTTTTTCTCGAGCAGAGAGGAGTACTGTAGATAGATTTATTGAGATTTTAGAAAGATATTTATGTGTTTTCTTAATTAAAATATAAATTTTCAAGTGGAAGAGTACTGTAGAGTCTCTGATTTTCAGATCAGGAATTTGTGAATACTCTGGACACAAATTCAGAAATCCGGAGAATTTTTTCGGGGTACTGTATATTTTTTCAGAGCTTTAAATTATTTCAAAATTACTTTAACTCAAATTTTCCACCGTACCTTGTTTTCTAAAAATAGAATGATCTGGAGAGCAGAAAGCAGAAAGCACTTTACATTTTTCACAAAAGTACTGTAGTTATCAGTTGGTGGTTTATATAATTTTTTATCAACATGTGCAAATTTTTCAAAATTAATTTGACAGCGAAAAATGCATGACCTTTTGAGCTCAAAATTATGTAGGTTCCATTTTTATTTCTTCCTGTTTTGAAAAAAAAACAAATAAAATATTGTGTTTTAGGGCAATGTGAAATTTCGAGACGTTTAATTTCACGTTACAATTGTCCCTTCAAAATACTGTGAATTATTTTTTTCCAAACCCAACTCAAATATCAAAATCCTTTGACCTTTTTTCGAACTTTTTTCCCCATGATCCCAAAATTTCCCCTTTTCGGACTCCAGTCCTTTCCCTCCTCCCAACATAAATTGTTGTTTTTGAAAAATACTACGAGGCAGAGGGTAGTTTATATTTTTTTTTCTCGCCCATTGTGTATTTTCTCATCCTCCTTTTCCCATATGATATGGAAGGGCTAAACAGGAGAAGAACGAGAGTCATGTGCCATTCACTCGACTTGTTTTGTCTGCACCCTCTTCATTTAGCATACTCTCTTCACTCAAGTATACATAATCAATTTTCGGAAGCCGTTCGCTTGGTCAGAAACGCAGAGGACCCGCACTAATCTCTGGTTTCTCTTTTTTTTTCGTTCGTTCACCCCACATTCGTTACCATGACACTTTTTTTGGAGAAATTGTGGAGTATTTATTTCATTCCTTATTTCATTTTTCATCGTGGGTGGTCTTATCTTTGAGAAATGTTGAAGTTTTCGATTCTTTACTGAATTAAAATTGTGAGAAACTGTTAGATTAAAGTTTAGTGTAAAACTATTTATCGATTTTTAGTTTTTCATCGTGGATGGTCCTCTGGAGCTAGAAAGTTTTTGATAGATTATAGATTTTTTCCTGAATTCAACGAGAAGCGGTAATTAGAGACAAGTGTGGAGCTAATTATTGATTTTTCGCTTTTCATCGTGGGTGGTCAAGAATTTAAGCTCCAAAGATACTACATGAATATAGGCTAACTATTGTGAAAACATTAGGATCTGGTACAGATTTTTCTGCCAAGTTTTAGTTTTAATTTTCTTCGTGGGTGGTCTAATTTTCTCTTTTCCAATGTTAGCTCAAAAAAAATGGAACTAATTATAGTCCCCTTCCTGAGAAAAATTTTAATTAGGGTGTGGTATCGATTTTGTTTTCCTCTCACTCTCTCACTGATTCCGAACCACTTGGCAACGCGCAAAGACCTGTCTTTTTGGACAACGTGGAAGCCAACCAGAAAACTTGTTTTTGTCTTTTTTGCCGCGCACAAATCTTCCTTCTTCTCTTTTCTTCATCATTTTTTCCTTGGATCTATTTATTTTTATAATTAACATCGGATAGTTGATTTTTTTTTCAAAAAAAAATTGGAACTAACAAAGTGCAAAGGTATTTCGTCACCTTTCCTGGGCAGGTCTAACAAGAGGCTGTTGATTTTATGATGACTCATTGTAGTTTTCTCTTTTTTCAATGTGTTTTTTCTTTTTTTGCTGGCAGGTGAGATACGATCTTATTTTCAGAGAGATGTTTTTTACTAGATTAGATAAAAATTTTGCAGAATTCTCAGAGCTGTAGCTTAAAATATGATGAAATAGATGATTTGAGAATTTTTGTTTGAAAAATTGCCTGGGAAACTTTGAAAGATTAGATAAGGATTTCCACAAAACACAGTTTTTTTCCGAAGGCTCTTTTTTTCTGAAAAAAACATTCCATTTCCAATTCCAGATTACTTTTTAAGAGCCATGCACTTCAAAATTCCATTTGCACTTTTTTCAAGATCTCTGAAATTTACATAGTTTTCAGCATATTTTCCCTTTCCTAGGCGAAAGAAAAAAAACTTCTCAAATTTCTTCATGTTTAGTAGCGAGAAGAAAAATCATCTCATATTTTCAATAATCTCAATTTACAACTTTTTTTCTGAAAATGTATATTTTGCGAGGAAAAAATCCCACAACAATTAGTACATATTTTTTCTTTTAAAAAAACTTTGTTTGAATTTTTTGTCTGGCGCTTGTTTTTTTGGAAAATTGATAATTTCCAGCTGATTTAGAGGAAAAACCACCTGGTTTTTTTTGAACATTAGAAATCACAGAAAATTTTTAAGAATGATTAGGAAAAAATTCTAGAAATCTTCTGGAAAATGTTCTCCGAGCTTTCAAATCATTTTTAAAATGAATGAAATTATTCTGAATTTCAGCAAAAAAAAGTATCTAACCAAAATTCTCTCCAGATTTAGAATCTCAAATATCAGCAAACAATTCTTCAAAACCCCTCTCACGTCACAGAAATTTTTGACCAAACATATTCAAATTTAAATTCCTAACCAGAGCAAATCCCTCTCTCTCTCTCTCTCTTTTTTTTTTGTTCTCTCCCACATTAACATTTTTATCATCTTCATCACTCACTCATATATAGTCATAGTCACACTATACATATTCATTCTTATTCCACGCGTTCCCTCTCTCTCTCCTCTTTCTTCCAGTTGTTTCCGGTTAGTTGTCTAGCTCTCTCTATTCATCCCCCACTATTTTCATACCTCTCTGACCATTGTCTTTTCTCTGCCGTCTCTCATTCTCTCAACCTCCGCGCGTCTTCTTCTTCGTTCTTCCCTTTTTTGTTTGCATACCGTTTCATTGATTTTTTTGGTTGCCTGCGCGTATTACCTATTCATTTTCTTGTCATATTCTTGTTTGTGATATTTAATTATCAACTTATTAATTAAGACTTATAGGTAAAGCGTGCAAAAATGTCGATTTCAACAATCCGACGACAGGTGAAAAATGTTGCGTACAATTTTTCGGATGCGCAAGTCAAAGTCAGAGAAGCGACTAGCAACGATCCCTGGGGACCATCAACAGCCCTCATGTCCGAAATTTCCGACCTCACACACAATCCAATGGCATTCACCGAGATTATGTCAATCATTTGGAAACGTTTGAATGATTCGGGCAAAAATTGGCGACACGTTTATAAGAGTTTGGTGTTGTTGGACTTTTTGATCAAGTGTGGAAATGAGAAGGTGGCGCAACAATGTCGTGAAAATGTTTTTACGATTGAGACACTCAAAGATTTTCAACATGTTGAGGATAATCGTGATCAGGTTGGCTTTTTTTTCTTCGAGAAAAAAAAGAATAATTTTGGTTACAGGGTTTGAGTGTTCGCGAAAAGGCCAAGCAAATCACATCATTGCTCGCTGATGAGGAACGTTTGAAGAACGAGCGAGCTCGCTTCATCTTGACTCGCAACAAGTTCAAGAACAGCGCCGCTGCAACTGGATCGGTTGGCGCGGAATCAAGGCGAAACCGTCATCATATTACGGATGTTTCACTAGATCCGGAATACGAAGAAGCTCGCCCTTCCACAGCTACCGAGGAAGAAATGCAATTGCAAATCGCGTTGGCTTTGTCAAGAGAAGAACACGAGAAAGCGGATGAGATGCGAAAATCGGATGAAGTTGGACTTCAACTTGCACTTGAGGAATCGAAGAAGGAGGCTGAGCGACTGTCGCATACAAAACAAGGTGTTGTTGGAAGCGGACAGTTGACTCAATCCGCTTTGGATGATTTGCTCTCGTTGGGTGTTGGTGAACTCGTCACATCATCATCAAACGATCCGTCGAGTTCGGCTTGGGGATCGACGTCAACTGCCCAAATTGTTGATCCTTGGGGAATGCCAACAACAAATAACGGTGCTTCTGCTGCCAACAATGGTGGTGGATTATATCCATCGGCTGCGATGTTGAATGATCCGTGGGCTACACAACAAGTTGCACCAACTGTACCGCAACAATCGAGCGATCCGTTTGCCGCTTGGGATGCGCCAGCACAAAATCAACACAATCAATTTGCGGCGAGTGCTATTCCGACAACTGCGCCACCAAGTTATGATTCGATGGATCTTTTGGGAGGAGATGTGAGTTTGACAGTGTTGGGAAGAGCTCTGACCTGATTTAGAGGCTCTATCATGAGTCCTCAGATTAGAAATGTTCTTCGATTCCCACCCAAAACCTCACCTCAACAAATTTCCTTGCAGATTCTTGCGCCAACCACCTCATCAACCACACTCACCGCCGGCAGCACCAACGGAACTCGAAAAACACCCGAAAACTTTTTGGGCGAAAACTCGAACCTCGTCAATTTGGATAACTTGCTCGGCACCGCTGCAACAACATCATCAGGTAAGCGAATATCTCCTGGAAATTTAAAAAATCAATCGATAAATTAATTAATTTTTAAAATTTCTTCAGCTCCACTTCCAAATGGTATGTGTTGAAATCAGTTTTTCTTTTTAATTATTATTATTTCAATAATTTCCGCTATTTTTAAAAACTAACCCCCCTTTAAACGCTTTTTATGAATACACTAGATTAAATTAGATAGATGCATGATTTCTTCTAATGTTTCTTTTGGAACCGGCTGAAACTAGCCTGGTTTCGAAAAAAGTTTCTTCAAAAATCCAAAAAACAAAACAAAATCCGAATTTTTAGGTGGCAACCCATTCTTGACGTCATCAACCGCAACAGTAACCAGCAATCCATTCGCCGCACAACAACGCAAATCGCCGACACTAAATGAGATGCGAGCCGCGCAAGGACAAGCGCCACCAGTCCCATCAATGGCACCACGTGGCGGACTCCCACAACCAGTCGCCAACCCATTTGCGAATCCATTCTAAACACATTTGTCTGTCCCATTTATTTATACAAATTGCTGCTATTCATGGGTTTTTTCTTTTTCGAAATGCGACATTAGATAGTCACCAAATGGGTGTATTGCACCCCGTTTTACTAATCCCTTTTCCCCAAAAAATTCATACAATTATTGCCCAACCCCCACATTATTTTATTTTTGATTTTTTTTGGCGAGTTTCAAATTTGCGGTTCCACTCTCCTTATTGTTCTTGAATCCTATAATTATTTTTTGCACCAATTTGATATACACATTATGTGGTTTATACATATATTTTTGGCATATATGTTTTTCATTCTGTCATTTTTATCTATTCGAATTCTTTTCTCTATTGTCAAATGAACAATTGTAAATTGAACATGGCTTTGTTGGAATTTTCGCTGTGAATTTTGAGGTAGAATTGGGTTACTGGTTTCCAGAAAAGTAAAACTTGAGAACGGAAAAATAGCATTTTGAACTCACTAATAAATGTGCAGAATAGGAATGGGAATTTCAGATTTGAAAATTTTAGAAACTGTTTTTCCCCAGCGCCAGGAATTTGGATTTTAAACTTTTCCTCATTAAAAAAATTTAACCCTCACAAACCCAAAAACTGACCTTAAACGATCCCAGACTTCATCTATCTCTGGAAACTGAATTCCAACCAACCTTTCACTAAAAACCACCAAGAAACACAAAATAAAACAAAAAATATAGAAATCTGCCGGTTTTTAAAACAAAATGAAATGTAAAAAGGAAGAGGAACACATTTTTTCTGCTCCAATGAGTCATAATGTATTTTTCAAATGATAAGGATATTTTTTTGTAATAAAAATATGATTTTTATGGTTGAAGATGAAGTAAAATAATCACGATGGCAAATCATTTTTTCATAAGAAAAGTGAAAAATTTTCGAAACCATTTGACGTTTAAAAAATATACTGACCATTGCTGTCCACTTTTTTATCATCTGAATCTTGAACTTGTAATGTTTTTGCCTAAAGCGTCAGCTCCAAAATTAAAATTTGAAATTTAAAATCTGAAATTTCTAGAATCGCACCCGGCTGGAGAAATTTGATGGAAATGTTATAGGGTTAAGTGGAAACACTATCCACACTTAAGGAATAAATACAACTGTTTTGAAATATTCATTTTTTTTATTCATAAAAAAATCCAATTCCCAAATCAAACCTTAGAGAAAAATACAATTTATTCACACGCTACATAACTCTTCTCTTTCTCTCCACATCGACATTCATCAACATCTTTGCAAGATTTCTCCAAAATCCTTGCTGGAACTTGTAGATTCTTGCGAAGAGCTTGATGAACTTGTTTGCAAAGAAGTGCTTGATTTCTAGCTGATTCAGATAACATTTTGGATAGTTTCAAGTTGAGTTTTCGTTTTTCACGTTTTGCTACTTGAACACTTTTAACTCGTGAAACTTGTTCTTCGGAGAGAAGTTCTTCAAGTTCTCGGATCTGAAAAAGGATTTCGGGTTTTTGGAGTACACTCTTTCTTACCGTTTGATTTTGATGATTTATCGATTTTGTGAGATCGTCAATTTCACGAGCATGATTATACGGTAATTTTCGCTTTTCGAATTTCGTAGCTCGCAATTGATTTTCCAGCTGGAAAACATGAAGATTCAAAACCTTGTGTTTCTCAATAATATCCTTATATTCATCTAATTGTGTGTTATAATGTTTGAAGTGCTGAAATTGTTTTTTTTTAAAAGGCCACAGAAAAATATAGAATACTCACAATTTCCTCGAGATCTTCAACAAAATGTTGTAATTTTTTGACGCGAAGTTTTTGAAATTCCAAAGTGATTGCTTGAATCAATTCATCTTTCATTAAATCTTTCTCTTTATCCAGGTTATCGTCAAAATTCCGTTTCTTACTCCGATGTTCTTCAGACATTATCATCATTCTTTGACAATATTCATCAAGACGAGATTGGGTCAATCTCAAAAATCGATCGTTTTGTTTTCGAATCTCGAATAATTTTTGATGTAGAATTTTTTCTTCCTCGTCATTATTCTTCAAATTCTCCGACAATTCTTTGAATTTCCCAAAAAGTTCATTGATTTTCACAATATCTTCAGATTCTTGAATCTGTTTGTTAAGATTTTCCAAAGCTTCTAACTGCGTTTCCCGATTGCTTTCTTGATTTGTATCACCAGTTATTATTTTTTTAATGTCGATTTTGTGAGATTGGATGACTCGTTTGTAAGATTCGGTGAGAGTTTTGAGTTCGGATTGTCCAATGAGCACTTCACGCACAATTTTCTCAATTCTCTGGAAAATTGAGACCTTTTTTTCGAATTTGTGATCAAACTTCCAGATAATTCTCACATTTTAACTGGAATAAAGATTTCACAGAGATTTCGCAATACTTTTGCACAAAATATTTTTTACCCTCTATATCTATGTCCAGCAGATGGAGAAATAGCAAAGAGAAGTGAGAGGGGTGAGAGATAGAGAGAAAATTTGTATATGAATTGAGCTTATTGAAATCTTATGAGCTCAGAAGTTTTGGAAAATGGCCTATTGAATGAAAGCTAATTGTCAGATCAAATTGTTTTTGAATATTGAAATTTCAGATCTGAATCAGACATTGTCTTTGAATTTCTAAATCTTGAAATAAACACGAATTTTACAAATGTTCTAAAATTCAAAAAATTTGATAAAAAAAAATGTTATTTCTCAATAGATAGTTAATTTTATAAAGTTTCTATTCAAAAATTTTCATGAATCATTTTTTAATTAACCTATTCAGACACGAAACTTGATTGGAAAATTTTTGAATAGTGAATTTTTCAAACCAGCCAAAACTACAATCAAACCTAACTAAATAAGAAAATTCAAAAATTATTAATTTTTTTTAGAAACTTGAAAACAGCTTCACTTGATTTTCAAAAATAAAAAATTACCTCTTCAACGTCAAGACCTTTCCAAAAGTCTTCAAATTGTATAATTTCACTCATTGTAATACTACACCTTTCAAAATAAACTTATTCTAACTCATGCCCAGCTCGACTCCAAAAAATTTCCGGTTTTAAATTTTCCACCCCATTGACCTCAACTCAACAAATTGTCACCCTATTTCCCCTTTCCCCTTTTCACTGTTTCAAATTCCATAGTTCAATTTGATCATTCTTTTCTTATCAATTTTTCTCCCAAATATTCCATTTCTCTCTTATTTTTCCTATCATCTCTCAATCAATAAACAGCCTCCATCAACAGTGAAAAAATAGAGACGCAGACGTTGAAGTTGCCATTTTTCTCTAGACTCTCTTTTATACCCTTGTGACCACTTTCCATCTTTTTTCTCTTTATTATTTTTCGCCTGCTTTTTAGCTGTGTGTGTCTTGCATTTTTTGCTGCTGAAAATCTCTGAAAACTCTACAAAATGAACTTCAATCTGCAACCTCAACAACAACAATATGAAACTATTGCCGCTTCTTCATTAGCCGCCAATCAAACTTCTTACACCGCACCAATTTGTACAGTGAGTTCATTTATTATTTTTTGGGAATTTAGACTAGAATGTAGGCTATATTTTTCTGAAACATTGAGAAATTTTCGTAGGATTTTTTTTTCTAGAAAATTTCTATAAATACAAATTTTTTTAAAGCTTGCAGCTGAGCTTGCACTTTTATTTCAAAGAAAAATTCTAATTCAATTAGGGGTTTTAGAAAAAAAGCTCGGCTACTGTAGCTCTCTTGAAAGTGCACATCTTGGTTGATTTTCAGACAAACATTCTGAAACGAAATAAGGAATCAACTTATTTAATAAAAGATCACAGCTGAAACTGTTGAGTACTCTAGTTCTTGGAATTTTATAAGAAATGTTTCAATTCAGATCACAGATTCTCAAAACCCTTCCCAAAGATTTCTCAAAACAAAAAAGTCGAATCAAAAAATTGTTCCAGGAAAACGTGTGTTGTGTTTGTTGAGCCTACGGGGCATACATTCGGACACCAACAACAATCTTCACCACAACTCACTAATCAATCATCCACCCACTATGTTTTTTATCATCACCATCACCACGATTATTATTGGACACCTTATCAAGATCAACAACAACAAGAACATCAAACTCTCGCTGCTGCTCAACAACCATATCATCAAGCAGCTCCAACTTCTTGGGTTCCACCAGATCCGTTTTCCGATGCTCCAATGATTGTGACGTCTTTCGATGAAACACAATCACAAAAATCGCCGATTCAACCAAAGGTTTGTTGATTTTATTGATTATGGGTGCAGAGAACGTTGATTTTGAACATGTGATTATCATGTGAGACGAAAAATGGAAAAGCTATGTACAAAAGTGGGTGGTCGGAATAAATATACGTCCCTGTATTGTGTTTACAAAAGAGAACAGGGAGTGTTATTATAGAAAACCAGGGTACTGTAATTGAAAAATATTGTGATGAGCATTTATTGTATTCTGGAAGATTGAAAGGGTTCTAGGTTTTCCAAATGTGAAGAATTTAGGTTTTGGATTAAAAATAAATAAATTCAAATCAATTTTTTGGTTCAGAATGTTCAGAAATCGATAAAATATTCTTCCGGTGCTCAAAAACAACAATTTTCTCATTGTAATCTTCCCCCTATTTAGAAAATCACATGGTTACACTGAAGTTGTATTACACATTAAACGGTACTGTAGTTCTTAAAAATTCTTCAAAAAATCAAAAATTCTGAAGATCACTTATATCTGAAAGTGACAAAACAACATTTTCAAATAACTGTATTAGGTTAATTTATTTTTGATATACAGTAACTTTTTGCCGAAAGTTTTGAGAAAAAAAATATTTCAAAAAATAAAACTTTTTTGTTACAATTTTCTGAATGATACGATTTTTTACAATTCCCAAAGCCCGAAAAAATTCCAACACATTTTAAAACAAAAAAAAGCGAGCTTTTATTTTGTGCTTTGTCTCGCAATGATATCGAATCACAAAAAATCATCTTCCAAAAATCGTGAAATTTCAATGGTTAGTTTTTAATATTCATTTTAAGAATTTCTAAAAAAAAATCCCCGTAATTTTTTTCGTGTGTATCAAAAATCGTTTATTTTATTTTCTTGTTGTTATCAGTCACTTCTCGACATACTTTTCTATGAGAGAGAAAAATATACCCCATAAAAAGGTTTACAGAAATCTGAAGAATAATAAATTTCAATCAATAATCAAATTTGTAGGAACAAATTCTCGAAGAAATTGTCCGTGAATGCGAAGAAATCGAGCGTCGCTCCTCATCTGGTGGATCTCCAGCTTCATCAATTTGGTCATCCGATGAACGCGAGAGCAACTCTTCTCCAGAACTTCCATCCTATCATCCATACAAAACTCCGGAACGCAAGGAACGCAAGAAGGCGCAAAACCGACTTGCGGCTACGCGTTATCGTGAGAAGAAACGTAAGGAAAAGGAAGAGGCTATGGAGTGCATCGAAGGATTGAGCAGCAGAAATGGTGAACTTAAATCTGAGGTAAGTGGAGGGAAACTTGGCTACTGTAGAACTGTTTTTATGAAATGCTAATGTTGAATGCTAAAATCAAATTATCCTAACTCTCCCATGATTTTTCAATTTTTCCAGGTATCCGAACTCGAAAAGGAGATCAAATATTTGAAGAAATTGATGACTGAACTCGGCATTGCTCTCGACCAACTTCCAACAACTTCTTCCTAAATGAGAAGTTGTGTATTTTCCTAAACAAAATATTTATCACCAGTATCTGAAAATATCTTGAAATCCTCTCCCACCTTTATTATTCTTTCTAATAGCACCTTAGTTATCCTAAGATCAGTCAAAATGTCATTTGAAATTCTTGATTATTTTTTCTGACATTTTGAAATTTCTGGGATAAAATACACGTACTTTAACTATATATCGTATTTATAATTTTTTTTTCAAATTCCACCTAAACAAAATGCACCCGTCCGAATGTGTGAAGCCCGATTTATTTTTGTAATTTTTTACCAATCTCCAAATATCAATCTCAACAACACAACACAAATAAACGTTTTATTTTTCAAAAATTTATTCATTTTTGTTTCACAAGAAGTGCCTATACAATAGAGATCAATTAACCCAAAAAAGTGTTTTTTTTTCAAAAAAAAATCGAAGCTGACGCATGACAAGAATAATTTTGGCGGCAAAAAAAGATAGATTGCTCATATTAAAGCTGAAAACGTTTCAGCGGTTTGTTATTTCCATCTGATGGAAATGGTGTGAGGCGATTATTGGTGATTGAATATTTGATTTCGGAATTTCGATGAGTCGAAATTTGTGTGGAGACTTCGGCGTCGGTGGAAATGTTGACCAATTGGGTGCAATATTCACTTCGACGACCTGAATGAACCGCCGACACTTCACGTTTACGATCGTATTCCGCTTGCTTGAGACCCCTGAAATTTAATTTTTTTTAATATTTTATGTAAATGCATTTTCAGATATCAGACTTACGGGCAAAACATGGCTTTAAAAGTCTGCCGAAAACTGCTGGACATGAAACAGTAAATACTGAAATTGATTGGATATGTTGCCTGGAATATTTCAATTTGAAATCTTAAAAATTTTTAGTTTCAGAAGCAGTTACCATAACTATCATATTGCTTGTTAGAAGAAAAGCCGATGGAATGGGGCCATTGAAAAATTCAAGTTTTAGGTTGAATGTTTCGCAGACGCAGAGCAACGCAAGGAATGCGGCTTGTGGGAGATTAACGATCTGGAAAATGAATTTTGATTTAACGGTACTGTAGGTAAATTTTTTTAGATTTTAATTTCCAGAAACGTTTTTTTAAATGTTGTGTAGGCCAAAAAAATAATTTGATCCAGAATTACTGCAATTTTTAAACAGTATCTTATTGCCTTATTTTAACGCTATTAATTTCAAAAGATTACACAAACGCTTAGAATACTGTAGACGAATACTGTAACCCTAAAAATTGGAAATTTTCATATTTTCCTATCATACATCAAGAAAAAATTCAATTTCGTTGAAAAAAAACACCGTTATCGATCTCGAACATTTTGGATTACTGTAGCTTCATGAAATGAAACGAAGATAGTTTGTTATCTAATCAGTCATTTTTTTGTTTTCCGAAAAATTTAGGATACTGTAGATGTTCTCACAGAAATTGGATGCTTAGAGTGCCCGACATTCAAACGGGATCGTCTGAGCACTATGTTTTGTGAGAAGAAATTCATTATTTCTCTACCACAGCGTGCTGTAATGTTCCTTTAACTCACCAGAAAAATGGAGACAATTGCGACCAACATTAAACTCGTTGAATTGCTATCCCTTTGTCTAGCCGCTTCTTCACTTCGTTTTTCTCTGAAAATTCTCACATTCAATTTTCAAATTCCAAAGTTAAATTTCTCTAAAATCATCTACATAAAAATTTAAAAAAAAGAGTTGTACAAAAGCCAGCTTTCCGGAAAAAACCATGCAAATCTACAGTAAGGTGTGAAAGAAAAGAAGGGGGAAAAGAAGAAAAAAAATAAAGACTACGTGTGTGGACATTCCAATTCTGTTTATTGATTTTTGTTTTATCCAAACCTTGTCTCATTTGAATTCGGACTGGTCACACAGTTTTTCAGAAGAATCATCGAGATTTCGACTTGTTTGCTGCTAAGAACGGAAAAAACGTAAAAAGTTTTTGTGAGTTGAAAGAAAAATGAGTCAACATCGTGGTGAAACACCGTGATATACAAAACATGCCCGTGAGGTGGGAGGTCCCTATGATTTTTTCATATATTATTTTCAAAAAAAAATAAATAAAAACATCACACATGTGAGAAAAAGAGGAGAAGAAAAAAGAAAGTGCAGCTCACGGAACATATTTTGCATACACGGTGAATCGTAAACACAAAATACTACTAAAGAAATGTGTCAGCTTACCGTAGTAACCGTAATTTTCGTTTTTGAGCTTTTCGAATGCCACGAATTAGCAGGACATTCAGGATAACTAGCAAAACACTTGGTAAAATGATGAAAACCAGTGCGCGAGTCCAGAAATAGATGTTGAAGAATACCATTGGTCCCATGAGATCTAATAATGGTGTGTGCATAAATGTACAACTTCTGGAAAACACATTTTTTTTCGATCTTTTATCTTTGATCTATAAGTGCACTTGATTTTTAGTCAAAAAAATGTTGGGATTCACTTTTTGTGATGTCAGAAATTATGTAGACATATTTTCATGTACCCGGAAGTGAAACTTCTTGTGCTGAAAAACTTCGTGGGTGGTCTAAAAACATTGGGAAATTACAGAAATTCAAAAACCCAAAAACTTTTCCAAACCAGATTCATGAGAGCTAAAAAATTCACGTTCACTATTTTTCTCTAATTCTCTCTCTCTCTCCCCTTTGTGATGATGCAATAATCGATGAAGATTACCTCATCAACCATGTTTGAACTTGACGTTTCTTCGAAAATGTGTATTTGTCATCATTTTCCACACCACATCATTTTTAAACAACGTGTTGTTTGAAAATAGGAAACACAATTTGATGTTTGTGTTTGTTGCACTTTGTCAGGGATCCGATTTCCGGACATCAGACTAGAGTTTTCATTTTTTTCATAATTTTTTCACATGATTATACATAGTCTGAACACGCTGACTCACTTTGTATATTTCCAAATGTATCCATTTGTGGGTCGATTATATGTGTAGACATAGCCATCAACTGTGTCGAATAGGAAATCGTAGGATTTTTGGCAAACCGCAGATTATTGAGGTGGTCTGGAAAATGATTGGAATTTTTTGAAAATTTCAAGATAAAAAAAACCACAATACCGCAATAATCATTGTGGCATATCGAACATTTTTCACACTACAAGTCGCCCTCGAATGCAACGGATAACTAATCGATATATATCTCTGAGCTGCAAGTAGTACGGTAAGCCACATGGCGATATTATGAAAAATGGGTGGCATTGCATCCATGCTATATTTTTGCAAATAACACCACCATAATTCAAGACGATGTTGTTTTTGATAATTTCTGAAAATGGTAAACAAAATGATTATGAGATTTGTGATAATTGGGGATTATCCGGGTCATTTTTCGCCTTTCTTATGACCATTTTTTTTGACTAGGATGTCATGAGCTTCGAAAAGCTTATGAGGGTGGATTAGTTTAATTGTTTGTGATGAGATTTGTTTGAAATCAAGGATTGGATTAAGCTTTTTGTTTTGTTTGTGTTGAAAATATTTGGAGGTGTAGGAGGCATAAAATCAGATATCAGTCTGCAGAGGATGGCTTCCTCGATTTCGAGAATCGCGTTAAGAAAGTTGTGCAATTCAAAATCTTGAGGATACCCTAACATAATCAGAAGCTTTTGAAAACATAGCGCTTGGCCGGCCCCGTTTAGATGTCGGTTGATAGAAAATGTTCCCTATTTGTGATTTTACGAAAAATATGAAAAGTACATTCTACTTTTGAAAAAAGAATATTTAAGAACTAAAGAATGATGTGATCTTCTCAGAACGAAAATTTTGAAATCGGATTTAGAAGAGCAAAAAAATTGAATCAAATATTAGAAATCCAGAAAAACAACAAAGATTTCCGTTTCGTTTCACATGAATTTTTCTATACATTTTTAAAATTCAACCTTTGATTTTTCTCCTTCAAAACATCTAATGAAAACTAACCCCATTGTGAAAAAGAACAATGTCCATGGAAGTGGCACCAATCCGACCAACAATTCTGCGATCGCCATATATTTCAACACCACATTGGTGGGTGTTACCATATGTTTTTTGGATAGCACAATTGCAACGGCAGCATTTGCGAATACTGCCAACAGTACTAACACTGGGAAAATCTGGAAAAAAAACATTTTTTTGGTTTTGGAAATCACAGAGTAACTTAGACCACCCACGAAGCTTCAAGACCACCCAGAATCCTAAAAAAAATCACCTGTCCATAAACCACTGGATCCATTTTATTATTAGACAATTCGAAAAAATTCTGATCCTCGGCACATTTCTTGTTACAACCATCAAAAAATGTATAATTAGCCACACAATTTTCAGCCAATTTCTGAAGTCCAATAGTGTTGAATGGCTTTGAGCTGTTTCCACAACCATTATAAACCATTTTGTGTTTGCTCTTGATTTACCCCAAATTCTCTACCAGTGATGCATTGGTTATTTTAAAGATTTTATTTATCTGGAAAAAAACAGAGATCATATAAAAATTTCTTTTTTGCTGAAAATCTGGAAATACATAGAGAAAAGCGAATGAGAAGACTTTGGACGCGAAAAATCGGAGCAGCAAAAAAAGCAAAAAAAAAAAAAGAATTAAAACTGAAGGATTTCCAGAATGAAGAAGGAACAAAATAAATCCTAAATGAGGTCAGTTTATTGATTTTTTGTGTTGTTGGATTTCATTTTGGATTATCACATAATGATTTGTTTTTTTTTCTAGAAAAGGCTGGCTAGAAAAATGGGCGGAGCTTGGAAAGATTTATTTTATTTTCCTCATTTTTTTCTTCTTCTTATTCTTAAGAATTTTTTGATCATGATGCACTCATCTAAAGTTGGAAATGGGAAAATCGGAGTTAAGAGAACTCAATTCATATGATAGATATTAATAAATCAAAAAAACGTGCAAAGAGGATTATGACCGCGTTTTCTAAAAATGAATCATTCTTAATTGAGTGAGCGAATTTTGAAAGTCTTCTGGATCAAAATCTCATTTAGGGGTTAAAATTTTGAAATATGTATAATAATTTCAAAAGAAAAAATCTATCTGGGCAGACAATTTCTGAGCTTTGAACTTGAAAACATCTGTTTTTGAACATTTTTTATTATCGAAAAATGTTTTATGACAAAAGGTTTTGTGATTATTGGAAAATAAAGAGAAATGAGTTCTTGAGACCACCCATGATGATTAATGTTTTTTTGAAGTTCAAAGAGACCACCCAGGTTTTTAATCTTGGAAAGGATTGCAGAAAATTTTAAAAATGTGAAAGCTCAGAACACAGAGAACGAAAACGACCTGTCAAATATATTTTTTTGAAGACCTCCCTGCTTTTTTTCGAGGTTTGATCTGAAAAACAAGATTCAAAGTCACTTTATTGATTGATTCAAAAAATTTGGACCACCCATATTTTTCAATCATTGGAAAATCAGAGACCACCCTGGTTTTCAGAAATTTTAAACAAATCTAAAAATTCTAGACCACCCATATATTTTTTCAATGTTTTCAATTCACATCAGCATGACTAGTCAAAAAGCTCAAAGCACACGAAAAATAAAATGAAAAAATAGAATGATTTTCGGGGATCTGTCAAGTTCTCAATTTTCGTCACTGAAAGGAACACGGCCAAAAAAAGGGGCGAAGAAGAAGCACACATTTTTTCCAGCGAATAATTAGTTTAAAAGGTCCATTTTCAGAAAGAAAACGAAGGCTTGAAATGAGAGGATGAGATAGATGAAGGCAAAAAAAATTTAAGGAAAGAAAGAGCTTTTTTTTTGACTGCAAGTTTCCAAAGTTTTCTGAAGCATTAGGAGCAAATGAAAAAGGCTGTGAAAAAAAAAGAAAACATAGATAGATTTGTGATTCATCTCCGGTATATTAATCCATTAGACAATTTTTGCTTCTTTTTTTTTGCTTCGCCTTTGATTTTTCGCTTTTTTCTAGATATAAACTTGATATAAAATTATTCGAAAACATTTCGATTTCCCAAAAAAGTGTCACTCGATTTCTTCATTTCATTAAGAAAGTGACAACAATTTTACGAGTTAGAGAAAAAGTAAACACGAGAGTTGGAAAAAAGCCGAGATATGTTACCTACAAAAAGGTAAGAGGTGGATGATGAATTATTTAGTGAATTCTGCTGTGAGATGTTGGTTTCTGGGAAGAAGGAAAATAGATGATTTTTGAAACCTTACCTTACCCGAATTGGATCTTTGGAAGAAGATCAAAAGACCACACACGAAGATCTATCGGGGAAGCTGATTCAGTTGAACTGTGGCTCGCCCAATAAGATATCTCAAGGTATTTTTTACTTCAAAATTAAATGAAGTTCACCTAACTCCGATAAACAAACCAACTTCAATATTTCAACACATAATTCCCCTGATTGGCTCCAGACCAAGACCACCCATTAAGTTTTTTCTACAAAGCAGACTAGGTGGTCTCAAAAAACTGTTTTATGACATCCATCTAATTTTCGTCTTCCAAAGACAAAGATGGATGATTTTTGAAATTTTTTCGAGGGTTTCCATAGATTTTCGGATTTTGTTTTGAAATTGAGGGGAATGAAGGACTCCCATGAAGATTTTGAAACATTTTAAGGACCACTCAAGGTGAAAACTGTTTTGCAAAATTAGTAGATTCTTGAGAACTAGAAGAACATTAGATTTTTAAGAAATAAAAGTTTTCTAAACCTTACTTTTCAAAAAAAAATAAGTGCCACCCAAGAAGTTTCCCAAAAAAAAATACCAGAACACCTCAAAAATTGTCTTTTTCTTCAACAAAAAAAACACCAAAACAGGAGAAAAAGTCGACGCCAAACTAATCACACCCTGGAGAACAATAATAAACATCATAAACAAGTCGGCATTTTTTTTTCGTAACACAAAAAAATGACGAAAAAAAAAGAAAACTTCTAAGAACTCGCGGTGAATTCCCAGTGTGTTCGAAGGCCAAAATTAGCAGCATTAAAAAAATTGAGCTTTTTTGCTGGCAAGCAGAAAAAAAAGCAAGCAAAAAAGAAGAAGAAGAAGAAGAAGAGGAAAAAATACACCTTGAAAAAGGCTTAGTTCGGCTCATCCGCCAGTCGCCTGATTATTCATGATACTTGTTTTTTTTCTTTTTTCACTTTTATTTTGGATGGGTTTTTCTGTGGATGAGGAAATAATCAGAAGAAAGAAGAACTATGAAAACATTTCAAAACATTTTCGAATTTTTTAAGAAAAAATTCTGGATCAAGCAAAGTGAATCCACATTTTGTCTCTCACCGACACTTGGCGGGTTTTGCATTTTGCATTTCACCTATGTCAGTACGGAAACAAAAAACATTAGCTCTGAAACAGCGCCTGTGGGGGATTGAACTCGTGACCTTGAGATTGACAGCAGCCACCACTGCCATTGAACTACATACTTCAGATATAGTTTTCCAGATTCAGAATTTGAAAATAGAATTTCGAGTTGACCAAAATTTGAATTTTCAAAAAAAACTACAATATCAGAAAAAATTCGCGAGCTCTATTTTTCTTACACTTACTCGAACTCCCCAAAAAATGGGCGTGGCTTAACCGCAAGCTCTGCACACTTTTTGAGCTTAAGCTTGGTGAGAATTTCGTGGGTGGTCCGTTCAATAAAAAGGATTTTCGAATTTTACTGAAACTAAAAAACAAACAAAACCTTAAAAAAGGCTCAAAAACGGAAATAATATATGTGAAACCAAAAGTTAACATTTCCTGTTTAGATGGTCCGCAAAAAGTGTTCATATTTCTCAAGCAAACAAGAATTTTTGGCATGTTTTTCGCAGCCCTCCAAAAAAATACAAAAAAGTGTCGGATCGGATTAAATACTGGTTACTAGGAAAGGAAAAATCTGAAAAGCTGTGTGTGTGCAAAAAAAACACACACACACACACGAGCACAGGAAAAACTGGAAGGCCCCGACAAAAAGTGAAAATTTCGTTTCACAAAAAGAACGTTTTTATATTTGACTAGGCCAGGAGGCTAGCCGTGTTGAGAAAAAAGCAGAGGATTAATGTGCAAAAGTCAGGCACTTTTTTTGGTGGTGTGAAAAATTGAGATTCTTTTCTTTTTCGTGTGTCCTCGATTTATGTTTTTTGGAGTGTCGTCATTTTGTTGGAAATTGGAAATTGGTTTTCGAGGGGTACTGTAGGGGATGAAGTTTGAGATTGCCATTTTTCAGCTGATGTGAGATTGGATATGGAAATGAGATGGGGGGGAATTGAGAAGGAATCAACCAGAGACTATAAATAGGTGATGAGAAGTCGGAATGTTTGAGAGTCAGATTACTAGAGTCCGAGAAATGTTAGAGACGCAGAGAAAATTCAGAAGACGAGACAAAATGGTTGCTAAGAATGTTAGAGGAGAAATAGTGATGTTAGAGACGCAGAAAACACGATCACTAGAGTTATAGAAATGTTAGAGACAACTAAAGTGATTCAGAAAGTTAGAGACGCAGAACCTTTAGACGACTAGAGTTTCAATAATGTTAGAGACACAGACAAGTTAGAGACGCAGAAAAATATAGACAATATAAGTATAAATATTCGAAAATGCAAAAATAGGGACCCCACAAATCACCTTTTCCTCTTCTCCCACCCAAAAACCTTGAGCTTTGAGGTTTCAAAAAATCCAAAAAAAACGCGGCAAAAAATTGATCCCAACATTTATCAAAAAGTATAAAAAATGACAGATGGACTTTTTTTGTTGAAGAAGAAGAAGATTTTGGCAGAGTAATAAAAGTTTGAGTGAAATTTGATATTTCCTCTAGCTGAATTTTTGAATGAATTAAAAAAGATTATACGAATTTTCTTTCTTAAAGTTTTTGAAACAGCGAGAAAAAGCAGAAGCTAACAAGTTGAAAAAGAGATTTTTTGCTGGTGAAAAAAAGGATGAGCAGATTAATGAGTTCCGGATATCGGCAGATTATTTGAACTCTGTTTGGCAACCAAAATGCACTTTCAGAGGAATGCGATGAACTTTGTATTACTAATGAAAAGATTTGGGGGATAGAGGAAGAATTGGGAGAGACTACTGTAGATTTGAGATCTGCAAGAGAGAAAATAGAAATTAAAATTAAATAACTAGTACCCTTTGGATACTGTAGAGTTTTTGATAAATAATTTCAGGAACCTTAAAAAAAGTTGAATTCTGAAATGTAGTTCAAAAAACATATTTATAGTTCAGCTTAATGTTCCAGAAATATATTTTGGATTACTGTAGCTCTCTCCTCAATCTCACGATTTTCTGAGATTCTGAAAAGTACTGTAACTTCTAATTCATCAATTTCGAGAAATTGACTATAATTCTAAAGAAGAGGTACGGTAGGATTGAGAAAACTCAAAACATAAATGTGTTTTGGATTCTGTAGATCCCGATTTTCAT